GTGCAAAAGATCGTCGTAATAAAGGGTGGTTTACGCTTTCGTGGAGCTTTTTTATAATCATTTATTGAATAATGTTTAATAATATTTTTTTATTTATTTTTTATTTATTTATTTATTATACTTATTTATTATACTTGTTTGCATATAGTATGGCTTAGTTTTATGGCTTTTTGGCTATCACTATGGAGGTAAAAAAAAATTGACTGTAATAATTAGTAGAAAGAGCCATAATTTTATTTTATTCTGAATGCTGTAGCGTCCTTCAAAACACCAAATATTCGGTGGAAAGGAATGATTTCATTTTATTTACATTGAGACGATTTCATTGCTGTATTAATAAGGGCCCATATTTCACTTCCATTAACGTCGTGAACTGTGGGAGATGAGCGGCGTTGAGCGAATATAGGATAATTCCCTAATCATTTTCATATTCACGCGTTCATGTGGACTTTTCTTTCGAAATGTTTTTTTTGTTGTAATAAAACTTCTAATTTGTATTCGCACAAAATTAGTACTAATCAATTGATCGAATGCCTAAATTAATAAATTTCTGTAAATGCTTATTTTTGTTTCGATTGTATGAAATATTTTTGTAATTATTCTAGCGACAATAAGCATATGACAATTTTATAATTTATATTTTATATTTTATCAAATTTTACAAAATTTTATAAAATATGCCCAATCCAATTCTTTTAAAATGAAAAAATTGGAAAAATCAGGAGAAAATTATAAAATGATGATAATGACCAAAGCAATAATAATTTACAAATACCAAGAATTGTTATCCGTGTTATGAGGGATAATATTCTTTTACATATTATAAATGACAAAACACAAAAACACATTTTGCAAGAAACTGCTGTATTAGAGGTTAATTAACTCAACATAGTGCGTTCGTGGGGTGCAGTAAAGCAATTTGTTAAATAAATTATAGAAACATTCTCAAGCAAATGTCGCTTAAATGGAACGACAAAAGAGCGAGGCAATAGCGACAAATGAGCGACATTAAGTATAAGGCAATTTCTAAAATTTAATCCTCTTAAATCCAAAGTTTGGGTGTTTTCTTTAGGTTTCTTTACTCATTTGTAAGATATTTATAAAATAATATCATAAATTATATATTATGAAATGATATAGATATAATGATAATAATATTAACAACAAATATGTAACATTCAATCAATTATTTAATTAATTACATAAAATAAATTTATAACAATTCCGACTTATTATACTTATAATACGATATTTTACAATTGTTCAAAGGGTTATTGACAGCATTTGGGTGATTTTCATCTTCCTAAAATAAACGGGTTGCGAGTTCTTTTCGACTCACTTGCACTTCGACTGTTCATTGACATTTCTATACTGATTCAATTTCAATATTCTGGCATAAGATTATTGTAAATTAATAAGATTTAAAGGAGTTCATTTTTTGCTGATAATGGTGATAATGTGTGTTAAAATACTGGTATAATGATTAGACGAAAAAAAGCTAAATGAATTTCGGAAATGATTGCGAACGTTGGTACTATAATATGCTATCATACCCGTCGCACCGTCACCGAAAAATTATAAAGCCTATGTCGCACCAAGAATTTTGTTTTGTTCAGAATGTTATGTGGTTCCCTGTAGGTACCTTTCTGTGATAATGTTTTTCCTGATATATAATTATAAGGATGCAAAGCTGTCCATAGCCTTTAAATAAAGAGTTGGAGTAGCATAAAATTTATTGGACAATTCAAATTTCTCTTTCAAATACTGATGTTCTAATTTGGGAATGTTGATATGCGGGTTCTACTTCTACTTCCTTTGAAAAATCTAATAAATTCTGGCAACCTAAATTGTTTGATAGAATAAACTGGTAGAGCGAGTCTAACCAAAATAGGATAAACCTCTTGCAACTGAGAAGCTTCCATCTGATTAATTGAACTTGTGTATTTGTTAACTTATTATTTGGAAGTAATTTTTCAACCTATTTCCAACCTTTTCTTCTAGAAGCTCACAATAATGTTAGTTATTTGACACCACTGGATACAAGGATAATGACTGCAGTAGTAAGGCATTTCTACGTCGCTTAATCCGATGGAGTAATAGAAACAAAACCTTTTTTTAAAATGCCTATTTTTATGTTTATTTTAATATTTATAAATATTTGTTTCGTACTTTTAATTTTGTTTGTACTTTTAATTTAATTTAATTTTAATTTTAATTTAGTTTGTAATTTTGTGCTTTTATGCTTTTATTAAATTAAATTAAATTAAATAATAAATACGATAAATAAAATCGTGAAAATTCACAAAAATAAGGTTTTGCATATTTTAATTTGTATATTTGTAAGGCAAATTAATTACTTCAGTGACCTCCATATTTCTATCTCTGCCGAGGAATGTTAAAAGCAAATTTAAAAAAAAAACACAGAATTTATGGTACTTTTCACAGGTACAACCTGCTGCCAAATAATAAAATCCGTAGTATTATTTCGTATTTCGTTCTTCAGGCTGGCTGCTCTTTTTTGAATTTTATATGTTGTATTTAGGATTCTTCGCAATCCTCAATAGATTTCTGATACACTGTCCACTTCTTTTACGTACTGAGAGAAGTAAATGAGCAAAAAAGATTTGTAATTCTAATTGATTGAATAGATGTTCTTTGAATGTCGGATGAAACCTGGCCTGGGTTGCATAATACTATGGTTTTAGAGCAAAAAATCTAGAGAGAAGAAATATTTATTAAATATTTGTTACTTGTGGCTTTTCTTATTTTTCTTTCAGTGATCTAATACCGTTCCAAGTTCCCATACATCAATCGTTGTAGTAAGGACCTTCAGGACAAAAGTTCTCTTGGTATCCTCGCGAGTTCTCTTTTAATCATGGGTCTATTCTCATTAAAAAGCCAAAATTACCAGAAAAATGGTATTTAGGCGAAAGGAATACAGCAATGTAAAAACTAATTATATGGTTTTATCACTGAAAAGAGCAATTACAAGGAAGCAGTTGTTATAATGTAAAAATATGGCGTTTTCTACGGAGATTTTCGAAGCCATATTTAACGACCAATACTACTGCCATTGATAAATGAATTTACGCAGAGATATTAAAAGATATTTAAATAATTATTACAAAAGCAATTTTACGCCAAAAATAGCATAGAAATCATAAGAATCTGCAGTCGGAATAAGAATTTTGAAAATGAAAGTAAAAAGGACAAATTGTATGAGCCAAAGCAATAATTGTTTTCACCGTTTAAATGTTTTTTTCGCAATTATATAATAATAATATATAATAATGTAAAAAATAGCAATTTTTTGTAAAACAGCAATAAATATACATAATTATTACCAAATAAAACGTATTGTTAAATTATATTAATCTTGTAATAAAAATATGAAAAGAATCTGCAGTTAGAATAAAATTTGAGAAAGATGAAATCAGCAGCAACAAATTGTGTAAGCTGATGCAATAATATATTTTCGCAAATAGGCAAATTTTACATTAGAGGAAACTGTACTCATGAAATGTGTAAAATCATAATTGTATTCGTGCCACGCCTGAAAATATTTTAAGCCAATATTCTCCCACAGTGCGAAAGGAGGCAAAACTTGCTGTAGCTGATCTGGAATTTTCATAGCATAAATCCACAAACTCGTCATTGATCCTTATTTTATAAAATATTTTCTCATTGAGCTATTACGTACATTGCAGCGAGTTAATTGCAAAGTTTTATTTTTGATGCAAACAATATAATAAATGCAAAAAAAAGCAAGGAACCCGAGATTTTTGTTGAAATAAATTTATTTATTTCGTCTTTTCCCAATGCGCTATCCACTTAGCTGGGCGATAAATTTCAAATCAAATCAATAGTAAGGAATATTAGAATTTTTGAAAATAATGGATTTGAAATTTTTACAATCTGCTGAAAAAAATAAAAGTATTCCAGAGTAACAATTAGTGAAGAAATTTGAGAAAATGAAAGCAGCGAGATTGGCAAAAAAATGACAATAAATTATTTTCACCGTTGAGTAAAAAAATTTACTCTAATTTATGACAAATATGAAAAATATGTAATGTAAATATAATGTAAACATCAGACTTGATATACTTCGAAATACTTGGTGAAGTTTTGAGAAAAATACAAAATGTACTCGGCATGGCCTTTGGTATCAACTCGAACCATCATGGACTATCGCATTGGAAGATTACGTATCTCACCGTATCTCGAGCTGGTTGATTTCAAAGATCGATGAAGCATTACAGACCAAAACCAGCAACAGAAATAGAACCCAGCAATTTGTGAAGTAGGTAAACAATATGTAGGAAGGTAAGGTGAATTTCATTATTGCTCGAGAAAAGATATAAAAGAGATTCACCTCAAACAGGTGAAATTTCTAGAAAATGCCTGTATGATGAAGCTCTTTTAGTACCTATTTAGTCGCTCGAAGAAAACCGTAATGGCACATAGGAATAAATGCGCAATATTGATCGGTGTTCAATCTTACTGTAGGAATAAATCTGAGGAATTCTAGGACAAGAAAAAAAGAAATAAAAGTGATTATTAGAAAGTGATAGTCACGTGAAATGCGTGATTCGTGACCCAGAGGTGATTCGTTCAGTGATCACCATTTGACCTTTACACATATTCGTGGCCAAGTTGACCTTTTTTAACTTTTCATCCACCGTATAGGGTCAATTTCATCTATAATAAATATTTCGTATATCATTTGACTCCAAATTAGAGTCAAAGTCCGGTTAAAGTGAGTGTTAAGCGGTTCATAATTTGTATGGTGTATGGTTCATACTTTTACCCAAATATTAAATTTTTGTCTTTATCAGTGAAACGCTCAACACTTTTACTTACCATTTTTTGTAATTTTTCCGCATTTGTGCTGTAATTTTATTTAGGGTCTATTATTTTTTTTTATATAGGAAATTTATTAAATATTATTAACGTTGGTGACTATAACTTCATATTCTCCCATTTAAGATTTTTATAAAACGATGTATGTGAATAAGGTTCGTGAAAATTTTCTGTGCAAATCGCAGCTGAAGGGTTTCAGTAGGCTCTCTCCGAAAGGTTTGAATTCACTTTTGGCTTTTGTTAGTGTTTCGATTCTTGTAAAATGCAAATATTTTTTAACAAAATTCCTTCTATATGCTATAATTCTTCTTACCTTTCTAACGTATAGTTTAGCCGCAAAAATTTATTATTGAAAGGTTATAGAGAATGAATTTACTTGTGGCAAGGGATGTGCAGCTGCTTTTGCTGATGAAAATCGTTGTTCCTCAAGTGCCGCCAATTGGATAAATGCTAGGCTCCCAAGAATTAATGAAGCGTAGCTTTTTCATCATTTTAATCATTTCTTATCATTTCTTTTGGAAAAGTTCAACAGATAGGTCTAAAGACATGGGTCTATCACAAATAATAATAATAAAAATATGCAATTTTTAGAATATTTCACAGCGTATTAAGCGAAAAATACGTTATGAAAAGGGAAAAATTATATAATAATGGCTTTCCCGTTTGGAAAAATGCAAATAAAACGATAGTCGATATAGCTCCAAGTCGTTTTAGCTATAAAATGAAGACTTATGCGGAAGAAACTGGTTAGTTATAGATGATTAACTATTTTTTTTGCGCCTTATCAAAGACTATTTCATTTCGTAAAGCAATTTGGGTGCAACAAAAATTTAACAATTTTTTCTATCACAGATCTCACTAGAAGGTGCTGCCGCTGCGGCGAGAATTTCTTGTTGCCACACGACACCAAATTAATTCCTCGACAGCAGTGCTCCTTTCACTGGGGAAAATTGGTGAAAGAAGAAGGTTAGCGGTCCAAATAGATTTTGCAATTTTTTCAACGAAAAATTCTAGTAGAAAATTACTATTAATATGAGTGAATTACCAGCGGATAATTTTAATCTTCATCGTTTTATTTTTTCTTTATGTTGCCTAATGTGGTTCAGTGTTGTTTGCAGACAGTTGGGAGATGCGCTTTTCGTGCTGTTCTTCAGGGCCCAACGGGAAAGCATGTACCGTCAGTGAATCGCATGTAACAAATACGGCATTTTTGAGCGACTTAGAACGATTTGTTGAGGTTATGATTAAAATTTTCAACAATTTTCACGGATTACTTGTCGACAGATAAAAATTTTCCTTTGAGATATTTAATTACATGGAAGAAATTTTCAGACACCGGCACCATTAAGCCCAAGTGACTCGCGCAGTTGCAAGGTATACGCGCTAGACTGCGAGATGGTTTATACAAGGCGCGGCCTGTCACTTGCGAGAATAATTTTAGTGAATTGTAAGGGTGAAACGGTGCTGGACATTATAGTTAAGCCTGAATCGCCTGTTATGGATTACAACACTCGGTTCAGCGGCTTAACAAAGAATTTGGTGGACGCAACGATATACGACTTCAAACAGGTTGAATTTATTATACCAAAATTGTTGCAATAACGATTAATAATATATATATATGTTTATCATCACAAATTTCATAATTAATTTGCACATTAGAAATTAGTCATTCAACATATGGGTAACAAAATTATTTTATATTCAGGCAAGGGAAAGGTTTCTCGAGTTCGTTAACTCGGAAACCATTCTAATTGGGCATAGTTTGGCAAGCGATTTGAAAGCCCTACGCATTGTCCACCACAAAATAGTCGACACATCTGACGTTTTTCCGCATGAAAGAGGACCGCCATATAAAAGGTCATTGAAAAATATCTTCAGTGATATTTTTCATATGAAAATTCAGGAAAAAAACGGTTAGGATATTTTCATGCTTTTTCTTCATGAAATTTCTTCCTTCTCATCTAATTAGTTCTTTCTTCTTAAATATAATAAAACATTAAAAGGCCTCTCATATTAAAAATTTTAGTATTATATCCGCAACGAATGCCAACCATCTACTTTGAGCAGTTTTGTCCAACAGTAAAGGAGTGCTGCTGTCCAATTCAGGATTATTCGACAGATAGAAGTTTGAAGTTTGAAATCACCGCATCGAATTTTCTTTCAAAGTCTGCGAAACAAAATTTGTAAAATTCATTTTATCCTCGAATGCTATTTATAAATTGGAGAAATTATCCTGTGAAATAAATAATTTCAAAAAATCATTTTTTGCAACAAATCTATTTCTTATTTCTTTCGCATAATGCTTCATTTTATGCCTAAAACGACTTCGAAACCGCTATTATAAAACAATCATTCCTTCTTCAAAATATGTTTTTCGTCTTTTAAATCGACATGAATTATCTTATGAAATTTATTACTTATATTGGATCGACGGTTTTAAATTGTTCAGTTATTTAAAAAAAAATTTGGTAGGAAATTTCTAGGCCTTAATTCTCGGCGGCGAATGTATAAATCACACATCTGTAATAAGTAAAATTGGAGGAGGAAAAATGTCTATCGGCAAAAACCGCTGCACTTTCGTTTGCAGCGGGTATATTTAAAATTTACAAATTTTCTTTACAGTAAATTCAATAGAAATTCATTGATTATTGATGAAATGAATAAATTTAGAAAATAAGTTAATTAAAAAATTTCTTATATGAATTTTTAATTTTTTCAAATTTTGGAATAAAAAGAATGAAAATTGAGGGTTTTAAATTTTTTCTTCAAATTGTTTAAATTTTAAATTTTTTATTTCAAATTTTGAACATTCATAGGCGATTTTCCAGCGCAAAATCCGCACCAATTACCATTCATTTCAATCTATTTTGATAGAAAATAATGATAAATAAACTTTAACATATTAGCATCAGCACCAAGCACCAAAGATTAAATGTTGGTAATCAGATGGTTCTTACAAATTAAAAATTAGCTTTCAATAAAGTATAAAGTATAAACTTAGAAGTACTAATGAATTGGCAAATTTTGGTGAATTCATTGAAAAAGAAATTCAAAAAAATTTAAGGTGATTTCTACAGATCGTATTGGCAATCACCGCTTTATCCCTTCTCTTCACTATACCTCTGAAATATAAGAAGATAAAAAAATACAACTATGTTGTTCACCGATAGATTTCTGATTTCGGACCTAAATATGTTGCTTATTTAATCCAAAAGTAAAACGCTGCAACTGGTCCACTGGTCCAATGAATGGAACAACTCATTGAGTCAGTGAGTTATAAAATGAAATCTGTAATAATAGATTTTAACGATAGTAGCTTTGGATTTTAACTTAAAATTCCAGCTGAGATGCACTTGGTTATATTTTATTTTTCTTTACGAAGCTTCTTTGAAATTCTATTTAAATTTAAATAGATTTAATAAAAAAGATTCTTTTTCGCAAAAATAAAATTTACAAAATTAAAAATTTCGCAAAGTATTATGAAACGTCATTTTGCCGCTAATTTTGGCTAAAAAAAATTAAATTAAATTAAATTTAAATTTGCCTTGAAGAAATGGAAATTAGTAAAAAAAAAATTGAGATTTTTAATTAATTATTGATGAAAAAAATTAAAATTTTATAGTGGAAACATATAGTAATTTTTTTTTCGCATACAATTTAAATGAACCTTAAAGCGATAATTTTTGATATATAAATAAACAGCTTTTTCAATCGCCGCTGCATTTTATTTTCTAAAATGTTTTTTAATATTTTTATTATTAATTAAAATTTTTACTATTAATAATAAAAATTTATATAGGTATCGGTATATTTAAAATTGCAATAGAAGGAAATGATGTAAAGAAACCAATAGATTTGTGCTAAAAATCATTAAAAGCACCTTGGAGTGAAAGGTCCGAAATAGGCAAATTGCGTTAAAAATTTTACAAAATTTGATTGCACCACTTGGAATTCAATCTTGGTACGTAACTGTAACTGAATTGAAACATGGCATGCTTTATTGAGTTTGATATTTGTTGCATAAATTAGTCTCATAGTCTCCGTCTATCTGATTTAAGGATCTAATAGGTTGGCGGAATGAGATCGATCAGAAATGATAAGCGCTAATCACCACGCCATATTGCTTTTTTCTTTTTTTCGCATTGATTTCATATTATTTTATCGATAAATTTTCTCTTAATATAAACTCGAAGATAATGACTATTGGCCTTTAATTTTGATCTATTAATTTACGGCTGTCTTCTAATTCATATATTCACAAATTTTGAGATCAAATGAAACATTTTTAAACAAATTCAGTTGCATTTACGGAAAGTCTCTTGTAAGATTTCTATGAGATAATAGGCAGCTAACTATTATTTTATGTTAACACTAAACAATTAATGGGACGAGGAAGAGGATAAATATCTTAGTGGCTGAGAATGGTAATTCATTGGTAATTCATTAGTTCCATTGCCTTTAGTTATATTTTTAAGGTGATTTTTTGGAGATTTTGGAGATATTTATAACTATTAAAAAAACTTGAAATTCCAAAAAAAGAGAAATCCCTTCATAATTTTAGATTTTTATATAAATGGGCGACAATTTTTTTCTTATTTCTTTTTTTCATAGATTTTTTCTATAATAATTTTCATCTTTGAATTCCCTTTAAAAAATGGCTATAAAACAAAAAGAAAAAATTTTTTTCATTATTCGTTCAATCGTTATTTGAAAATCAAAAAGTCATTAATTATTAAACATTTTTATATTTGATAAATTCAGACTTTTTATTTATTTATTTATTTTTTTCAGGAAATGATGAATTTGATGAATGAATGTGCTCAGCGTGCTTAATCGAAACTTCAGAATATCTGAGAAAAATCTATAATTGTTAAAGTAAAACGAAAAAAAAAAACAATTGAGTTAAGAAGCACTACTAAAATTTATTGGAATTTTTTAATTAAAAATACGAAATCAGTGGAAAAAAACGACTTTCGCATAAAAGTTTTGATATTTCTATAAAAATAATAAAAATAAAATAATAATAATTTATTGCAGATTGTATTTATAAACTCCTTGAATTTAGGATTTATGATTTTGGTGCAGAATTTCAAATTAAAACGATTCATTCAATGGTATGTTCTAAATTTCGTATTTCATCACCTTTTCTGGTCCAATTGGTTCCAATACTCAACAAAAATGCATTCAAGAGAAAATAGAAAATTATCATGAAAAAAAGAAATCAAATTCATATTGTTTGTCCTTAGCAGAAGATAAATATTATTCGATCAAATTTTCATAATATGTAATAATAAAATGGAAAATTAAATTAAATTATAGGTAAGCTAAATGAGCACAGGTGATATTAATAATATCACTGAAGGTGATAATAATAATTATGAAAATACTCGTTATTATTATGATGATGAAAACAATTTATCAAGATTTTGCGGCTATGAAAAGCCATATTCAAACTGTAGAGTAGAAATCGTTGTTGATGCAAATCTTTTACCATCTCGTAACTATAATCGAGAGCCTTCCTATCGGTTGCAACGAAGAAGTAAAACAGTACCACGATATATCATCATCATTGCTGTTTTCATAATAATAGCAGTATTTGCTGCTGCAATCGTTATCAATAATTTAATTCAAATGAATTCAGGTAATCTATATAATTTTATCACTATTTTATCATATCTGTCGATTTTGAAGTTCACTTTTAAAAATATTTTAAGACTCGAATTTTTCTTAGCAAATTCTAAATAAATCATTCATTTTTATAGATAAAAAAGATAAAAAAATTTGGCAATCCTTATTGATAACGTTCGCATTCAAATGTGTAGAATTACAGAAAAGCAATGATAATGACACGATTATGGTTTGTTTTTTATAATTTTTTCATAACTGCACAGTGGGTGGTTGTTCTGGTTCTGAAATGCCAAAGCTGCAGTTCTGTTCTGGCAGGAACCTGTTTCTCAAAAATCTGGCTTCTGACACACTATGCTATGGCGATAAGTCCCTCTGGCAAAATTGACCTGGTTAATAAGCCAGTGGAACAATCTTATTCAGAAATTATAAGCGCTCTTCCAAAAAAAATTGATACAAGTATTTGCAATTTGTTGTTTTATATGACGAACTTTCAGAAAACAAAACGGATTATTAAAAGATTTATTGAAGAATACGATGATAATTCAACGTATTTCGCATTTCAATTATATGCAAGCAAGCATAATGCGTTTATCATACAAAAAAGTCAAAGTAAAAATGCGCTGAATATTTTAGAAATAATCTCCAAATGGCAAATCAATATGACAGAAAACCCGGACATAAGTGGGTAAGCTAGTGCTTTGATAGATGGTAGTTCTAGGAGGCTACTGTGGCCTCCATTTATATTAGAAAGGGACATGGCTATTTATATCTGTGCAATTACTGCAGATACCATCAAAATAAGTTCATAAGTATAGTCAGCCGATTTGGAAATAAAACGATGGTGTATGCTAATTCATCCACATTCATGGTATTATAAAATTGCTGCTATTATGACTTAATAGTGTTGTAGAAGCAAGTTAGCCAAGCAAATTAGTCATTGAGAGTTCAACAGGGTTAAGCACGTGATTAAGAAATTCGAGTGGTACTTATGGTTATGATCCAGAGAACAAAAATTTCCAATCACATTGGTCGTCAGTGTTTGCTGATTTTTATACGAAATAAGCAAATCTGTGCAATTTTTGTACAAATTTGTCCAACCCTTGGTTTTCTCTTTTAGATTCACAAAAAATAATTTCTTCTTCTTCTAATAGCTTTCATCATTACTGGCTAGGCTAGCTCTATAGCTACAAGAATAAGATGTCTCCAAGCTGCTCGGTCCGACGCCATCGTAATAGAAGCCATAATATTCGGCTTTCTTTTTTAGATCCACAAGAAATAATTTACCGACATAGATTCATTAAAAAATAAGAAATAATTTTATGGACCTTGTAAAATTGAAATTTCAGTGCAATTGAATTTTATTATAAGTCAACTGAATATATGGGAAAAGAAACTGAATTTACTCGTGTATACGTGTTATTCGGTGCTGATGAAAGTGAATATAGGTCGGTTAAAGGAATAACCAATATTTTTTCAAGGATTTATGATTATTTCAATTTTTATCATAATTTTCTGTTGATTAAGCGCTCTGGACTATACTTAAAATCCCATGTGATAAGATCATGGAATGATAAGATAGTGCTAATCAGTAAATAGCATAATGTTATGAAAATGAAAAAAATGAAGCAGTAAATGGAATGTTTTTTTTATATTTTAACCGATCTGAAATTTCAAATTTAGTATTATATTAAAATTTTGAAATTAAAATATTATATCATAAACCAAAAAAATATTTTATTAAATATTATATTATACAAATTTTATTTTTATCCAATTTTAGTGATCTAAAAGCATATGGAAATGATCGAAAATCATCGATTGATAAACTGGAGAAAATGGCAGAAAATCAAACGATTTTTATTATAACCAATAATAAAGCTTTTATTGGCACAAAATTTATCACTATCGATGAAAATTATGATATCGAATTGATTATGAGGAAAGTTCAAGAAATAATTCGTATGTTCTTATTATGGCTTTATGAATTTAAAAAAAAATATAAATTGAACAAACAAGTTTCTTATTATTCAATGGATGAAACTTTGTTAAGAATAAACTGATAACTGATAATCTTAAGCTATAATCGAAAGTCGAAATTTGGAAATTTTACTATAATCTATATATTATTGTAGCGCGTCGATCAACAGTTTCACCATACGAGAAGTATACAGCAAATTCAAAATCAACAACTACAGTTCCATTAAAATCTAGTACAGCTAGTATAATAGCCATGGCTATGCCCAGCTCACTATTCACTTCTTTTTTGAACCTAGTCCCACAGGATTTTTCGGCAAAGTTATTATCCACAGAGTATGAAGTTACTTCTATATTTGGGGTAGAATCGATAATATCCAATATGACATCAAAAGGCTCATTCGTAGATGATTCTGAAACTAAAAGGTCGAATGCTTCCAGCATTACATCAACGAGTTCGCTTACAAATGAACTTTCAACTTTCAAGCCCAGTTCATTCAAAAATGCTAATATCGAACCAAGGAAAGACAATATATCCAATTTATCGAAGATAGCATCAACGGATTTACCTATGAACGTTTTTTCATATGAAATTATAAAGCAAATCTCTTCAAGTTCCACTGACCACTCAAGCAGTTTACCCACAAATATTTCATTAACCCATGCATTTTCCAGCAATATATCCTTAAGGGCTTCTTCAACCACTTTATCCATTTCTTCAACTAAAACAACATTTGTAAGCTCTTCTTCATCAGATGTTTCTACACACTCTTATTCAGCATTTGAGAGAACTGCAATTGCAACAAATACAACAGCGGAAATTCATCAATCGTAATCTCAATCTTTATTGAAAAACTTATAAGATACAATTAAATCTTATTTGAATCGAGAATCTGATGGGAATCATAATTTCGATCAATTTGGTACTCAGTTATATTGGTACTTAGTTAAGATTCTCTTTAGATTGCGATAATTTTATTAATAGTTATTCGCTAATTTTATTTATTTTTTATTTTTTCTTGCATTCTTTTTGCAATTTTTGCAATTTTCATGTTTTTTTTGTAAAAAAAAAATGATATTTTCCACATCGTTTTTGCTAATTTTAATAATTATGACAAGAAGAATCGTTTCAGTAATATTTTCTTTTTTACTAAATCATAAAAGATTTCATTTCGTTTTTTTTCTAGAAGAATCTCAGATTTTATTCAATGATTTGTTCAAACAAAATAATTCATTATATTTATAATTTATTTCCACGAAGGATTGGTAACAAATGAACAAAAAAAAAAAAATTCTTAACTAAAAAAACTCGAAAATATTTGCATTTGTTTAAATTCAAATGGAAAAAAATGGAAAATTTGATTAATGGATGAAAAAAATCCAAAAAAAATGTCGCAGAAATTTTAAATTTCAATTAAAATTTCAAATTTAAATTTTAAAATTTTTTTTATAAAATCAGTTTAATTTTGTAGATTTTTGTTTTCTTTATATTTTTTCAAAATATAAAATTTTCTTTTCTTTTTTGAAAAATTGCTCTTCATTAAAAGAAAACAAGGTTCATTGATTAGTTAACATTTATCATTACTGATTATGCTTACTGCATTGGCTACAAGTAGATATTTTGCAGCCATATTTGAACGAAGGTACAAGTGAGTTCCAAGCATTGAATGGATTTTTTTTTTGTTTTAATAGCAGTCTTATTTCTACTAACATAGGCGAATCATGGTTAGCATCGAAATGATCGTCTAAGCGACATAAATTCACTCGTACTTCAGTTATACCCTTGAAAACGATTATTTTAAGAGTATCATCTGGAGAATTTGAACATTCTTTTGCGGCATTTTTTTTTAACTTTTTGCTCGAGATTATATTTATTAAGAAAGTTCAAAGTACTACTAAAATATGCTATAAATGAAAAGAATGAAGGCCAAAAAAAAAACGAAGTTCCCGAGAAATAGTACCGAGACGAAAATTTATTACATTGTATATATATATATATATAATATATAATGGATAATGGATCCAATGGATTAACGAAAAAATCGAATCTTATTTCAGACAGCGATTCGAAACATTTGTGAATTCTTCAACAACATTCATTTCCATCATTAATTAAATGCTATATAACTAAGCGAAGTAGGCTTAGAAATGCAATTTGATCATAAATAATAATTCAGAAATATATGAAAAATAGATAAAATGGCTTGTATAGAAATGCTCTTTCAGCACTAAAACTAAGTTTTCCTAGAAAATTGGCAATAAAGAGAGTTCGAATTTAAATCTTTATATTCCAATAATTAATTTTATATATATATATATATATAAAGAAATTAAGAAGTTCCACAAGTGGATTTAACCAAATTCACCTTTGTGTTTAAACTGAAATTACGGCATTTCATGCAATCGAGGATTAAATATTGCTAAATAAAAATAATATAATAATAAAAATAAAAATTTTTATTAAAAAGTTCCATAAGTGAATTTAACCAAATTGAATCTATAGTTTTGAGTTTTAAACTGAAATTATAATATTTTAAAGATAGATATAATAGATAGATATTTTAATTTCTTTAAAATGTTACTGTAGATTATTGTGAATTGTCAATTTCAATCATTCAGTTATATAATGAAAAGTAAAGTGGCTTAGTAGACTGTTAATATTGCCGTTTTTTGTCGTTCGACAACAGTGAACCTACTTTTCAAAAAATATTGGTGGTGCTGGTGATTCACCAGAAAATTGGTCTAACAATAGGTGCGAGCCTAACCAAAATATTTATTATAATATAATATTTTATTATAATATTTTAAATTATAATATTTCAAATTATAATATTTTAAGCGAAAATTATAAATTATTTAATATTATAATATTTTACTTTCTTCTAGTTTTGGGTTTTACTCTTCCAGTTTTTTTTAATATTTGTGGTGAACAACCAATATTATATTGCAAATATGGCCAAAAATCTTATTTAATAGTTACTAATTGAATAGAATTGACTTATTCAATAATTTCTATAAAATGTTACTGTAGGTTATTGTGAATTGTCAATTTCAATCATTCATTCAGTTATATAATGAAAAGTAAAGTGGCTTAGTAGATTGTTAATATTGCCGTTTTTTGTCGTTCGACAAAAATGAACCTACTTTTCAAAAAATATTGGTGGTGCTGGTGATTCACCAGAAAATTGGTCCAACAAAAGGTACGAGTCTAACCAAAAATGATGAACGCGAAATAATTAAAACCTCTCCTCTTGCTTACCCTTAACATTTTTTTGTTACCATTTATATAAATTAAGATTCAAATTCAAATTTCGTTTCCACTTAATTCTGAACGTTATAAGCGAATTTCTCGATTTTGCAAGCAAAAGAATTTTCGGTTGTCGTAATTCGATTCCGGTTATTGCTAATTTTTATTCTTATTTTAATATTTTTTTTAATTAATAAAATGAAAATATTCTTAATGAAATCAAATAATAATAATGAATATTTGTAGTGTTACCAAAGTATTAATAAAATAAATTAATAAATATTAATAAGATAATAAAATCAAATAAAAATATTTGCAATAACACATTTATTTAATTGAAAAATTTTAATTAAAATTTGTTATAAAATTATATTTTTCTTTTCCCTGAAAAAAATTAAATTTTTATTTTTTTTAGAATTTTCTGAATTTCTACAATTTTTTTTTTCTGAGTTTATGAAGTGAAATATTTTATTCCAATTTATTTTTATTTTTAGAATTTCTCTTTTTTGAATTTTCAATATGAAATATTTATTTATAAATTTAAAATTCGCTTTATCGATGCACTCTTTTCTTACACCATCCATTATTTTTAGTAGTTTAAAAAAAATGAATTGCGAACATAGTACGAAATTTGAAATGAACATTAAAATTATAAATCGCATTAAAGCGTATAAAATACCGCAAAATTTCAATTTTTCGCTATCCGATAAATTTTTACCTTATTTATATTTTTCCATAATTTTTAGTTTAACTCAACTAATTTACTAATATTCGTTCAATTTAATAGTTTAGAAAATCTTTACTTGAATTTAATAATAGCAATCATTTTTAAAATCAAAATTCGAATAATCAAAAATGCAAATATTTAAAAAATGATAAGATGACAAATGGCGATAAGATAATTATGATTTAAGAATTTTCCAACATTTAAATGTTCTTTATTTTCTAATATTTAAAAATTTATTAAAAAATTTATTATTAAAAAATATTTATATAAATTTATTTTTATGTGAAATAAAACATTCATTTAAATTGTGGCAAAATTTATCGTAAAAAGAGAAGAAACAATTGCCACTAATTGCGACATTTTTGCCATAAAATTTCGCCATTTTTTTCTTGCTGTTTTTACTAATTGAAGTTGAATTGCTTTCGATTTGATGGATTTCGATTTGTCTTTTTAAAAAAAAAATGCTTTTTTTATTAAAAATTTCTTAGCCAAAGGATATGTAAGTTCTTTTTTTTTTTTTTTATTATTAATATTGACTAAAGAAATATTAAGTTTTTTTTTAAAGATAACTTGAAGAGAAATATAAAGTTCGTCAGACGCTAAAGACAATTTATTTAAATCACAAGGGAACGTTTAGAAAAACTTTTCATAACTTTTGTTCAGTTTCGTTAATTTACGAAAAAACTGAATAAATATTAGAAAAGTACCATAAATTCTCTTAGTTTATTTATTTATGTTACCTTTCATCCTCAAAATGATTTTCGCTGGTTCTTATCGTAATAACAATCAGTGAAATAAGGCCAGCAAAGATTTCAACTTTTTGCTATTTTATAATTTCTCAAATATAAAATTGAATTTTAATTGCGTTATGAAATATGAAAATAAATTTAAGCTATAAAAAAAGATTCGAAAAAATTTCCCCCCTTCATCTTCTCCTCAAAATTTTCCCTCAATTACGATAAGTTTAAGTTTGAATTTGTTAATTTTATGTATCACAGAAAACATCACATCGAAGGAGTTTTACAATAGTTGGATCACGCGTTGCGCCATCGATAAATTCATCCACACTTATTTTATCATCTTTATTTTTGTCCATATGACTGAAAATTTTCTCGGTACGCTTTTCAGGAGTCGATTCATCCTCTTTTAACGTCGTTATTGAGCCAATCATTTTGTAAATTGCCTAAAAATTTTTTGTATATTTTTATTAATAATTTGATATTTTCTTGTTATTAAAAGTAAATTTAGAGAATAGTTTTATGCTATTAGCGAAATTCGAAGCCTCCATTTCAAATATTTTCAGCTATTTTGGCATCATTGAAAAAAAAATTTTAGAATTTTTAAAATTCCATCATTATATGCTGAGGGTCTGAAATATTAACAGACATTGGAAAACGATTAAGCAGTGGAAATACCATGGCAAAGCAAGACCTTCCAGATTGCATCATAGATAAGTGAGGTGACTGATATTGAAAAATCCTACTAAAGGTTCGAAGAAACTAGTCTCAAAAGGCAGAAAACTGCTCCAGAAACAGTCATAGTGGTGCTAAAATACAAGCAGGAACAACATGCACTGAAAGAAATAACCAAGTAGCAGACGTTGTCTTCAGGAATATCTGCTCAATATATGACTTAGACCCTCACAAAACTAGATGGGAGATTCTTAGGAAAACTATGGAGAGGTGAAGATCCTGTGGGACTTCCATATTCAGACAGACAAGCAAATACAGGCATTCAACCAGACATCATGGTAGTGGACAAGAATTATAAATCAGCATTAAATATAACAATACAAACTGACAGAAACGTTATAAAGAAAGAATGTAAGAAATTGGAAAAAAACTACGAGCTGAAAGAGGAACCAGACAAAATGTTGGAAGTAAAGGCTAAAATATTCCATTTACAAAGCACTTAGAACTATGATCCCTAAAATAGAAAAAAGATCTCACCAAATTCCAGGAACAACATCAGAGATCTCTATCCAGAAGAGCCCAAGAACTACGAATATCTAAAACACTGCGCAGAACTCTTAATCTCCAAAGCCCCTAATAGAGGACCCAAGGTTGAGGAACCATTCACAACGTATGAGAAAGAGATTTTTATTTTCTTCATATATAATTCTGAATAATTTTATTTATATTTGTTCATATATTCATATTTTACTTTTAACTCAATGGTAACGATTAATCGAATTGATGAAAATTGGCAAAAATAAATTCGCAAATAAAGTCAATCATACGAACTGAAGGGGAATGAAATGAAATGAGTAACTTGAAAAATGATCAACAATTTTGATAATTTTAATAAAATCGACTTCAATTAAAAAAAAAAAGAAATTAATGATTAATGATGAAATGATAAGAAAGTTGCTTTTTAAGGATTTCAAATTAATACTAATAAAATTTTAATAATTTAAAAAATTTAATAATTTAAAATTTAATAATATAATAAATAATATTTTATGATCATAAATTTATATATCTATTTGTTTTAAGAAATTTTAACAATTTAACAAATTTAATAATGTAATAAAGTTTATTTATGATCATAAATTTATATATCTATTTATTTTAAAAAATTTTAATAATTTTAAAATTAAATAAACATAACTTAAAAAATTTATTATTAAGTAGCACAAAGTGGCACATAAATTTTATTGTTTATAAATGCGCGAATAAATAATATTTTTATGAAAGCTGAAAAAAAAATGAACCATTTTAAAAGCTATTTTTTAAATATATAAAGCCAAAAAAATTTGGAATAAATTTTTAAGGTAAAAATATTTTTTCGTTTTTCCTTAATGCAATGAAATATGTAAAGTAAAGTAAATAAGTGAAATAAATTTATAAGTAAAGTAATAAGTAAATCAGCGGTCAGTATTTCTCATTAGATTCGCTTTTTTGGCTATTATGAGGATCAATTCGCATCAGGGAATCACATTTGCCAGGAATAGAAGTATGGATAATTCGAAATTACAAGTTATCTGCTATTTTCTAAGGAGATAGGAGAAGCTAACGAACCGATGCTTATCAATACGATAGTCCAATCCACTAGTCATACAACAACTATTCTATTCTCGTAATATTGCAAAACAGTTGGTCTCTACAAAAAATATTCATCTAAACCAACTCATTAGCCTAAGGCATAATGACCAAAGGAAAGAAAAGGGGAATAATTGGTGTTCTCTTGGATTCTATTTTCGAAAGATAAGAAATGATAAAATGGCTTAATATTTAACGACATTTTAAGTGGAAAATTTGATTAAGCATATTTTGTTGGAAATTTTGAAGAATTCAATTCATTCGCATTTTATGGAAAATCGCCGCTATAATTCGATTAGAATATTTTTAAGTAATAACAAAAATGACAAATGATAAGTGATTTTTTTTTTAAAAATAATAAAAATATTTAATAAATTTCACGGAAAAAAACGAGATTTGGAGAAGAGGAAAGGAGGAGAAGGAAATGGAAGAAGAGAGGAGGAAAGAAAATGAGGCAAAGGCATGAATTTGTTAACATAATTGGATCCCTGTTACCGAAATTTTCAACGAAATTTTCTTCGACTTCTCAATCAAATCCAATTTTATCGATCATCGCCCACTTATTTTTTATTTGCCAATTCCAAAAATGTCAACGATCAAACGACAGAATGAAGAAAATTATTGAATTTAAAATTTATTTTTAAACTTTAAATTCATTTTTTTTCCAGAAAAATTAAATTTTAGTTTTTTTTTTTCATTCGTTCAATATTTTGATGAATTTTTTTAAAGAGAAATTTTATGAAAATTGAAAAATAAAAAATGGATTATAGTTTATTGGCAAAAGAAAATTAGAAATATTAATTTATCGCTTTTCATTTAATATATTTTCTTTTCCAATAGTCAGTAATAATCAAATTTGACGATAGCCTTAGGCTATTTTAGTAATATCTATCGAAACGAAATATCGAATTACCTAAAATTAATTATATTTTTTGATAAAATAATTTTACATGTGCAGAAAAAGGAAAATTTTTTACACAATGAAATCAGCATTTTGAAAATAATCGACAGATCGAAATGATAAGTGATAATCGATTATCAATAGTAAAATTTTAGATAATTGATGCAAAAAAAAAAATTAAGAAGCCCGGTAAAAATTTTTCAAATTATTTAAGCAGAAAATTAAAAAAATTGGAACGAAATGAAATTTAAAAAAACTTTAAAATAAACCTTAAAACCTTTGAAGCTTATAAATTTAGAAAAAAGAAATAAACCTGAAAAGTTTAAATTTTACTAGTAAAAAATTGGTAACATAAATTCATAACTGTTTGTTTTGCATTTTTATCGATAAAAAAATGTTAGTTGGCCATTAATCATTTTCGATTTAGTCTCATTTTACTAACTATTAATATGGAACTATTTTCAGCAGAGAATCATTTTCGCAAGCGATAAATATGTTTGTACTACCATCAAGTTTTTTAAATTTTATCATTATCATAGAGATCAAATTTTTAAATTCTTTTTAATAAATTCTTATCTTTATCAGAGAACTAATCACGTTTCTTGATAAATTAGCTCAATAAATTTTCTTTTTTTATTTTATCGCCAATACATAAAACATATGAAAAAATTTATGAAAAAACAAAACATTTGTCTATCGTTTAAAAAATTTGTTATATGAGGTTAATATCAAATTTCTGATTATTTTATGAATTTCAATTCTCAAATTTCACTAAAAAAAAAAGAAAAATTTTTCTCAAAATATTAAAATTAATATTAGCAACGAAGGTATAAAATAATCGAAAAAATATTTTCTTTAAAATTATCAATCAACTTCTTTATCAATCAACTTTACTCGCTCTTATATGAGCAAAATTATGCGAGCAAATCGATATTACTTTTTATTTATTTTCTTATAAAAATTTTTTATTTTTTTTTTTTAAATCTTATAAAAGAATTTGTTAATTTCAGTTGAATTGCCATCATTTTAGGAATCATAATTTAGAATCATATGTCATTATCAATCATCAATCAGCATTTGTCATTTTTGTCAATTTTTTTTGCATAAAATTTTCGAAAAATATTGCAAGTAAACAAAGAAAAAAAAATACCATAAATTTATCATTTTTTATCAATGAAAAATTTTAATATTTTTATTTGAAAAATAACATTAATAAATAAATATTAATAAATAAATAATATTTATTCAAATGATCAATAATGCAATAAGCAATAATTATAATTAAATTTATAAATAAATAAAAGAATAAAATAAAGGAAAATATATATTGAAATTATTTGTTGCAATTCCCAAATGCTATTTATTAGAAAATTTATCAAAATAAATTATCAAAATTTCGTTATAAATTAGTTCATTTGCATTGGTTTCATAATCATCCCATATTCGAATTTGTTAATTAATAAAATTTTATCGTCAACCAAATTATAAGGAATTTTAACTTAAAGGAATTTCCTAAATTAGTAGTGAGGTACACGATAGCCGAATGTTTAGCATCTTAGATTAAATGTACTGAGAGAGGGAATAAATCTACCTTTAAAAAATTTAAATACATTAATGGTATCTCTTGCTATATTGCAAAAAAAGCCAACGCAATGAGCCTCATATCTTATTTTTAATAGTGCTCACCATTACTGGTTAAAGTCACTAGGCTTAGGCTATTTTGGTTAAAACTAGACGAATCCCTTGGCGATAGAAGTACAAATGAGTCGCCAGCATCACCCAGATTTTTTAACAGGTTTATTATTGCCGGTAGCAGAACCACGATGTTCTGAACTTCCACTAAGCTGTTTCTACTTTTTTTTTTCTTTTCCTTCGTTAGACGACACTATTTTAATGAGTGGAGTGGTACATTAGTGGGTTTAGACCTATGCCTTGATTCTCGGTGACAATTATCTTGTCATTAAGCCAGTGACGCACCCCTCAATAGAAATATCGACCATTTTCTTTATCTTTATGCGTGCTGTGTGATCATGATTTATCAACGATTTGGATCGTATGGGTTTTTTTATATTATAAAAGAAGCTAATCCAAAATTTATAACTATTTATGAGAAATCAGCGCTATTGATATTCAGGAAGAAGAAGGAATGCGAGAAGCTTGAAAAATACCAGAAGCTAAGAGAGGAACTAAAAAAAATGCGACAAATGAAACTCCAGTGGTAGTGGTAGCAACATTTGGAATTCTGATCTCTAAACTAAACTAGAAAAATAACTTCAGTAGATTCAAGGAACAATATCAAAGATCTCTATCGCGAAGAGCTATTACTATTAGGAATAGCTAAAATATTGCACAAAATGTTCAAGCTCCTAGACCTCTGGCATACAAAATTTCTAGTCTGATGAAGACCTATAGGCAATAAGAAAATGATTTTTGTAAATATATATATAATTATATTTATATATATATATATAATCGAGAGTAAAGCCCTCTCGATGCAATAATAAAGATTGGATTTATAATGTTTATTGACTTAGTATTATCTATAGAGATGAGATGAGATGGGGAATAATTTAGCGCTTTCCATTCATAAGTTGTTGCCCTATGGGTATTTTATATTCATCAACATAAAAATAAATTATTATGTTGCTTTCTTGTTGTTCTTATAAAATGCAAAAAAAAAAGATTTAACCAAAATAATGAAAAAAAATCTATTGCATAAATTTTCGATTTTTGTCGAATAATATAATTTATAATCAACTAAAATTTTTCTTTATAAACACACTTTTATCATTTGTGATTAGATGCGAAACGTTGCCTTATCATTGATTATCACTGACGAATCAGAGACAAATTATTTTGCCAGAAAATCATTCATTTAGCAATTTAAATACAAATAAGCATCGTTCAAATATTATTTTGAAAGATAGAATTATTTCTCGCATTTGAGAGTAAAATTTCAATATTAAAATTTATTCGATTTTATCCATCTAATTTATTTATTTAAAATAATTTAATAAAATATTTAAATTATTTCAATTTATGAAAATTTATATTTGAAAATTTGTAATAATTTTGAAAAATTTTTCAAAAACTGTTTACTATTTTCAGCGACTAAATTAAATATTATTATTGCTCTACATTTATTTTTGTTAGTTAATTCGAAATAGCAATAATTGTCAAATTTGATTAGACATTTCATTCATAGAATAGGATAGGCGAATGATTATTGCACAGATTCATCCTATTAAGTACCATTGTGTCTCGGCATAAATGACGGAGATGAATAAATAACTTTTTTTTAAAAAATCCTTATACTACTCAATACTTGCATCATTCTTATGTTTGTCTTTCAAAAATTCCCCGTGTAGTTATTGCTAAGATTCATCCTATTGAGTACCAATGTGTCTCTTCTCACAGCGTAAATGACACGGGTAAATTTATCTTTAAAAAATGCTACTCGAATACTTGCACTCCTATATATCATTCAAATATCTCATATCTTTCTAATTAATAATTAGTGAATCGAATCTAATTTGAAATGGTGAATGGTGAATTTGAAATGGTAACCATTTAGTTCGTTCATATAAAAAATACAACAAATACGAATGGATTAAATGAGAAAATTTGCCTTTATGATTTAAATTTTGGTGAATTTTGGTGATTCGAATTTTGGTGAATTTTGATGATTTGAATTTTCAATAGTGGTACCAATAAAATATTCATAAAAACGATTAAAATTTTCATAAACAGCAATTAATTTTGATTGACGAAATAATTGCCTATATAAAAATAACTTAATTACTGCCGTTTAATTGTAATTATAATAATCGAAAATTATTAGGCATAAATAAAAGTTGATTTTCGTGTCATGTTACTTACTACTTTGGACTAATCTTTTCATAAGCCTAGATAAATAATAACGGCCAACCGATATTTTCTTATTTTCTTATCACAAATATACGTCAACATATTTGTTATCACTTCTATAGGATTTCGATTAAAACTATTTATTTATTGAACGTAAAAAATAAAAGAAATTTTTCCAATTATTTGCATGAATTAAAAAAGAAACATAAAAAGGAATGGACTAAAGCGAATAAATTTATCACCAAAAATAAAATCACCAAATAATCCTAAGGATTATTTATTTGATAATCTAGAAAAAAAATACAATATGCATAAAAAGATTTTGATTCTTTTTGCCAAATTTTTTTTTTTCAAATTCATTAATATATCTAGAGTTTTTTTTTTTTTTTTTTAAGTCCCTCACCACTGATAAAATTTGCTCCACTGGTTTGTCGCATTGGGCAAAATGCCATGGAGCCTCTTGGCGATAGAAGTGCAGGCGAGTCGCTAGCACCACGCGGTTTTTGGACAGGTTTACTCCTGCGAGGAATCAAACCTCAGTATCATCGCTCCCATTTAAGCAATAACCCACTAAATCATTCGATCTCCTAAGGCTAGAAATTTTTATTATCAATTTTCTTATCAAGAAGAGTTAGCAGAAAAAAGAGGTGTTTTTTCGTTCAATTTCTTTTTTTTTCTTAGAAAAAGAAATATTTTCTTTTTTATTTTTTTTTTCAAATTTAATTATTTGTTATTGAATAGAAATTTTTCCTTCGATCTTATATTAGTGAAATAAATTGAATTTTTTGGTGGAAACGAAAACATTGACAATATTGACGAGCATTTCGTTTAGTTAGTTCATCATCATCATCATCATCGGCGTCAATGTTTCCTCCTCTTCATGTCGTCGTTGTCGTTATCATTATTGCTGTCATTATCATTATTATCATTATCAGTGTCGTTCGTCAATTGTCGTCGAATTTTCATCAATTAATATTACATTTATTATTGAAAAAATAACGCCATCAATAATGAAATAAATAAGAAAATCGCATTAGTTTTTTAGGTCAAAAAATTTTCCTTCACAAATGCATTTATAAAAAATACTTTGTTTAGGAAATAAATCGATCTTCAATTTTCTCTCTTCAATCTAATTTTTCTTTTTTTTCGCTAATGAATCTCCTATAAAAATTTAAAAAATTTCAAAAAAAAGAGGAATTATTTAGTAAAAAAAAAAAATTTAGGGATAATCGGAATGATTGAAAATTATGTTTCGATGTTTCACCTTCAATGATATTTTTATTAATTTTACAATTTCAATGTTTTCAATGTAAAAAAAAAAGAAAAGAAAAATTATTATTATTAATTAAAGGTTTATTTTAAAATTAATTAACGACAATTCTATAATATAATAAATATAATAAAAATTCTATATGGTTACCATAAATTAAATTATAAATTATAAAAAAAAATTATAAAAAATTATTAAAATCATAAAAAAATTATAAAAAAAAATTTTTTATAAATTTAGATTTAGATTTTAATATAACAAAATCTTATTGGGCTAAAATTATTAAAATCAAAAATCAAAAAATGCAAAATAATACAAAATATTAAAGACGTACAATTTTTTAATTCGCACCATTATTTAGTGGAATAAGCTATCGAATGAAACTGAAATTCGTACAATTGTATTTAATTAAAAAAAAAAAATAATATCATCCACGATCTTATCATATCACCATTTATCATTCGAATCAGTATGATTTTATGATGATATTCTGTAATAATTCTTTTTCAATTTTTATTATTTCTCCCTTATATTATTAGCTTTTAGTGCTTTTGACTTTAGTGCATATCAAATTTACTAAATTCTTTTTCGTTTCATTGGCTCTATTTCTATAGTTCGAGAAATTAATGCAAGCACATAACTCACTCATTGCTTGGCTTGCTTCAAGTAAACATCGTCTATCGTCATACATCTGATTTCTATGAAAAATTTCTCAAATTTTCATAATAGCAAGCAGCATAGCGAAACTAATAGAAAAATAAAAATAGTAATAAAAGCATTTTAACCACTTAATCAGTTATGATTATTATTATTAAAATGCAATATATATTTATTGCTTAAAATTCAATTTAAATCATTGATTTGAAATTCTTATTAAAATAAAATAATTTTTTTTAAAAAAAAATAGAACGAAACCATTCATCCCTTCTCATCTCTTCAAATAATCTTCTTCGTTATTAATTATCACTAATCAGTTTGTCTCTCTTATCATCTTTAATTCATCTTTACCATCCATCTTTAATTAAATTTAATTCATTCGCAAAAATTATTACTATCTTTATTATTATTATTATCATTATTATTATTTATTTATTATTATTATCTTTTTTAGAACAATTTCAACCATATTTTTATTTGCAAAAAATTATAATAAAAATTATGAATTAAAAACAAAAAAAAATGAAAAATAAAACTTCATAATTTGCATAATTCTCCACATGAATCAAAGAATAATAATAATATAAAACAAAACAAAAAAAAAAAAAGGAATGAGAGGTGAATGAAGCCAAACAATATTAACAATATTCCAGTACAGCCATTTATTATTTAATTATTTAATTTTAGACGACAAATTTATAATTCTATCATTTTCTTAAAGTAAAGATCCATTGAAAAATATATGTTAATAGGAAAAATTAAGCTGAAAAAAAGAACTTATTTGAAATTTCTTGATGTACTTATTTCCTAAATACACGCACACAGGAGGTGGCTTGTCGTTAATATGATTGGCTGGAAGTGTATTAAGATAACACCACCCATTTATTAATAAATCATACTGATAAAACAAAATAAATTACAAAAAAACAAATTTTAAGTCAAACCTGTAATTCTCTTCCTTTATCACTAATGAATATTCTACAGAAAAATAAAAAAAGACAAATCCTCAAATTGTTGAAACAGATGAGCATAAGCATTTCTTATCTTATCTGTTAATAACTCTATCCTTCTTTATCATTGATAAATCCATTAAATCTATCTAATTTTGCTGCCCATCTAAACGAAATGTTTTCTTTCATTCAAAAAAAAAAAAAAAGGATTTTCTTTTTAAAAATTTTTCGCTTACCGTTATAATTTCAAGCATTTCATCACGTGAAATATATCCATTACCATCTAAATCATACATATTGAAAGCCCAACGAAGTTTCTCATCGATTTTACCACGAATTGTTATTGAAAGTGCACATAGAAATTCTCGAAAATCTATACTACCATCGCGATTCGTATCAAATGTACGAAAAACATGTCCAGCAAAACGTGTCGCATCACCATTCGGGAAAAAATTTGCATAAATCCTCTTAAATTCATCAATTGAAAGATTACCCGATGGGCAATCTTTACGAAAACCATGATACCATTCGATAATTTCACTTTTCGTGAATTCCGTACAATTCAATAAATCACTTAATTGATCCGGTTTAAGTTTACTTTGATTTCTACCCATAATAAAATTGGGAAAAAATAAAAATAAAAATGAAAACAATAAAAATAGATTTTTTTTTTTTTCACCAATTCTAGAAATAGTGAAGAAATTGTTCAAATAAAATTTGAACTTTATAAGTTGAACGACTGAACAACAATGAATTAAGGAGAGATAGAAGATAATTTGCGATGATTGCACGCAGAGAGCACGAAATTATTATTATTATTATTATTATTACTAAAAGCTTTTTCTTTTCTTCTCAAATCAACTAGCTAGCTAAACCGATTCTGAAAATAACTGACGCCCGATCATTGTTAACATTCTCTGATCAACTAACACTTAACAACGCCAGCTTAACATAACAATATAACAACTGATACTATTTATTTAAAAAAAAAAGAAAAAATATTTAGAAAAAAACAAAATCAATAAGATACATATCTAATATCGACAAAAAAAAAAATGCTTTCTTTAATCGCTTTATAACGAATAAAAATTAGACCAATTAGTTGATCGATTAAAACCATATAAAATAAAAAACTATGAGACTTTTTAAATAAATAAACCGAGTTAAGATTTACCACAATCACCACCTTCAGACGAGACAAGTTAGCCAGCTGTTCAGTCTATAAAATTATTAAATGACCGCTATAAATCGGCAATTAAAATCAAATTATCAATTATCCATTAGCTATCTTAACTATATATAATAACTACTGAATATAATTCAATTCAAATTAAATTAGAACTGCAAAATAATCAAAATATTTAAAAATTAATATTACAAAAATCAATAATTAATAATTAATGATAAAAAAACATGGAATGAAGGAGAAAAAAGTTTGAAAGAGGCAAAAAAATAAAGGATTAAAAAAAAATCCAGCATTTATTTCCTCTATTGTATAAAGTCATCTATCATAGTAAGTCAGCCGTCATAAGACATTATTTAAAACATTTCATCAAATTTTTCTCAAAAGTCATAAGTCTTTTTGAAATTTTCAAATGCATTGAGAGTTTAGGAAATAAGTACCAATATAACATTTGTAAATATATATATATATAAGATCACAAAGCAACCAACGGTGATCGATATTTATCGTCTGTTTATTACTTTTCTTTTCAATTGATATAGTTTTTCCACTAAAATCCTCTCAACAATCATTACTTATTTTTTCACTTCATTAGTTAAAATCTGGAAAAGTTCCTTATCGGCAAGACATCCATCAACGAATTCTTTCAATGTTAATTCCTGAAACATTTCTCGAATTTCAAATTTACTTAGGAAAAATAGCGAGAGAAATGGTAAAATGGTAAAATGGTGAGAAATGATGAGGTGAGAGAAAAAGGGGTATGGGGAAAAGAAGAATGAAAAATTTTAAAAAAATGTTCTTCTTTTCATTTTATCTAGATCAAGTAATATTATTGCCTATATTTAATAATAAAAGTAAGTAAATCAATTGAATTTGTCGCCTATTCCAATTGATTCTCAACGAATAAAAAATTAAGACAATTAGTCAGCCGCTGAAGAATTTTCTACAAAAATTTTTTTGATCAAAATCTACCACCTGCTGAATTCTAAACATCAATTAAGACAAATTTATATATCGCCTAATGGGGCCCATTATTTTCAATTGCAAAATGGAAGTGAAGGTGTTGAAGGAGAAAAGATAAAGAATAAATCATAAATATTTCCTCTTTTATGAGATAAACGATGGAAGGAAGGAAAGAAGAAATCGAACACCTGCATATTCTTTTTGCAGTTTTTGTGTTTTTTTTTATTCTTTCAATAACATAAAATTTCATTTTCCAAAACAAATTTTCCTAGTGGAATAATTGCAATAAAAAAAAAAAATTAGAAAAGCTTCGATAAAATAAAATAAAGAATTGGAAAAAAACCCCATAAAAAAAAATTATATTAGCGCTGTTAAACTTAAACGACATCCAGTTTCGTTGGTTTTGTTTAAATAAATTTTTTTAAATTGGACTGACAAAGAAGGAAAAATAAAAATCTAAGCCACAGAATAAAACAATCTAAAAATATTATAAAAATAAGTGAGTGAATGAGTGGTACACTCACTCATTATCTCTTAGGCACCCTACTGGCACGGACACACTTGGCATTAAAACGGAATAACTAACAACACTAAGATATTTTAATAACTATTCCTTTATTCCTGTCGAATGCAGTCAATTGAGGATAAGTTATTAACAACACTGCTATTCTAACCTCTGATAATTAAGGATGAAGTAGAAAATATGAAAAAAAAACACACAAAATAATAAAAATCATGTAGTCATCTATCAATATTCTATATCATTATCACTATATCCATTTTCTAACCTTATCATTATTAACATCCATTTTTTCGAAAATCATTTTTGCTCGTTTTCTCGGCGAATCATCTGCTGATTTTGTTACTTCAGGTCCAAGCATTTCGTATATTGCCTTAAAAATGCGAAACTTAGAAATTTAGAAATTTTATAAATAATGAAGATAAATAATGGAATAAATAATTTTTTACAAACAAGAAACAATTTTTTACAACCAAACTTTTAAAAAATTATAAAAAATAACTTCAACAAAAAGGGATCCATTTTTTCTCGCTTTTTTCCTATTATCCTATCTTTTCTCCAATTTTTTAATTTTAATGAATTTCATTATTTACTTAATAATACCTATTATAATTTCTGTGAAACATGAAATAAAACATAGATGAATTAGCAAATTGAAAGAAATAATAAATATGGACTACTTCTTTAATCAGTGGAACTCAAAATTTTTTTAAAATTTCTAAGTTTAAAAATATAAATGAATGATGAGAAATGAAATGACAAGTTTTCTTAATGAATCAGCATTCCAAAAAAATATTAAATAATTGGAAGTAAAGATAATGAAGGACATAAGGTGGAGGGGGGAGGGGTAGGGGGATTTAAATAAGCAAATTTTTTGAACAAATAAATATTCCACCCATTCAAATAAATAACTAGATAAAATGATAAGCTTTACCATTTCTAGTTCTACTCATTTCACTGGCTACTAAGGTGAGATCTTATATATATATCTTCGATAAAATCCTCGCCAAATAGTCATTTGTGGATAGAAATTTCATAGTACGACCGAGTTTTTTAACGACACATTTCTGTAGGGACAGGAACCCTTTGTATTTTATTTACGTCCATCATAAATATAAATTAGGTATTCCTTCCTTTCCTTCGTTTTATAGCAAAAAATTAAATGTGATTTCATAAATCATAAAATTTTTCATAAAAATAAAAAAGATAAAAAAAGATTGAATATAAAAATAAAAAATGAACTGACTTAATGAGAAATATTCAGATTTACTGAAAAAAGAATTCTAAAAAAAAATCCAAAAAGAATTGATAAAATAATCCTCTTAATTAAAAAATTTTAACTATTTTTCAATAAATGAATCAGCATTCATCATTGCTGATTAAATTCACTCTCCTGACTGCTAGCTGATACGGTTAAATACTAATTTTTACCAATGAATTATATACCGACTAGTACCACCTGATCCTACTATTATGATTTAATACGGGGAGAAAAATCGAACTCTCACCTCTGAATAAGATAAATAATCTAAGCTATAGGAAAAATAGCTTTAGAAAATCTAGAAAAAAATGAATAAGAAAAATTCCTTCCAAAATAAAAAGATTTATGGAACAATTAAAGGAAATCAAATTTTTATTCTAAACCAAAGCATAAAAATATTTTTATTTTCTATTTTTAAAATACTTAGTATTACCATTATTTCAATTATTACAAATTAAAAATTTTTCAAGGGTAGGAATTTCACTAAAATAGCAAAAATTTATTTAGTAGATTTGATAAATTTGATAAAAATTTGATAAAATTTGATAAAATATCATAATGTTAAAAAATTTTGTACCTCCCACATACCTACCACTGGTACTCTACTAAATTTTTTTCATTCCTATTTTAAATCCATATTCAAAATCCAAAAAAAAAGGTAACGAAAAATATATAAGATCAATCAATGAAGGAAATCAAAATTCCTCCAACTGAAAAGAAACAAAAACAAACCTCGATAATTTTAATCATTTCTTTTTCGTCGATAGTACCATTACCATCAATATCATACATCCTAAACGCCCATTCAAGTTTTTGCTCAGGTGTACCCGAACTTGTCACGTTAATTGCCAGTAGAAATTCTTTAAAATCAATAAAACCACTGTTATCCGTATCGAATGTCCGAAAAACATGTTCACAAAATCCTTCAGCACTACCCGATGGGAAAAAATCTTTATAAACTTTTATAAATTGTTCTTTCGTTAGATGTCCTTTAGGGCAATCTTGCTGCAAAAGAGATAATTATAAATTAGATTCACAAGTTATATATCGATAAATATGTTAAAATGCCAATTAATGGACTAGTATTGAAAATAAGGGCAAATATTTTTCTTCTTCTACATTTCTGGTTTGATTAGACTCTCAATAGGTTTATTCTGTTAAAAGATAAGAGACAAATCCATGTTGCTAGTCTTTAGATAATGCGACATATCCTTAACCATTCTGCTTCTCAGTTAATATGATTTGGTTAATTTCATTTATCCACGATCATAATATAAATGTATATATATTTATATATTTAATATTATGCTTGTTAATATTATCATTATTATCATTATCATTATCACTATTGCCATTATTACTATAATCATTGTTAATATTAATACCATTATTGTGGATTTTAGTCTTGAGAACAGCAATAGCAATAACAAGTCGATTAAAACTTTATAAACATGAACAATTCCCTTAAGGTATCATATCAATAATTTCATCAAATGACAAGATTTTAAGTCGCATTGTGTCACATAATTTTTAATATAATTTCATAATTTAACATAATTTCATCTAAAAACCTGCATTGTCCTATAATTTAGTACATCAACCTTGCAATGTCCTACAAATTTATCATCAGAAAAACTAATGAACTAATTTTCGAAAATATGAATTCGTAAATATTGCATAATATTAGTAAAAATGAGAATACATGAAGGATGGCAGAATTTTTATTTTTAATGGGAATTTTGAACATATAATAATGGGAGAAAGATTTGCCTTAACAGCCTTAAGCTATAAACAACGTTATTATTTATTATTAAAGAACTATAAGTGAGTTTTGCTTATAGAAACGCAATTCAGCAAAATCAAAATAACACCAACACTACTAATTTCTGCCAAAAAAAGACAATGCAATAATAGACAAGACAATACAACAAGACAATTGTTTAATACTAGAAAATATTGTTATTTGAAAACAAAACAAAACTTGATCTTATCACATAATAAACAATGATAATATGAAGGTAACCAAATCACCTCTAGCAAAATTTTTTTCCCAATAATTTTCAAAATATAAATAGATATTAATACTAAAAATATTAATACTAAAAAACTAGATACTAGAAATATTAATACTAAAAAAATTTGCGATAACCATCGTAGCGTGGCATACAATAAAAGTTTCCAAATTAATATAACAGTATAACAGTGACGAAATTAATTCATAAGTAAAAACTGGTACCATAGCATCTAAAATCAACTCATTTATGAATATCTGCATTGCTTTATGCAACCAGTTTTTGTTTAATACCAGAAAATATTGAAAACATAAAACTTGATCTTATCATACAATGAATGATATGAAGATAACCTAATCGCTGAATTAAAAATACAGTTAAGTATAGAACTAAAATATGTGATAGCGGTAATAAAAATTTTTTATAATTTATTATAATTTATTTATAATTTTCATTAAAATTAAAAAATTAAAATAAAAATTATAGTGAAGATGGTAAGGCAAATAAACACTATAGAATTAAACCTGAAATATTCTATACACCAATTTTTATTTTTATTTTAAATATATATCATTTTATGGTTAAATATATACGAAAGTTATGGCGTAAATTTATGGTGTAAATAAAAAGTGGTCACCATTTCTGATAAATATAGCTCCACTAGTCAAAAATTTATATTAGAAAATCACCTTAACGAGAAATGCACAAACAGTACCATCCTAATTTTCTAATAACAGATTTATTTTCCGCAAATAATGGCACTAAACAAATATTTTTTTAAAAGAAAATAAAATTTTATCTATAATTTTTGTATAAAATCTTGGACAATACTAACAGATTTTTGGTATTATTTGATTTCCTTTTTCGAAATTTAAATAAATTTAAAGTAGTTAAATTTAAATTTTTAAAGTAACAAAAAGAAAGTAAAAAAAATCCTTGAAAAAGGTTTAAAGTTAAGGTTTGAAGGCAGAAAAAAAAAGAAAAAATTATGCAAAATAAGCTGAAATGAGTTTTTAGTTTTTACAATTCATACTTTATTTATATTTAGACTATAGGGTAATATAAATAAATAATTAATGAGAATAAATAAGTAAATTAATTAACAAAAATAAATAAATAAATAAAGATATAGTCAATTTGATTTCAAATATTGCTGATAATGCTTGAAACTTTTTTATCTCTATCCATGAGCTATGGCTTATCTCCTCTTCTGCTTCTAAGTGAAGCGAATGGACCTATTTGATTTTTAATATCCTAATAACCCTCCTAATAATCCTAATACCTCTCAGTGAGGGGATAGAATGGTTCAGTGAGTTGTTGTTCAATTCGGATGCTGCGGTTTAATTTCCCACGAAATAAATCTGTACAAAATCCTGCGGGTGATGCTGGCGAATCACCTGCACTTCTATCGCCAAGGGATTCCCTGGCATATTTGTCCACTGCAACAAACCAGCCAAGCGAATTTAAACAGTAACGGTGAGGATTCTAAAAAAAAAAAATATCCCTTAGTGAAGTGAAGTAAATGAATTTTATCCTAAGGTGATCAATAGAGGTAACTAAATATTACACCAAAAATGTGGAAGAAGAAAAACCGATTATTTATCGATTAAAATCGAATAATTTTCTGGTTTTTGGTTCTATAAAAAAAAAAAAAACAACCAACCACAAAACCTTTGTACCATTCTTTTATTTGTTCCTCAGTGAAATTCGTATTCCTCTTGAGAAATTCAAGATCCTCTTTCGATAATTTCGGTTTTGAACCTTTTAAACCCATCGATAGAAAATGTAAAACAATAGTTATTCCGATAAATGTATGCTATGTATTTGTATGATTGATAGACGATGTACTAGTGGATTAATACAACGGGGCGGGGTTATCGCCAATTGAGGCAAAAAGAAAAATTGATGAGAGAAAAAAATTATGAAAAGATGAGAGAGAATATAATTAGATGAAAGAGGAGTTAGAGTAAAGTAGAAAATAATAATAGAGTATTGTTTCAATATAAGGGAAAATAGTGACGAGAATAAGAAGGGTTTTTTTTTGAATTTCTTTTTTTTCAAATTTTGACCTATGAACTCCTCGAAACCCGGGTTTTAGCTCAAATCGATTAGCTCGACCTGAGAATAAATTCAGCTTTTGAGCTGAAATCGATCTGGAAAATAGGTAAAAAACTATAAAGACTCGACACACAACCACACAAACCAGTACAACAAGCCAATAACAGAAATTCGGTTGGTCGTATATAAAAGCGCATCTTCCATCGCGGTGTTCCCTCTTTCTAGACTCCTCCCATTGGTTTCTCGCTTCTCATTGGTTAACATGATTCCAAAAAAAATCAATTCAATTTTGAACCCCACCCACCAACTTTATCCTTATTTGGAATGGCTCTTTGGATTACTGTATATTTTTGGCTCGCTGCCAATAAAATTTTATTCTTTCTTTATTCTTATGAAGAGTTTCTGATTGGAGAAAATATTTATTGCGCTAATTACTGTTTGTTTATTTTTTTTTTGAGATTTTTTTTGCGGTAAATTTTCGCTAAATAAGTAAAATTGAGCGAAAATCGAAAGAGTATAAAGGAAATTACGAAAGGAAAAAAAAATGATGTCGGACGTGGAAAATTTTATGGATAATTGTCGTGCGGCACGCGAAAATGCATTTCATCGAAAATATGAGCAATCGTCGATATTATTTCGTACAGCTATTTCACAATTAGATCGTTATATTTCGAAGCGAACGAATAACGAAGCACAACAACAACAACAACGTTTCGAATGGATTCATGTAATAATAAATGTTTCTTTTTTTATTTAAAAAAGATCCCTTTGGCTTAGGCTTATTTTCATTTGCTATTTATTTGTACGTTTAGAATCATTAAATTGACGAATGGACTGCGCCAATATCGGCAGTAATTTTTCATCCCCTATGAGTGGTCGTCATGATTGTCCTCAGCCTTGATTCGTTTATCGGAGGCCTAGAAATTTGAGGGTTCTATGCAATATCGAAGTTGTTTCTAATATTACACTCGTATGGACAGAGATCTATGACGTTGTTCCAGAAATCTGCTGAAGCCCGATTTAATATTATTTTAAAGTGATAAATTGTAAAAAATTTTTTATTTTACAATTTTAGGCTTTTTTTTTTCTTTGAAGGTGAAATCATTGTTGAAGCAAGATATGGAACGTGTAAAAAATTTAGCGGAAATGGTGGTACAATTGCGACAATTGGTTAATAATACAACAGCGTCTTCACCAACAGATTTACCGCCAACGGATCCGGATAATTGGTCATTACCGCCGCCAATGCCAAAAAAACACATTATAAGAAATAAAGCATCAGCAGTGCTAACTTCAGTTGATCGCAAAACAACACTACGTTCTCAGGTTACTCCAAAGATTCTAAATAAATCAACAAGCCAGGTTCATATTGGACGAAATGCGCTTAACAGACGAGCAAGTTCCGTAGGTCGAGCTGTAAAAGAAGCACCACAACCTGACGAAACTAATCGTTCTGATGATAAAGATAAAAATGTATTTTTTTATTTTGGTTTGCTTATTTTTTTTGCAAATTTTTTATAATTTTTATTTGTTATGAAAAATTTATTTTATTTAAATTTTTATTATTTTATTTTTATTATTTTATTTTATTTTCTAAGAATGTCGTAGGAGTTATTCATTCTGTCATTTTTTTGTAAATAAATAATTCATTTCTAAGAATTTCATTTTTATAATCCTTTCGACAATTTGGAGATTAATAGAACTAGTTTTACACTTTATTTTCATTACCGAAATTTTGCAACAATTTCCAACTAATAGAAATTTTCAAAAAAAAATTTTCAGGAGAAAGAAGGTGAGAGAATTTTTGATGAAAAAGGTTTTGATAAAGAATTGATAGAGATTATCGAACGAGATATTGTGCAACATCGGCCTGAAGTTTCATGGAAAGATATAGCTGGTTTAAAAGAAGCGAAAGAGTTGCTTAAAGAAGCCGTAATATTGCCGACGATGATGCCGAATTATTTCAAGGTGAAACTTAAGAAATTTGCAATTCATTGAGTATTTTTATTTATATTTATTTAAGGGTATTCGTCGGCCATGGCGAGGTGTTTGCATGGTTGGACCTCCTGGCACTGGGAAAACAATGCTTGCAAAAGCTGTCGCCACCGAAAGTGGAACGACATTTTTTTGTGTATCTTCTGCGACATTGACATCGAAGTATAGAGGTGATTCTGAAAAACTTGTACAACTTCTTTTCAAAATGGTGATTTTTTTTTGTTTGTTTGTTATTTCATAAAATTTAGATTTTTGATTTTATAAAACTTTGAAAAAATTTTTATGAAATTTTTTTCTTAATTCTCCTTCCTTTCGTGCAAAAATTATAAATTAGAAGTACTTGGTTGAAACCAAATTTTTAAAATAAATTTTCATCTAGAATTTACGAAATTTCGAAATGAATTTGGAAGCTGTTAATAATTTCAGGCGCGTTTTCATGCACCTTCAACGATATTCATCGATGAAATTGATAGTTTATGTAGTAAACGAGGTGTGGATTCGGAACATGAAGCATCACGTCGAGTTAAATCTGAGCTTTTGACGCAAATGGATGGTTTCTTTTTTTCATTTTCTAGAAATGCTTTTTTTTTTTTTACTTAGTTGGATTCCTTACCATCATTAATCTTCTTTTAGAAGCTCGCACCATTGCTGGTTTGGCTCACTCCATTGATTAATCGAATAACTTGTTCTAGGCTTCCAGTCTGATGTCATTTTTGTAACTGCTTTTTCATTTTTTTTCCATCACATAAATCCGGCCAGCTACGTATTCAAAATTTTTATCGCTCCACGTCTTAATTGAACCTCCTTTCCTCTATCATAATCTATCTCATGTTGTGGACGGTTAATATGGTGTAATATAGCACAGGGACGAAGCGGTAATATTCTTAACGCAGATGGTATTCGATGGTAGTTGCAATATATGACTTTGCGAATATATAGGATTAATAGGTAAGAATGTTCGAAAGTAGATAACTTTTTGAATTTTTTTTCCATTTTGTCTCGCAGATTTAGAAAAGGATTGCGTACTGCTACTGAAAACCAAAGTTGCCAGATATATAAATAAACTTTCGTTTTCGGTATTTTTCGACGATTCCAAAGAATTTTCACCAGACGAAAGGAAGTAACTCTGGCTACAGCAATTCGGGTTAAACTTTCACCTTTTGTCTCATATAAATTGAATAAACTACGTCTTCTCACTATTTAATATATAAGATGATAAGAATTTTATCTCACTTGGCCTTTTCGCTCGTTCTGTCCAAAGTCCATCGCAGTGAAATTGTCATATCAGCGAAACGGGCGACAGCATATTCAAGATAATATTATGCCATGGGCTGATCGTAAATTGTCAAGTGGTATCTATAACCCAGTATGTCGCACGGTTGAAAATTATAGGGGTGAAGATACCCAGGCGGATATTTATTTCAAAATGTCATTTTGTTTATTTTTGTCATTTTCCCATACTTACGCATATGCATTGCCATACGTTGAAAAAACACTTTGAGAAGTCTGATTATCTTCTCTGGAACACCAAATTGCGTAGTGAGATCCACCGATATTGAGCTATCGATCAAAACAAAAACGACAAAGCATGTAGCGGTAAATTGTCGACACTTGAAATTTTATTTGTCTTTACCTTTCTTTTGTTTTTCTCAACTTGAAAATTTGGTCATCACAATTATGCTTCAAGCTTAATCTTAGTTTAGGGAACATCTTGCAGTCACTTATCATGCTAGTCTGTCCAGCAGAAAAGTGACAAAAACCATCATTAATAATTCAGGAAAACTTGTAGTTCTATATAGGGTTATTTTTGCCATCAAAATTTTTTTTCCATCTTACAGTGATGTTTCTTCGTGTTTTATTAATGTAAATATTTCAAATGTATATTTGTTTTATTGTGGTGATAAGATTAAATTTGATCACTGAAAATTAGCTTAATTGGAATTTTGCCTTTACCTTTCTTCTGCAACCTTTAAATGTTCCTTAAATATTTTTTCATTGTTTTAGGTTGCGCTTCTGACAATTCTCGAGTACTTGTTCTGGTTGCTACAAATTTCCCATGGGACTTGGATGAAGCCTTGCGGCGGCGACTCGAAAAAAGGATATACATACCATTACCTGATAAAGAAGGTCGATTACAGCTACTCAAACTGTCTCTAGCTGAGGTTTCACTTGCTGCTGACGTAGATCTTGAAGAGGTATCTCTTATTTTGCGGCAAAAAAAGGAAAATTTCTCAAAGCTACATTATATTGGTTAAAGTAGGCATTGTAAAATTTGATTTGCTAGTATATTTTTAAGATAGCAGAACGCTTAGAAGGATATTCTGGAGCAGATGTAACAAGTGTATGTCGGGAAGCAGCAATGATGAGCATGCGTGCTCGAATTATCAATCTGACAGCCGACGAAATAAAAGAATTAGCGCGAGAAGATGTCGATTTACCGATAACGGCTGCGGATTTTGCGACTGCTATAGCACATACTTCTCCATCAGTCTCGCTAAATGACATTCAGAAATACGAAAAATGGATTCATGATTTTGGAGCATCATAATAGTGTCTTATGAGAATTGTCAGCAAAATAGATTTTTAGTATTTGGTTTGGTGAATGAACGAATTTTTCAAAAACTATTTGTAAATAATCGGTTGAAAATTAATTTGATTAATTTAATTTGATCTGGATATTTGTTTACATTCAGTTATTTCTTATATTTTTTCTTATCCATAAATTCTTTTTTAATTTATTGCAGTTGGTTTTTGACTTCGAATAACGAAAACATCTGGTTTCTTCTGGTATCTGGTAAATAGATGAGATTATAATATTATAATATTAGTTAGTAATATTTATAATATTACTTATATTTATATTTATTATTATTACTTTTATTAGAGATTTTTTAAAAGTAGTTTTGAAGTGCTCTAATGAAATTTTGTTGCCATTCGACTTTCTAAATAATTTTTTTCATTTAATTTTATTGGAATAGTTTTTATTGTCTCAAATGAAAATTTTTTTTTTATTTCTTACTGATAAAAGTTCATTTTTATTTGTATCGAATTTTTTCATCGAGTAAATAGTAAATAAGCTAGTTAATATTTGAATTTTTTTCTGATTATTTTATTTTTGAAGCTATTTATATTTATTCTATTTATATCTATTTGAAGCTATTATTTGTCTTTTGATTCGCCTGGGTGATTCATTAGCAAAATTTGCTTGGTATCAGTGGAGAGGGAAATAACAATAATAGTGAGTGCTGTTGTCCCCTTTGGACTGAACTGAGAGGATAAAGTTACGCGTACGCGTAACTTGTATAAGTGTACGCGTAACGTGAATGTTGTTTTTTTTTTGGCTTCAGTGATTTTCTAGTCGTTTTTAGACGTTTTCTTTCATGTAGGCGTATTTAATGAATGCATTTTGCAAAATTTGACCAGAAAATTCATCTGGAGGGAGGTTCATTTTTAGAATTTGGCGTTTATAGAGAAATTTGTAGAAATATTCACTGCTGGCAGTTTTTCATCTTCGATCAAATTTCTCAATTTTTTATCAGTAAAACTAACTTGTTAAATTTTTTCTTACTGAATTTGCTGATTTTAGAAAATGAAAATTTTTGCCATCAAATATTCATCGAAGAAATTTTTTCCGCCGAATAACATAAGAAATATTTTTCCCTATTCCTGGAAATTTTGAATCAAGTATATTTATATGAAAAAGTAAAATTTTCGCGATGATTTTAAATATATTTTTTTGAAATTTTTTAAATTTTTATTTAAGAAAAATTTTATATATAATAAAGAAAATTTTTAGACGTTGCATTGATGAAATAAGCATAGAATTTTTTTTTTTCATTATAATATTATCATTATAAAAATATTTTTTAACGGAATTGCAATAATAAAGAAAATATAAAATTTAAAATTAAATGAGTTATTGAAACGCTGAAAATTTTTGACAACGTAAAGCCTATGAATTCATATTTTTTCATTGATATAATTTGAAATTTATTTAAAATTTATAAAAAAAAATTATTCGATTTTCTCATCGAAGCCTCGGACTATTTATATCGAATTCATTAGGAAACGTTGGGAGTTTTTGAGAAGCTTCTTGATTAAAATCATTAAAGATTAATATTGTATGAAGCTAATATGAATTAAACATTTTTGTTAAATTGTGCATTCCACAAAATCAAAGTTTTTTCTTTTCTTTTTCTTAGCTGTGGAGATATATTTTGCGAATTTCTGCATGAAATTTCTTTATTTTTTCAAAATTATAGAAAAAATAACTTTGTTTGATTCTATAAAAATATTGCTAGTAGTATTAAAATTGACTTTTACATAGTATTTTATTTTATTTATTTTTATTTTATTTTAAATTTTATATTTTATAAATATATAATTTTCATAATAAAAAAAAGTATATTTGTAATAAAAAATGAATTATTGTCTATTTTTGGATTTAAAAAACGGTGAATTTATATATTTCAGCGAGTTTCTGGCATTTGCGACTATTTTTAATAAATTTCTTTTTTAATCAATGTATTGTTCCATAATATTATAATTTATTTTCAGGTTTTATTAAAAACAATATGAGTCTTCGTTAGATTTTGTTAGATTTTTTTAACCAAAACCCACTTTAAGGCAGTTAATATTTTTTCATTCGGAATCGATTCGTATCTACGCAAATTTTGGATTTATTCTAATGGAGTTCAAGCCAGGTTTGTGTGATTTGTTAATGATAAGCTATGGTGATAAGCAATAGTGCATGTATCGAACTTACACCGAATAGCTTTCATTGAATTTTAGCATAATTATTGAATGAAAAAATATCGAAGTGAATGCCGACGATTGTCTGAGAAAAAGAGCCACTCTGTTGATGTGGAATTCTAGGTTGCGCAATAAGGTTTATACTAGAAGAAACGTTCGAACATTTTTCGTAATCACTTATGCATATAAATTTTTATTATTTTGAAAATAACATTTTTTGTTTAAAATTTTGGTACCAGAGACATTAAAGTTTATAGAAATAGTACGAATCATTTTAGTCATTTTGGAAAGTAATGAATGAAAAATTTTGTTTTGAATGATATTTTTGGAAAAAAATTCTAAAATGTTATAAATTATCCTTGTTTACTCGGAAATTTTAAAAAAATGATGGAGTGATTAGTAATGAAAAAAATATTCGATATTACTCGACTTAGATTTGATTACTCGTTTTATCAGTTTTCTTACTAAATTTTAGGATTGCTTTATCTTTTTTTCTAGTTTGAATTTTTTATGAGAATATTTTTCAGGATCGATGACATCAGGCTCGAAGCTATTAATAAATCTTCGTCGGCAAAAAGGAAATCCTTTATTGAAATACGTTCGAAATATTCCCTTCGAGTGGGCTGATATTAAAGTTTGTAGTTATTTTTTTCATATTATTTATCTTTATTTGATCTGTTTTCATTTGCCATCATGGATTACTCAAAGCTTCTAACGTAATCTAGTCATTTTCGAATTTTTTAAAATATTATTAAACTAAATTATTTTTTTAAAATTATTTTAATTGCAAATTTGTTATCGTTTTTAAAAAGTGATTTTTAAGTATTAAGAATGTAATTTCATCTCAAAAATTCACATAAAAAAAAATTCACATAAGCATAATAACACTTAACTTAAAGTTGGATTTTCATATTCATTTAAGATATTTTATCAATAGAAATCCGAACGAATTTTAATATTTCTGAGAAATTTATTGACGGGTTTAATTTTTCTCATATCTTTCTTTGAAGGAAATGCAATTCAAAACTGAATTCATTAAATACTTTTTTTACCTTAAAATACTAAAATATTAGAAAAGAAAAAAAAAACGAAATCATAAGAATTTTCGAAAAATAGTTGATTTATCGACTGAAATAGTTTATATATTATGAAATATGCTAATTTTTTTAAATTTTATTTTATTTATTTATAAAATTTATATTTAAAATTCATATTTAATTCATATTTAAATTTTTAAATCGATTTTAAATGATAAATACCTACTATTTTTCATTGATTTTTTTTAAAAAACAGGAATTTCTTTACATTTTTTATGAAAGGAGGAATATTTTTTTCATTTTTTCGTGTTATTTATGATTTTTTGCAAAGGAAAGGAATTGATGTTTAAAGCATTTTCTATTTTTCAAATAATTTCCTAAATTATGTTATCTTTTCATATTTGTTTATTTAGTTAATAGTCGCTGAATGAAGTTATTTCCGTCATTTCTTTGAGATATTTTGCTATTTAAAAAGGCAAATATTGAATTTGTTGTCAGTAAAGAAGAATGAGTTTGTGTATTATAATTATTATAAGTCAATAATTATTTCGGGGAATTTATATATTTATTTACTAATAAAAAAAAAATTTTGGAAATTTTTTGTTTTTTATTAAAATGACAAGAATGATTTAAAAAAATGAATAAATACCATATATTTATTGTTTACAGGCGGACTTTGAAGCTGGTAAAGAAATGGGAATTCTCTATTTAAGTCTAAAATGGCATAAATTACACCCAAATTATATCGAAACACGAATGAATTCTGATGGTAGCGGATATCCTATCAAGGTATTCAAATATTTTTTAAATGATCTAAATAAGTAACAAACTTACTGCTGATAAATAGAACGGTAAAAGCCAGTTTTATTAATTCTCAGTACACATACCACTGGGTTTATATTTATAATGGGAAAATGGTATCTGAACTAAATAGCTTATAAATTTATAAATTAGTTATAAATTTGGATTTCGTCGTGGATTTACGAGGAAAATTAAAGTTTATAAGTGAAATTCATTCCATTTAGAAAATATTTCTAGGTCTTATTGGTTCTGGTAAATGTCGAAGCACGTTTCATTTTACGCGAACTGAATTTATTTTGCTATCGTACTGGATGGACATTAATATTGTGTTATTCAGCAGAAGAAGCAGCTGAATATCTGGAGAATATTCATCTATCACGCAATAAAGATGAACATAGTGCAATTGTTGCAATATTAGAGAGGAAAAAGAAGAGAATGGGAATCGCAGACGATACCGAAATTCAACAGGTTACTCACCTACTATTTGTTTTGATAGGCGAAAATATTGTTTAATGAAAATATTAAAATAGAAAATATTAGAAAATGCAGTAAATAATAAGTAATATAATAAGTAAATGCTAAATAAATAATAAATTTATTTTCCGATTTTTTTTGGTTTGAATTATAATGCGAATATTTTTTTTTTCTTGCCATTTATAGGCTGTTAATTTTCTTTGTGGAATTCGATCAGTTACAAATTCTGATGCACAGCGATTAATTGGCACATTTGGAAGTATTCATCGAATCGCGAATGCCAATTTAGAGAGTTTATTGTTATGTCCTGGACTTGGTCCGGTTAAAGCTGAAAATATTTTTAATTTTTTTAGAACTCCTTTCTTAAAAAAATGATTTATTGTGCGAAAAAATGCTTATTTGAGTCTTTTTTGATATAAAAAATTTTTTATTTATATATTTTCCGTTAATTAACGAAAGTGTGAAAATGAAATTTTTTCAGTCGTTCCATTCCTTTATATTTTATTTATAAATTTGAGTTTTATTAAACGAATGAATGGATTGAAATGACACCGTGAATATTTTATTATTATATATGATTTAATTACTGATTTGTATAAAGTTCACTGATTTTGGTTGATTTAATGAGTTTTTTATTTGTTTAATGCAAAAGCACGCATAATGTTCTATATTTCTCAATTATAATTTATTGAATTTTAAAATTTATCAGTATATCGCAATTTTTTGAATTATATCGCGGATTTCAATTATTTTGAGGGAAATAATTACGGCTAAAGTTTTAGGATAGCCAAATGTCGGATATACCAGAAAATGCCAATGAGCATTGCCCAGGTACACAAAGTGAGAATGCTGGAAAGGTTTTTTGATTTATTTTATTAAAGTAAATATATTTTAATTCTTTAAATAACATTTTTGGCTAGAAAGATTAATGAGAATTAAGGCATTCTTGTTGAAGAAAATTTTTCTTTCTTGGAATAAATTCATTGTAATTTTCTATAATTTTGTATATAAGTTAAGGCTTCATCGTGCGCAGGATGTCCAAATCAAGCAACTTGTGCGTCAGGTGAAGCAAGAAGTTTTGATCCAGATATAGCATTAATAGCTGATCGATTAGGTGCTGTGAAACACAAAATATTAATACTTTCTGGAAAAGGTGGAGTGGGAAAAAGTTTGGTTACCGCAAATTTAGCGCGAGCTTTAGCTATGGACAAGTCGAAACAGGTTTGTATGAGTTGTAGGAACTATAGTTTATCATTATATTTTGCTATAAAACCATAAATTATTAATCATATTAATTAAGATAGCAATACTGGATGTTGACATATGTGGACCATCACAGGCAAGAATCATGGGAATGGAAGATGAAAGTGTTCATGAAAGTGCTGAAGGTTGGAGTCCTATCTACGTTCAGGATAATTTGGCTATGATGAGTATTGCCTTTTTATTGCAAAACCGCAATGATGCTGTCATATGGCGTGGCGCTCGTAAAAATGCTCTTATAAAGCAATTTTTAAAGGTTTTTAGTAAACTATATTAATGAAAATTTATAACTAATTTATAATTTTTAGAATTTATTAGAATTTAATCTTCATTATATGTGTTTAATAAATATTCTCAAGTAATTTTTTGATATTCTTCTAGAAGAACGCAGTATTTTGAATTTAACTGTTCATTACGATAAGAGTACCCAATTTCGCCATTTAAAAATCTAAAAACCGTATTCTATGGATCCTCAGATGCGCCCCTATTCCAAGAAAGGTTTATCCCCATTAAGGAGCGAGAATCGATTCTGTGCTAGTAAGACTACTATTACTAGATTATAGTTATTCAGTGAACGGGAAAAAAAATATCTTTTAATGCTACTTTCTTCATTTTCCTTCATTTTTTTATTTTTAGATCATAAAAAAAATTCATTGCAGGATGTTAATTGGGGGTCTATTGATTATCTTTTAATTGATACACCCCCTGGTACATCTGACGAACATATATCGATCGTACAGTTTCTTCTTCAAGCTGGTTCTATCGATGGTGCAATTTTAGTGACTACTCCTCAAGAAATTTCATTGTTAGATGTTCGAAAAGAGGTAACTAGAAAGAACTGAATTATTTAAGTGTATTTTTTATTATTTTCTTAAGAATAATGGCTAATAATTTTGCAGATCAGCTTTTGTCGCAAAACAGGTGTTCCCATACTTGGTATAATCGAAAATATGGCATCATTCATATGTCTCTGTTGTTTCAATTCGTCTAAGCTGTTCCCATCGACCACTGGTGGTGCGAAAGCAATGTGTGTAGAATTGTGTGTTAAACTACTTATGTCATTACCGTTCGATCCTAGAATGGCGGAATGTGCTGATCTAGGCGAGGATTTTTTCGATAAATGTCCTGATTCACCCGCCGTGAAATCATTCTTGGAATTGGCTAGCTTTATTGTGAATTAAATAATATTGTAACCACTTTATTTATTATTATATATAATATTAATAGTATTATTTTCGGAAATTTTTTCATTGCTGTTAAATGAACAAAAATAATCCTGTTTATTGAAATAAAATCTAATGTGATGTATATATTTATCTGCAAATGTCATCATGAGTTAATGATTTAATGATTTGATGAAAATCAGGTCAATTTAACAGATGAATTAGAAAAAACCCAAATTAGAAATGGTGCTACATGTTTTTAAATGAAATAGGAAAAGAGGAGAAGAGATGCTAATATATGAACCGATCAGATGCCAGGTATAAAACTTCCAAACCGATATTTTTGTTGTAATTTTTAATTTTATTTCGTATTTAGTGTGGAATGTTTGAATAATTTGAGTATTTTTACTCGAATATTTTCATTCTTTTTCATGCTTTTGCGCCTTTTCTTGATCTTTCTTGATTATTTCATTGCTTTATTAAATGTGGTTTAGTTTCGTCCCGTATTTTTACAATTTTATTCATCTTATTATTTGATCAGTTTTATTTTATTGTTGAGGATGAGAATTAAAATTTATTCGTTGAAAAAATACGAGATAACTTACTAATGAATGAAATTACTTGGCTTCTTTCTACAAATGCATGAAATCTTTCAAAGCAATTGGTGTGGCTTAGAGATTCATAGATTTAAAATTTTTTAAGATCCCTGAAATATCGGATAAAGAAATCAGTTAAATTAGGGCTAACTATGTGTTTGATAGTCTAATAGATTAGCGTTTTTCCGTTGATTATTACAGATATGATATGAGATGGTTGATTTTCATCACTCCAGCAAGTTGTTTGCAATCTTAAGCGAGTTCGAAGATAACGAAATTTTCAAGAATTCATTTCGTTGAAAATGGTACACCGTGTAGTTATCACTGGTATTGGAATTGTTAGTCCATTTGGTGTTGGCCGAAAAATATTGTTTGAAAATCTAATTGCTGGTAATGTCAGCCTTAAATATGATTCAATGGTTAAAACAGTCGTTGGTAAAATACCGGAAGGAACAGCCAAAAATGAATTAAATTTGGCATTATGGCGAGATGGTGAACGACGTCAAATGAGTAGAGGTGAGCATTATTTTTATTATAAATATTTTTTTTGGAATTTCGGTTCGATCGTTTCACCTCTTTTGATTTTACGTGACTGTTAGGAATTTCCACTAAGGAGTTATTTGGTAAGAAAATTGAGTCAGTGGCACCACTCGGATCTTTCTAATAACGAGTTTGCTATCGTCAGAGTTAGGGTTTTTGTTTTTTCTAGAATTTCGTTTTGGTTTCGTATTATTTGTAAATTTTAATTAAGTTTTTTTAATGTTTCCTTTCTTTATTCTTTTCTCATAACTTCTTGTTTTTATATGCCCGATTAAATATCATTTTCTTATCATATCTTATCATATCACTACTTGGACTATTTTTCATCGAATAAAATAATTTATTTTTGCTTTTTTAGGTAGTCTTCTTGCACTTTTGGCTGCCGACGAAGCATTAAAAGATTCTAAATTAAATGAAACGGATTTGAAAGAAACTGGTGTTAATGTTGGTATGGGTATTGCAGATTTAGAAATGATTGTAGAAGTGGCAAATCTAATAAAAGATGGCAAAAATCGTAAAGTTACACCATTTTTTATTCCGAGAATTTTAACCAATATGCCCGCCGGTCATATAAGTATTCGGTAAATACTCTATGTGTTTAATATGTTTTAAATATTTTTGATAAGAAAATCGCAATCTAAGGCAATAAAAATCTGGCGAAACCTTGGGAGGTCACTATAAAATTTATTCTTTCACTTGGTGAAATTTTGAATGAAAAATCCCACAGTATTTTTTGTTATATTCCTTTGGTACTTGTACGAAAATTAATAAAACATATATGGAATTAACCTAGTATATAAGGTCATATATTTTGCTTGCCACACGTTTCCTATAGCCAGGCCAGGCCTTTTTGCCTTTTTAATGTCTTATATAGCGAAATATATATGTTGAAACTTTCGTGTAGAACCCTCAAAACCTTCTGTGATTAAACATTTATTATAGCATGGAATAAATAGTAAACAATAATTATAAATATAGTTTTTAATTATTGGAGAAAATTGACTTATAGAGTTGATAGATTGATGGATATAACAGTACCATTCTCTTCTTGTTTCATTCTTCATGGTTTTTTTTTACTATTGAACTTTTTATTTTTTTGGTGATTCTGGATTTTATCAGATTTATTAGTTATTACAATATTGCAATTAAAAACAAAATATATCGTCTCAATTCAGTACTGCTGAAATTGTTATTAAAATATTATTATTCTTTGATTTAGTTATGGGCTTCAAGGACCAAATATGAGTTCATGTACAGCTTGTGCGACAGGTTTGCATGCTATCGGTGATGCTGCTACATTTATTGCGATAGGTAGGGCTAAACGCATGATAGCAGGTGCAACTGAAGCTTGCATAAATCCAATAGCAATAACTGGCTTTCAGAGACTCAGGTTATTTTTTTTCTTTTCTGTTCGAATTTAAAGAAATCTACTCATTTCCAATTATTTTTTTGTTTTTTTTTTTTCGCTCTGATTCAACCTCAAATGATTGTAGAGAGTTTAAAGAATCAGTCTTTTGATGTTCGGATAATTCAATTTTTGTTTTAGAGCTTTATCATCCACTGCATCCCGGCCATTCCATCGACTTCGAGATGGTTTTATTCTTAGTGAGGGTGCAGCTATTGTAATACTTGAACGCCTCGAGGATGCCAAGAAACGCCATGCTTTAATATATGCTGAAATCAAGGGTTATGGTTAGTTTGTTTCATGCATTTTAAAATTATTTTGTAGTTAATTTCATGCATTTATTATTTTATTTCATTCCTTTATATTGCAGGTGCATCAAGTGATGGTTTTCATTTAACTTCACCGACCGAGGATGGAATCGGAGCCAAGTTAAGCATGCAGCGTTGTCTTGAAGATAGCCATCTCACACCTTCTGAAATTGGTTATATTAATGCCCATGCAACATCAACGCCTCTCGGTGATCGCGCTGAAGCTTATGCTATATCTGAACTATTTCCAAATGTATTCGTGTCCTCAATTAAAGGTATCGATATTTTTCTACTCCTTCTCATTTCCTCCTTGTATTATTCTATTTTTTGGGATTTTTTGTGAAAATTTCAATGTTTTGAATAATTTCAGGTCATATTGGTCATACATTAGCCGCAGCTGGTGCAATTGAAACAGCGATCACTGCAATGTGTATCCATGAACGTATTATTGTTGGTAACGCACTATTAGATGATACTGATATAATGGAAAATATTCAATTACTTCGTACATCAGTGGAATGGAATCAGAAAATAAACGCACTAGTCAATTCATTCGGGTTTGGTGGTCCACATGCGACTCTTTGTCTTTCTGCTGTTCAAAATTGAAATTAAACAATCGCTATTTACAATTTTACCATATATTGGATATGACGGGAAAAAATCCCTTAATTCTTTCAAGTTAGCTTTAAAAAATCAATTTTTTATTGGTACGCAATAGGGTAGAATGAGAGCTAAGATTTGCTAAGATTTTACTTTCTACATGAGAGTAGAGTTGTCCAAAAATCCAGGCAGATATTAACGAATTACCTATACTTCAATCGCAAGAGACTCCATGGCATATTTGTCTAGTGCGACAAGCCAATGGAGCGAGTCTAACCATTAATGGTGAGGGTTCTTTAAAAAATTAGTTAATCAGATAGTAAATTGGAAAAATATGAATTTTTGAATTTTATTTTTATTATTTTTAGTTTTGATACTTTTTTCTAATTTATATTCTTTAAGTTTTGCGTTTTGCATTTAAAATTTTCCTTTGCATTTAAAATTGTTTTAAAGTAATTACATCCATTCAATATTTTTATTTTTTTCTATTTATTTAATTATTTAATTATTTATTGATTTTAGGTACAAAAAATAATATATATAAATTTGATTTCACCATGGTTATGTGCTCAAAAGAAAGAAATCCTTTTAGAAGTTTTTTTTTTTTTTATTGAAGTTATAATTATTATAATTATAAGATCCAAAATTTAAAAAGGTTTGTTTATTCACAAATATAGTCACCAGTGAGACCGATGACTATGGCATGCTTTATATTGGTGCTTATGGTGCGATTTCACCTTCTTCTGAATTCTTCGCCTTTTATATTTTCTCTTTTTGCTTTTATCTTTCTCGTAAGATTTAGGAGAATTAAAATGATGCATTTTTGATTGTTGTAATAGAGCTTCCAATTCTATTTTATTTCTCAATGACGATTTGCTGGTTAGTGGCGATTGATGATGCGTGTAACGATCGTTGAATATAATAAAAGCTCTGAAATATTAATTGTAATTCTTGATGTTATCTAAAATTTTTATATTTTTATATATTTATATATAAATTTATAAAAAAATTTTCTCGAGGAATTTATTTATAACTAGTCGGCTACCAAGCTTCAGTGAAGTACCATCACATAATGTGCTTAAAAATGCAAATAGAATCCTCGCAACAATTTCTACTTATAACTTATGACAGTGAACTGATATTTGCCATATATAATTCTCGAAATGATAGGGTATAAAATCAGTAAGAATAGCAATTCACGTAATCAGCTGACATAGAATGGTAAAAAGATCAAGAACATCCGGACGCTGGAAAAGTATGAAAGTACTACATTCTATTAGAAGCCTTCGAGATTTCATAGCACTAACTATTAGACTAAGGAGATACATTAGAGAAGTAGAGATCAGAAAGATAAATGCAAGGAACCATCCAAGGTGAATTCTCAACCGCATTGGAATAATATAGTAGTAAGAGAGCCACCAATAAATTATACAGTATAGGAGAAAAAGTGTTTCAAGATTCATAATGCGAAGTGGCTCCGAGTTCTGAGAGCAGGTCATAGCAACCAGTCAGTGCAAGAACCAGTTACCATCACAGTTGCTGATATCCAATAGCGGCTGAAAAAAATGAAAAGTTGGACAACACGCGAATTGGACATGATCTGCACTCGGCTAAGGAAGTTAACAGCGGTTAATGAGCGCTTAGCAACATAAATGAACCATATGCTGGTGACAGGCTTTCCTTTAGCCTGGTCAACACAATAAAGGATAATGTTAAAAGACCCTCATATGAGAACAATATTGTTTAATTACCGGCCAATAACCTGATTCTTCATAATGTGAAAAATCCTGTCAGGAATCATAGTCACCAAGATTATATGAGCCAGTACATGAATACAGTTCAAAAGGGCATTGGGAACAATACCGAAGGCTCCAAACACCTACTTCTCATAGATAAGACAGTTACTCTTAACATCCCGGCAGAGCAATTTGTGAGGCGATGCATTTTCCCTCTATATTGAGCATAGGCCTTAATCCCCTCAATTAGATAATCATCAGAAGTGGTTATGGAAATCAATTCAAGAGCCTAGTTTATCCATCTAACTCGGATGAGGACGTTGGAATGTTTTGCCGATTAAGGAAATGTGGTCAGATGGTAGTAAAGAAAGGAAAAGTGGTAACGGCTAATAGCGTGGATCTACTATGAGGACATGTAGCAGACATTTAGACTATACTGCAAATACCTTAATATTCCACAGTTACATGGTGATAAGGAGGTAAGGAAGACTGGACAACATTTTATTTAAGTATCGCTAAAGATAAATTTTAAAAAGAAGGTTCAATGGGAAGAACAAAATCCATTTCATAAATATGTAGGCCATGCTAGCCAGACAATCTTCTGGCATAGTGAGATGGACAAAGGAAGACATGGAAGTTGCGATCCCTGAAATTCCTCACAATGCAAGAAAGTTTCCATCCCACGTGTGGGGAATGATCTGATTAGTATTTAAATATTTTATTATTAGAATATTTTAGGTATATTTAGGTATATTTAAGAACTGTTTATAACAGCTATGGCTTAGACCCATCTTAGATCAAATAGGTTTACTGAAAATATTTATAATACAATGCAAAGAATTTGTGTAATATTTGGCAAATAATGCTTACCTGTACGTTTGAAGTACAATAATCAAGGCATTTTTACATGTGAAAAATATCATAGTATATGTTACAAGTCCTTGAGCCAACATTAAATATAATCGAACGGATAAAAATGGAAGATCCTGAAGCGCATTCGCAAGTATTATCGCCCATATGTCAACATCGTACAGTACCTGAAACGGTGACTCCTTGTAAATCCATAATGTCCTTAAAACCCTTAAAAGGAATTTGCTTTAACCGATTCCGATTCGTATATGAACTGGATTTAACTGTAATTGTAATTTTTTCATGTTGCTTTAGGCATGTATAATATAAGGCCCGCTGGGTTTTTTAATATCAATCTTTCGTTAAAATATCCCCTTTTTCTGACGGTATAATATTCTTATCACTGAAAATGATGTGTATAATATGTGTATAAATTAATTTTGAATAAATTATATTATATTTTTTGCCTTAAACTTAAAATTCACCATTTGAGGTGTCGACTATCCTCCAAAATTATTAAAATTTACCCTATTTATATAATTACAAATTTTTGTATTCCAGTATTATCCCGTAAATCAAACCAATTACTCATAAATAACTCATCGAAAATAAATGAAATAAATTTTACATTGCAAGTTTTTCTTTGATATTCGTCGTTATCAATAATCAGTTCGTGATATGTTTTTGTTATTGCCACTCGCATTTTTCGTGCTCGACTAATTGTTAAAACAAATGGAAATTGTAAAAGACTTAGCTGAAAATTTTTAAAAAATAATATATCGAATATTTGAAATTAGGTCAAAACATGTTTTTTTCTAGGTTACGAGAAACAAAAAAACAGTTATAGAATATATATTGAATTAAAAAATTGATAAAATTGGTACTGTCCAAGCAGATAACATGAAATTTTGCACTGTACTGCTACTCCAAACCTCTTTCTCTTTGAAAACATCAAAAAATTCAACGATATCACTCGATATTGCCTACAATATGCAAACTTCTACAATTCTGGATCTTCAATCTTCAATTTTTCTACTTCCAGTGAATATATTCAAATGCTATTTAATTTAGAAGAGGCAGGATAGCCTAAAGGTTAGTCTCACACTGCTGCTTCGAATGTTAAAATGTCCAGATGGTGTGGACCAGCTCGTATAGGCCCGAACCAATTTTATTCTCGCTTGGATCTCTAGCTGAAAACAACTGGCTCGAGGCTATAGTGAAATCGTGAGCGCTAACCACTTTATTTTTTGCAGTTAAGAAAGTTTAATATTTTAATTTAATATTTCAGATGCTTATATAGTGGTGAAATTCATTATAAGAAATTTTTCAAAATTTTTATTTTTAGTTAGCTCAATTCTATAAACCCCCTCGAACAATATTTTCTTTGAATATTTTAATTATTTCATTAATTCTATTCGAAATTTGAAGTAAAAAATGTGAATCGCAGAAAATAGTCGCAGAGAACTAACTCTCATTTTGCTTTAGGTAATTTTGTCTTATTTGTTTTAGGTAGAAAAATGAGAACCTTGCATTTGCACCTCAGAATTGCTATGGAACCAAAAAGATCGTTTTAATGGCCCTTGGATCTCATTAGTTGAAAAATTTTAAAATAAAAAATGATTTATGGTTATAAAAAAAAAATATTTTATGAGTTGAATAAATCTGTTAAAAATGGCAGTTATGAAAAATTCGAAAATTTTGAAAGAACAAACTAAATATGCGAGAAGTATTTGTGAAAGTTGTTCACTAGATATATCGCCCTTTGGGAAAAGCCATCTACAAATGATAAGTACAACGAGGAGAAGTTGTTCGATTAATTGCAAGCGAAAATCTTCTTCATTAAATGAGGAATCCTCGGTGGCTCGTTTTTCGCATAGTTTTTTTTCAAGAATCCAAATTGGTGGTGCAGTTGCAATTATATATAATAAAATTGATGGGGAAAACCTGAAAATAGACAATAAATGTGGAACTTAAACTGTTTGGAACTTGTCACAATGTATAAAGATAGTTTGATATTTACCATCGACGTTCGTCACCAGCACGCATAATTATCGTATGAGCACCTTCAAATACTATTAGCAACGATATTAAAGCGAATCCCCAAACTGAATTGTCCTCTTGAATCTGAATTTTGCAGATAATTTACCTGATTTTTTTTTTTTTAAAGCACTCATAATTACTGGTTAAATATAATTACTGGTCGCCCCCCTGGCTTGTTAGGCTAAACAAATATGCGAGTCCCACTACCATAGAGCAAGTGAGTTGCCAGGATCACCTGGATTTTTGGACAGATTTACTCCTGTCTAGAGTAAAATCACTACTGGCCGAATTGAGCAACAACCCACTTAGCCATCCTACTCTCTTTTATTTCCTCCGTTAAGCGACATAGTCGCCCAACGAAATGTGGTGCAGCGCCCGGATCCAAAACCAAAGTTTGATTCTAGGTGGCAGTTATCCTGCTGCTAGGCCATCGACGTAAAATTCTTGAAAGGATCCTTAAATTCTTATGTTATTCTTATATTTCCGTATGATCCACGTCTCACTCTTATTTTTTTTCAGTATTAGGTGATGAATAGAATCCATGCCTTTAAATTTTAGATTCATTCACATTCTATTTTTTTCAATATTTATAAAATTTATTAAGATTATGGAACCATGTTTAGCCCTTTCGACTGTAGGAACTTCGTTTTGAAACTTTATGGAAGCCTATAAGCAATGAATTAAAATAGAATAAAATTTTACTGCAGCTGTTTGCCAGATAGTTGCTATTGAATGAACAATAAAGATAATTCTTGCAAGAAGTGCTCGGCCAACATTCAAAAGTACCATTGTTCCTTCCTCTTTCTCAATCACTTGCATAGATTCCATTCCTAACGCATATTTCCTCTTCACCGGTGCATATCGTCGTCGATCTTTCATTTCTTAAATAACTCTTGGATAAGGATAAATTTTAAACCACTAGATACTCTTATATTTTCTTAAATCCTTTCAGTATCTATTTCGGCTAATTCGGCTAATGTAAAAATTATAGGACATTTTTATCAAAAGATCGGCGAAATACGGATAGTACTGCACTGATATGCTATGCGTGCTTCTATTTTCAGATGGCTTTCTAGTGAAGAGCTCTTCTCAGTTTAATAATAAAATCAGGTTAGCCAAGAAATTTAAATCGAATTTAAAATATGTTATTATTTATTAAATCATTAGCGGCAAAAAAAAAAAAAAAAATTCTTAAAAATTAAACCTTCGAAAAAAAGAAAACTGAGCATTTTCTTCGTTGAAATAATAATTATGATTGACACTCGAGAGAAAAGAAAATATAGAAAAATTTTTTTTCAAATTTTTCAATTCCATTGAGATTTTGAAAGATTTTGTTTTAAATTTTAAATACTAAATACTATGCAAATAAAATATTATAATACGATTGGTTAAATATTTTTTTCTAACTTAGAATTTTAAAAATTATTCTTTTAAGGATTCTTCAACTGATGGGAATAAGCGAATTGAATAGCTAAGAGGATTGCTGCGCTGGTGCTAGCTAGGATTTTTCGGTTGGCAGGACTAAGCCAGTCTTTCAAAAATTCGAGTGATATTGATGCCTCTATTGATCTATACTTCTATTAACAAATGACTCTCTGGCAATATTCTGGCAATATTGTATGGTCTGATAGGCAATGGGAACAAGCTTAGCTAAAACTCTTAGACGAAAAAGGAAATAAAAAGTTTTTAAATTTAGAAGTGCCTTCGAAGAATGCCTTCAAATTCGGAACTCTAGAATTTTATGTTATCAGAATTATGTTATCAGAGATGTTAGTAAAAGTGTTGGCAAAATTTGGCACTGATAAAATTTCATTGTTTTGATATTTTATCCATTTCATTTTTCGAAATCCGTATGATTTTCCTTGCAAAATCTAATTTCTTAATTTCAATTTTTTGTTTTTAAATATTTTGCTATTTTTTGTTATTTTTTTTAAATGAATTATTAAAATCTATGATAATTTTATTACGAAAAATATTTAAAATTAGTTTAACGCTTAAATTAAAAAAATTATTAGAAAAAGAATAAATAATTTTTGCAAAACCATAAAAAGACAAAAAAAAAATCAAACATAATTTAATAAAAAATGTCAAAAATGATAGTGAACGAAAGTTGATTGCAAATGATTGACAGAAGATGGATCGTTTTATTTTAGAAGGCATTTCCAGCGGCAATTTAATTAAAAATGTGGCAAAAATGCAACAACTATCCGAATTAGAATTTTGTCTTTTATTTAGCCGTTTAGCCTAAGGGTGAATTCAAATTGACTGTTCCCAACTGTTCTATTTCAAAATTTTACAGATTTTACAAAATTTTGCAGATTTACAGATTTTATTTTTAAAAGATCAAATCTACAACTTCATCGCAAGTATCATAAATGAATGGGAAAAATCGTGGATTTTTTATTTTATATACTGTAAGACGTGTTCAATCCAGTCAACATAAACCTGAGAAATCACTGAGAATTATAATTATTATCAACGATTTAGATGATCAGTTCCACAAAATATACAATCATCGTAAATGGTTAAAATATTTTTTTCATTCTTAATATTTTTTCTCATTCTTAAGTAAATTTTTGAAATTTCGAAATTTATGGTATATTACGAAATAACGATGGAACGATCACATATTATATCATATTTTATCCTACAATTATTCCTTTTCCAAGTGAATTTTAATTATATAATTATAATTATATTATAATTCCTTAAATATAGGAGATTAAAGGATGAAATGGCTCAATAAGTTGTTGCTCATTTCGGAGTGCTGAGTCTTCTTTGCCCGCAAGAGTAAACCTGTCAAAAAATCCGGGTGATGCTGGTGATTCATCTATAATTCTATCGCCAAAAGACTCTTTAGCATATTTGTACAATGCGATAAGCTAGTGGAGTGAGTCTAACCAGTAATTGTTTCAAAAAAAAAAAAAAAAACGATACAGGACTATTGCAACTATCAATATTTAAACGACTAAGCAAAATTGGACCAAAACAATTCATTTTAAATGGTACTCGTGGTATTCAGCAATATATTACGTCGTAGTGCAGTATTAGGTCATACGAGTGAGTTATTGAATTTCTTAGGGGTTTGGCTAATTTATTACATTACATTATTTACCTAAGACAATATATTTATTTGATATTTTTTCACAAGCAAAACAGCTTATTATTATATTATTATAACGGAGAATGGCTTAAAAAATCTATAAAATTATACCGATTATAGAATCTATAAAATTATAGAAAATTGAATTTCACCAATTTTATGGTTCGTTAGGAATTCCAAAATTCTTTGCAAAAATAAGAGGATTTTTGGAAAATTCTTTTGTTCATTAAATTAATTCCTTAGAAATAAGAAAAAAAATTTAAATAATATTTAAAGAATGAATTAATGTATTGTATATTTGAAAAGTTATTAAAGAAATTCTTTATTCAGCCTTTTAGAAAGCCGAGAATTTGGCTCTAATCTCCAGCTCTAACGATAATAGCAAAACTATCGCTAGAAAATTCTAATTGCGCTGTCAAATTTTTATTTTTGGATCTTCAAGTGATTCGCCCGTCAAAATCAAAAATATCGCTAGAGGAATTAGTTGTATTATAAACTGATAAGCTCTTATCACTTCCTGCGTGCATAATTGAATTCAATAATAATTTTATAATAATTAAATAACAGATTTATATTTATTTATTTATTTAATTCGTTTTAATATTTTAAATTATTATAATTTACTCGATTCGAAGTCATCAAAAATTTTTGTTTTTTTAAAAAAATTTTTAATTTTATTAAAAGTTTTGAATTGAATAATAAAAAAAATTCATATGGATATTTCAGATGAAATTCAATTTCAATTTTTTTTTTTTTGCTTTTTATTATAATTTACTCGATTCGAAGTCATCAAAAATTTTTGTTTTTTTAAAAAAATTTTTAATTTTATTAAAAGTTTTGAATTGAATAATAAAAAAAATTCATATGGATATTTCAGATGAAATTCAATTTCAATTTTTTTTTTTTTGCTTTTTTTTGTGAAAAAAATTTTCTTTTCAAATTTAATTATTCAATCCAATTTAAGGTCGCATAAATTAATTAATTCCTTTAATAATTTTTGTTTATATAAAAATTTTTAATGTGTAAATTTGATTATTTAATTATTGGTAAATAAGCTGCAATTAAGAAAAGCTTTCTGCAAATCACTATCTATAATCTATAAATTTAACATAATTCATCAGAGATTTTTATAAATGCCATTTTTATTTTAGATCGATAAAGGATGCCATTCAGCAATTTGTCGACGTGGATTACTTCTCACCTTTAACCAGTGCTCGTCTGTCGCGCCAATCAAGCATTTACCCATAACCTGAATTTAAAAATATTCAAATAATATAACCACATTCTCATTCTACTGTAAAAGAACATAATTAGGCGTTAAAAAATGTTTTCTTTCCAGAATTCGATTTCAGAGAATGCAATCAGCGATAATAATCTTAGTTTGCTTATAAAAGGCCTTAATATCATTCCTATAAGCGATAATAATTTGGTTATCAGAGAATGCCGTTATTGCTATCACAGATAATGAGATTTTTTTTTCCTTTATCACGAATTATTCAGAATTTTCATGTCCATACGCTAATTTTCTCTCAAAATAGACAATATGTTTGACCTACCATATATTTATTATGCAAAAAAAACCTTATTTATCGAATAATTTAATAAAAAAAACTGAAAATAATCGATGCGAAATGGATTTTCTAATTTCAATAGAAAATATAAAAGCATACGGTAATGCCAGGTGATGCCTTAGCGTAAAGTTCTATCATCAAGTGACTCTCTGGTAAGAATTCTATAGCCCGATGAAATGAGCCTAATCAATAAAAATACTTAGAAAAAAAATTATGGTAGTGCATTGAACTCGATGTATTAATTAGGAAGACTAAACTAGGCTAAATATTCTCGTTTTTTATTTCTTTAAAAAAAAAAAAAAAAAAAAGGAATAAAAGAACAATAATAACTTCATTTTTCGTAACTCGATCCCAGTCCATGACAACAATTTCGAATTGAACATGATCCAAATCATTTTGATTTGCACTCGGTAGTTCAAATACGAACGATTCATTATAAACCGGATTTAGTGTACGCTTCTTTACGTGACTCTTCTTTTTGCATACTCGTTGCCCATTAAATAACAAATAGATTTTCACGTATGGATCTATAGAAAAATTTTTCAAATAGTTCAAATATGAGAATAATCATTTTTACAATTATTAAAATAAATTCCTATATAGATAGGAAAAATTTTTATAACAATTAAAAATAAATAGTGCTTTTAGAGAAACGCATAAAATTTATATAATACCTGCCATTCCTGTGATGTCGAATTTGGGAAGATTTTTGGCTTTAAGTAAAACAAACGTGACTCGATTTGTTGTCGGTTGATGGCATAGTGATATTAAAATTTGTCCACGATCTTGGCCTAATTCTTGATCGCGTGTTCCAAGTTCGATTTCAATTGTTTTACTCGCATTATTAAGTAAATCAGCATTTTTCAATGCGTAAATTGCTTCAGCAAGTAATGTGTCACGACTATATCGATCAAATGCAATCACCTATAAAATATACTTCTATCGTATAAATTATCAAATTTCAATAATATTTAAAATATTAAATAATATTGATTCATAAAGTATTTTTCTTGGCAATTAAAAGAGAAAGTACCATATATCAGAAAGTACCATATTAATTGACTTAAAAAATCTGCTATCGTAGATAAACTCTTTAATCATGAAAAAGACGTTTATCATTTTTTCTTACAGTATCCAACTAAAAAAAATATTAAGTCTAGAAATGATTAGACGAACTGCAAAATGAAGACTTGTTGTACTAATTTGCCCTGGATCGATCCCATACATCGAGAATGTTTCCTCATATTGCGGGTTACGGGTGGCACGCACAAGTCGAGTCTTCACTCGATGCTGCTTTTCAGGAAGCAATTGTAGTTTCACATACGGATCGAGAAGACATTGACCATCAGCAGCTATGGCGATCTCAGGAAGATCTCTGCAGGAAATAATCGTGATCTGAAAAAATTAGTGCAAATACACTGGTTACCATTTTTAATCAATCTTAATTTAACTTTCATTTACCGCTGGCATAGCTTAAAATTATGAATTATTCATGAATTATTTGATATTTTATTTTTTTCAATATTTCATGTTTCAACAAAATTATAAACATGAATTTATTAACGAAAGTTATGAGAATTTAATTTTATGAGAACCGAAGGTTAGGATAACCGAATAGATAATGACAGATTGTTGCGTTGAGAGGTAACGCTAATCGCCTTCTTTATTTATTTTGCTCAAACTAATTATTTATCTTTTTGTTGTTATAATTCAGTTAAAAAAAATTAAATTGCGGAAGTAATAAGGAAGTAATAAATCTTATAAAAACAGCAATTTTTCTCAGGATTACTCGCCGCTAATTCCATAATTTAATTTCCAATGGAATTTAATTTTTAACGAACTTTGTGAATATTGATATAAATCTAATAAAATTAGAAATATTCTATAAAATCTAAAGAATATTTTCAAAAAAAGAATTTCTCGAAGATTAATTGAATAGAAACATAAAAGCGCGAGAGTTTCAAAATGAAATAAAATTACGCAATGGTACTTGTCAAAACAAAAAATGGTGCTAAAAAAAGAAAAAAAAGAATGGTACCATATGAGATTCGGAATTTTTTTAATCAAATGTTCATCGTATAAATTCAACAAAAAAAAAATTTCATATTTTTAATTATTTTTCTAATTTCTTTTTCAATAAAAATCCAATTTAATGAAGCAGAATAATTGCCGAATGTTGATTTTCACTCGAACTATTGCGTCAAACATCGTCAAACTTTATTTCCGACAAAATTTTTACTTAAAGATTCATCTAAAAGAATTTAATAAAAGGCAATCCACTTAGATTTCTTTTCCCAAATAGCTTTCATAAAAGTTTCCTTATTTTTTATGCTAATAGTTACAAATGGAACAAATCTAAGAGCAAACCATAAGTTAACACCGCCATTTTGTTGCTGTTTATGAATTATCTTATCTTTTATTTATCTTTTATTTGCTGATAAATTAACTGATAAATTGATTTTCAGCTTAAGCAAATTCTTTAAAATCGATCATTCAATTTAAAAAATTTTCCTTTCCTACGATCTTTGGCTAATTATTATTTTGGCCAAATTGTTTTTAGTCTTTTAATCTTTTCCTTTAGTCTTTTAATTAGTGATTCAAGGCTTTAATTATAAACCTATTCCTGGAAAAATTATTATAATATTCAGTAAATACATCATTATGATTATTTTTTATAAATTTTTCAAAAATTTCACCGGAAATTTCAGAAATTTATAATAATTTATCGGAAATATCGGAAATTTTTAATCTATCAAACATAATTAATATTTCTTAATTTCTTCATAAATAGATAAAAATTTTTTTAAAATTAAAAACAATTTTAAAAGTCAATTTTATAGCTTTTTTCCACTTCTATTTTAACTATTTAAAAATATTTATTATTAAAGCATAAAAAAATTTTAAAAAATATAAAAATATTTTTAATAAAAGCTTTTTTGAATTTTTTTTTTCGAATTTCAATTTTAATGAGTAAAATCAACAAGAAAGAAAAAAAGTAATAAATATTTTTCCTTCTTTTTTTTTAAAAATATTAATAAATAATCATTTTGAAAGATATTCATCCATGATTTGATATTCATCCACGATTTCGTTTTTATTGATTCATTGAGGTGGAAATAATTGAAGAATTTGTCAAATTCATAATAACCGTATACTTCTCCAGTTTTCAATTTAGTTATTTTTATTACTATTTTTATTTATTATTAAAATATAAAAAATGTTAAAAAATATTACTAATATTACTATTATTTATTATTATTGATTGGTATTATTATTTATTATTTTTTATTTTATTATTCTGATTATTATTGATAATATTATAATATTAAATTATTAAATAATATTATAATATTATACTGATTATTGATATTATTATAATATTAAATCCAATATTTAATATTAGATTCAATGTGTATTCCCATTCGCTTGATTTTTTCATCAAACGTTTTCCGATTAGTCCATTCATGAACTTTTTGATCTTTGAATCTTTAAAGCTAAGTATTTAAAATAGCGCTTCTACGAATCCCTAATAAATTTAGCAATTTTTCCTGAACTCGTAAAAGCTTGATTAAGAGGGAATAGGGGAATCTAAATCGTCTCATCAAATAATTATCTTATTTCCCTAAAAATTTTTATCGGTAAAATTTTCAATTTTCAAATTTGTTTACAACTGAAAGGAAGGAAACGACAATACGTTTAGCCAACTAATAAATTTTATTAAAATGTAAAATTATTAAATGTTGAATAAAGAATTATACTCCGAAATTAATTCTTTATTTTAGCTGAATAATGAAAAACGATTAGCCAAAAGTGTGGGCAGCTGGGATTGCTAAAACGGATTAATTTTCAACAATACTAATAAAGAAGAATAATTAAAAGGTAAAATAATGAGACGTGACAATCTTAAAAAATGTACTTGGAATTTTGGAAATTAAGTAATAAATAATAAATGCATCAAATGAGAATTATAATGCTCAAAATTGAAGGCCTTAATTGTAAATAAAATATTTTAAAAAATATTATAAATATAAAAATATATATGAAATATGCATTTATTTAAAATATAAAAACAAAATATAAATATAAAATATAAATACAAAGAAATAAAATGTATTTAAAAAATTGAATATTGAATTAAAAATAGTTAAAAATATTTGAAAAAGTAGAAATATAAAAATATAAAATACAAAGTATAAATAAAGTATAAATAAAAATTTAAAAAAAAATTATTCTGAAAAATGGAAAATTTAGGACATTTAAAAATAAAAAATAAATAATAATAATAAATATTAAAAATTAATAATTAATAATTAAAAAATATTAAAATATAAATGAAAATAAATATTTAAATAAATAAAATATATGATAAATAAATATTTAAAAATATATGATAATTATTCGTAAAAAAATAAATTAGGCAAAAAATAAGTGCCCCAGAAGTTCAAATTTATTTTTATATTTTCAAATATATTATTTTTATTTAGAAATTCATCTAATGAGAATCGAAGAAATATGAATCGAAGCCTCAAATATCCATTTGAATTTCATTTATTCTCCCCATGAGACATAAGATGAATTCTTTGCTAAAATATTAGTACAGATTCCCAAGATGCCGAGCAAATAGTTTTAGTTTCAACAAAATTTTAATAAAATTAAAAATTTACAAGCAATAGGAAATTTATTGATTAGAATAATTGAATTTATAAAATTAAATAAATAAATTTTGAAAAAAAATTTAAGAATAAATTTAAAAAAAAATGTTTTTAATATGAATAATTAAAATAATTTAATTTCGATTAATTTATTTAATAAATTTATATAGCTTGATAAGCTGCATTCACAAGCAAAGAATAATAAATATTATTATTATTATAAAATTTCACCTGAAGGGCAGATGAATCCGGACAATACTGTAAACTGAAGCAGATGTATCCTCGTTGTTGCCCAAGTTCCGATGGAGAAATTTTATTGAAAGTTTGAGATGATGCGGTCGATGGTGGAAGAGAAGTTATTGGGCTTGAATTTGAACTGTCCGAAGACGAAATTGGTGACAATAAAGAAGGTGAATTTTTCAAGCCACATGGTCCTTTGACATTACCATATTTAAGAGCGACAGCTGTTTTTTGTGATTGTATTAAGACACCTTGATACGAAAATCTTCGCCGTTTTGAAATACAGACAGTTAATATAATTAGTGTTAGCAAACCAACGGTACCTAATACCGTAAAAATCAAATCTGCAAATATTTTCGTTTAAAAAAAATCATTCTGCATAGAATTATCACTAACCATTAGTAATAATAAACAAATAGTAATAAACAAATCCTCAAGGCATAAATTTTTATAAAAGGGGCTTAGGACCCCTTTTATAATAGGAACTAGAATAACTCAATTGTTCTTATTTTGGGAGTGGGTCTGATATGCTTGGACTCAAGTCCTACTCATGGCAGAAATAAAAAATCTGTATGATGCTGGCGTTTTGTCTATATTTCTTTCGCAAAGTGATAAAATTTGCCTGGTTCGATAGGCTCGCAGAATAGATTTACTAGAAATGATGTGTACTTTTAGAAAAAAGATCGCTTTATGCGCTTGATTTGATTAACTTTTCAATTCAGGCAAAAATAAAGACAAGCAAAGAATCGTTATTAACAAAAATTGAAATTTATTCAAATAAGTTGATAATTGATAAGTTGATAAAATATTGTTATTTTTTAGAACCTTTTCAGCACATCTAATTTTAGAATTATAAAACAATATATCTTTTCTAGTAATTTTTCGTTTTTTCTAGCAAATTTTATACGATAATAGTTTTATATAATAATATAACAATTTTAAAAAATATAATAATAATAAATAATAAATATAAAAATATAATAAAAAGTTTTCAACAGCATTGAACTGAAAAAAAGAGGCAATAGATTCTCAACAAAAAATGAATAAATTTATGGAAAAAAATTTATGAAACTTTTCAAAAATTTGGCTTTTCAGCTTTTTTTTTGAAAAATCTCGTAGATTTAAATTTAAAAAAAACTAATCAACTTCCATTATAAAATAATTTTCAATGAATTTCATTTTTAAAAAATCCGTTTTATTTGGTTAATTTAAAGAATTGCATCAATTATAAAATGATAAAAATGATAAAAGAATCATAAAAACATTAGATTTTTAAATTTTTTAATAAATATTTTATAATTAATCGAAACGTAATTTGCTAAAATCTAGAAAAATGATTATTTTTTTGAAATTCTAAAGAAATTTTTTAAAATTTTAAAATAGATGCAATATAATGATAGAAATTCGAATAAATTCATAGTTAAGTTAGTTGTATTAAAAAAAAAAAATCTAAAAAACTTTTTAAATTTTTAAGAAAACTTACAGTTGGAGAGCAATAAATTATTGGATGGCGACTTCTGTGCGACCATAGCATCGTAATACATTCGCTTGAGACTCAATTTTTGACGATCGATATGTGAAAATTGATTTCGCCAAAGCGAAGGATTTGCCAACGAATTCGTTGATTCTCGACAAAATGCCTCTGGCAACTTTGAGAAACATAGAAATAAGCGTAAAGGAATTTTTTTTAGGAAAAAATTTTTTAAAAAAATTCTTCATCCACTCCAAAATAATTCAATACATTGAAATTTTTTTCTAAAATTTTTCGCCATTTTGACTATTTAATCATAAAATAATTTTTGATGAACGATAAGCGTATAGCTAACGTTAATTTTTCATTAAAAAATTATTTAAATTATATTTATATTTTTATTTTTTATATTATATTTTTCAAATTTCGTTAATGAATTGAATTAGGCCAGGTGGATTATTATTCTTCAAATTGAAATACCTTGGATTCTATTCCCAGCAAAAATAGGGCCTATGCTTATTTCTATCGTCAAATGATTGGAAAATTTATCTGATCTGATAAACTAGCAGAATGAATCTAAATTAAAAAAATAGAAAATAGTAAGCGATTTTGGAATTTAGAAAAAAATGAATGGAACTAATTTTGAAAAAAATTTTAAAATAATTTCTATAAAAAATGAAAGAAATGATAGGTATTTATTATTTCGGCATTTAAAATTACATTAAAATTTGTTTGAAAATATTAAAATTCATATTAAAATATTCGTATTAATTATATTAATATTATTGCTAACTATTTAGTATTATTGTAGGATAGAGATTTTGCTCAGTTTTTGATTTCGATCCTTAAGGTTCTCTTTTAGCAATTCTCCAATTGAATTAAATATTTTATTAAAAAGTTGGAATGGTACTGAGAACCATTTTTTAAAGGTAAATGAAAAATGAAAATCTCTTACAGTATTCACCGCCAAATGAAGCAAATTTTAATAATGAATGGTGAGATTAGCTAATTTACTTATTTAATTACTTTAAATTTTTAATTAATATAATATATTTTATATATAATATAGTTATAATTAATATAATTCATTTTATATATAATATGTTTAATAATATAATTTGATTTAATATTTAAAAATTTATTCCTTTGAATGCCATTTATTTATTCAAAAATTAAAAATTTAATTTGAATTATATCAAAAGCTTTTAAAAAATTTTTAGCACATTTTTTTAAAGGAAAATTAAAAAATTTGAATATTTATCAAAAATTTCTTTAAATTTCTAATTTCTTCTTTTTTTTGTTCTATTTACAAATAAAATAAATTTTAACGATGGAAAATAATGTAAAATTTCAAAGTCATTTTAAGTTCTCTCAAATCGTTGAAATCTTAGAAAATTTTTCATCAATTTGTTTTCTTAATTCTCAGGAGTATTTTTAAAAGTCGATATTATTCCATAAATTTTCCACTTTCCAATTTTTATTTTACATGTTTCATGTTATTATGCAAATATATTCATAATTAAAAATAAACATAATATGTTTAAATACGAGTAAACATAAACATAACTATAATTATAATTATCGTTATTGATATAGAAAAAAACTAAAATAAAAATATATAGAAAAAATATATAATATATAGAAATATATAAAAAAATATATAGAAAAAAACAAAATGTAAATGATGTACAATATAAATAATAATAATAACAGAAATATTATTTTTTAATAATAACAATAATAATAATAGTAATAATAATAATAATAATAATAATAATAGAAATAATAGCAATAATACTAATAAAAACAAATATACTTAATACTTAATAAATTATTAAATATTATTATTATGAAATGCTGAAGTTAAAAATTTGATTTGATTTCTATCAAAAGCTTTTTAAAAATAAAAAAAGAATAACATCGATGATAATTTAATTCAATGATTATTTATAATATCGTAATTTAAGAAATAAAAAATTTTTTAACAGTCTAGCCAATCCAATTTTAAGCCAATTAATAAAGAAAACGTTAATTCTCGTTAATTTGGTCTTCGTTGGAAAATATTAACTCGAAATTGCATCGCATAATTTAATTTAACTACTTCCATAGATCCATAGATCGCTCTCATTTTTTTTTAGTTCCATGCAAAATAACGATTTGTGGAGACGATGAGAAGAATTTAATTTCGAAAACTGAAAAACTATTTTAAAATTATTTTAGATTAATTATTTTTATAAATTAAAGAATTTTAAATTAAATTGAGTTTTCAATTAAAAAATAACTGAAATGTGACAAAAATTGAATTGATAATTGATAATTGATAAAATTGATAATTGATAATGTGACATGGCAAAAAAAAAATGCCTAAAAATACTCGACGAATTTATTTTTTTATATTTTAATTCTCAGTATAAATAATTCCGTTCATGCGGTTAAATTTGTCGTCTCTTGTCGGTCCAAAATAAATTTCAGCCATTTGATGGTGAAAGACAGCTTTTTTTTTCTTTTTAAAATCATGGAATACGTTTTTTTTACTCCTTTGCATGTTACAAATTAATCCTAACTTCCGTATAGATTAACAAATAGAAATCCCTTTGGCAACGATTCTGATTCAAATTTTAGGAATATTAAAGTATTTCCATAGGTTTATCAATTTCATCAGTTTATCAGTTTTCCTCAAATATGGTACCACCCATAGTACCACTCGAAGATAATAATTTTTCTTTTCCTATGATTAAATATGTGGATTTAAGTTGTGGATTTACTCACTCTATCAATGTGGCTTCAACTATTGCGAAAAAATATGGATTTGATCGATATTCGCACCAAATATGTCCAAATGAAGAGTTCAAGCAAACCGTACATTTGCTATACCAATTATCGAATAAAATCAGGTAAACCTTTTGTTTTTGTGTACGAAAAATTTAACTACTATTACGATTTTTAATGAAAAACTTCTTGCAAATTTAACAGAATTTTATCAGTTATTCTACAATTAGCAATTAATTTAAGATTAAGCTATATTTAGATTCTTTTCAATAAAAACAAAATATCTAATAAATATCTGATAATATAAACAATTATCAAAAAAATTAATATTCATAAAAAAATTCATAATAATAACAATAATACAGTAAGAACATTTAAGAAAAAAAAGACTTTCTAAAAGTTCTAAAAAATAATAAATATCAAATAAAATAAACCTAGTTTATTTTGGAAATTAGTTCATATTTTTTTCAAAAATGTGAAAAAAATAAAAGTGGCAAAACAGTATGCAAAAAAAAGATTTATCACTTTGGCATTATCATCAAATATTTCAATAATAAAAATGAATTTTTAATTTTGTAAACGTTTTTATCATTGCTAAAGAGCAATATTTTTTAAAATATATCAACGGCTTTTTTTACAATTAATCAATCGTCTTTCGCATTTTATATGGCAAATTACAATCTCTGGCATAAATTAATTTCTATTTAAAGCGTACTGAAGCATCAAAATTACTTATATTGACAATAGTAATTTGCACAGAAATAACTAAAATTTTACAAAAAATTTTGGAAAATTTGGAAAAAAATTTTACAAAATTTTTATAAAAAATTCAAAATTGCTTATTCTAAGATAAATTATGGTTAAATTATATAAAAAACAAATAATTTATAATAATTTATAACAAAATAGCATTTAGAAAAACCAACAATTTATGCAAAAATTATTTTCTAAAAGAAAATATCAATTCCTACATTTGTTTTTATATTGCAAAAATAATAATTATAATAATAATTATTGTATAAAAAATTAAAGAAATCAATTCGCAACATCAACAGTTGCTATATTAAAAATCGAATTGCCCTATTATTTAAACGACCACTTCCATAAACAAATCCAATAAAATTGTTAAACACATAGCAAGCAATGCACTATAAAAATTGATAAAAATAATTGAGGTGAATAAAAAAAAAAAAGAAAAATTCACCAAAAAAATATTTCCACAAAAGAATAATTTCATTATCCAAAAAAAATGGAAAAAAATAAAATTTTTGGTTTTGCAAAAAAAAAGACAAACAAACTAACAACGTTTAACCTTCCCCACCATTATTATTTCTTCTTATTCCATTCAGACCGATCAGCCAGAAATATAATTGCAATAAATATATTTACTTGCTACTTCCTAGATCAATAAATCGCCACTATTCTCTGAAGAAATTGGACAAATCCAATCATTATTATGGGCCTGTACATATTCCATCAAAGAAAATAAAATAGTGCAAAAGAGACAAAACGAAATAAGCGAAAAATCAAGAAATCGGCACCTGTATGAAAAACCAAATCACCTGAAATACTCAACTTTTACTGCCATTCCTTCTAACTTAAAAAATTTTCGAAGTATCTCAAATTCAAAGCTTCAAAATAAAATGAAATGATCGAAAAATATTATGCTGATAATCTCAACTGATAAATAACTGATAGCCTCATGTTTTTTTTTGCACACTGAAAAAATTTTTCAAGCATGTTCAATTCAACTTTCCATGAATAACAAAAAAAAAGCACGTACAGTGAAAACATTAACAGCAACAGTAGCAGTAGTTTTGGTCGATAACAAAGTGAAATTAGTTTAACGCGCAGTGCAAATGATTAATAATTGTTCGTGAAGAAAATTTTGAGCGATTGATAGCAATAATAAGAAGGAATGTGATAGTTATACAAATATCACAGATGAGTCTGAAAAGAAAACAACATTGAAATAAATTAAGAAGCCGAAATCTGAGTTTTGAGTTATCAGCAAACCATCAATGATCCAAACGTATCGGTTAAAAAATTTGTAGAACCGGCTTAATTTATTAAATAAATTTGCATTAATGCAGTGCCAATATACGAACAATTAGTGGATAAAGTGGAATGTGCAGTTTTGACAAAAACATCTACAATTTTCTTGAGGCTATTTTCCTTACCCAATAAAATTTTTCAATTTTCTTTTTGAACAATTTTTTGTGAAGAAAAAATGAAAAATAACAAATCACCTGTGAATTACTAAACAAGCACAAAAAAAACAACAGTGATATTTAAACTGCACAAAAAAATGCATGCAAAAGATCTTTTAGTTAAATGCTATCCAGACAAAAAAATGATTAAAAAGGAATGTTAGAAATGTTCAGATGAGGAATGCTATAGAACAATGAAGAGAAGAATCATATGGTACTTCCTTTTCTACTTTTTCTAACTTAAAAACTATGAATATAAGTGGGGAAGGAATAAATACAATCTGCATAAAAAAAATATAAAAATGGTCCTTTTTGAAATGACTACGCATTGAATAACGTAAGGACAGACAGTTCAATGATCCAGAGACTTTTTCATATATTAATCAAGTTCATGCGAACCAAATGCAAGTTTGACTTCAGAAACACCCACAACTGTTTCCTCCTCAGAGAATGATCGGGTCATGGGGTGAAGTTCTTCCAGTTTTGGATCTGGATCTGGTGCAAACAAACGTTCAATTTTTCTTTCTCGCGGTTTTCTAAAATGAAAGACAAAAAAGATATCTGTAAAATATTAATCTGAAAAAATGCCTCTTTCAGCTTTATCAATTGAATCAGATGGCTTATCATTAAGTGAAATATTAAGCAATCATCCAAATATGGAAAATACGAGTAAAAATGAGATATTATTATATTATAGAACTAACTCCTCGATTCTCCCATAAGGCCGCCTTATTTGCATTCTCGATGAACTTACTGGCACAATATCAGGTCGTGTTTGATGAATTGCAGAAATCAATTCATCTTTTTCGTCCTTTTCAGTTATACTTCGCCGAGTTATACGTCTTTTTGATGGACTTCGTAAAGCTAAAATAAATTAGTAAAGTTTCATATTGAATCAATCTTTGAAAAAACATGATAAAAAATCAAAATTATAAATGGGTAAATTCTTTTTGGGTGTTAAAAATCGATGCAATCGAAGCCTTACAATTCTCTACTAGAAAAGTGTTAAAATATCAAGGAACAAAAAAGAAAAAAGAAAAAATCTACCAAATTTTGCAAGTAATAGCAATTACAAAAAAAAAAAAAAAACAGTTTGGAATAGTATTGAAGCTTTTCAGCAATAATAACCCTACAAAAGAATGACAATGAATAGCATAAAAGGAATAAAGCAGCGCAAAATAAGCAAAGGATAAGCAACATGCATAAAAGCAAAAATCATAAGCAATTCATCAATTTAACACAATCAATATATCTCTTTATGATAACAATAATAAAAAAATGCATATAATTTAAGCCATTCGGGGAATTTTTCTAAAAATTTAGAAAAAAATGCAAAAAATATTTTGCACAATCAATACAATCTAAAAAGAAGGTGCAATTTAATAATTACAATTTAAAAAGAACAGTAGAACAGTGATAATTCACAAAACACAAAGCATTATAATAGAACCTTAATAAAATTCACTAAAACTTAAAACGCGGTAGGGCTAATTTAATTTAACCCAAAAATCTAAATTATATGACAACATAAATATCGAAAACATCCGATCTATTAGAATTTCCTTGTTTAAATAATTTAGTTATTTATTTATCAGTTTATCAAGAATATATTAAAAAAAGGAAATAAAAGAAAGTACTGGAAAAATCAGCAAAAAATTAAAGGTTTACGACGGAAAGAAACAAAAAGAAACAAAATAAGTTCTTTAAAATTAATAAAATTCTTATGAAAATACCGAGATAAGAATGGACGATCGATTTGAATTTGCCATGGCCTCCTTTGTGAGCTATATCAGCTGCAACGATGTTTTTTTTTTAAGAAAAATAACAAATGTTTCTTAAATTCTTTAAAATTTCAATTAAAACACAGACTTTAAAAAATATATATACATATAACATAAGAGATCTCTATCCAGAATACTACACTCTTAGGGAGAGCTAAGATAGTGCACAGAACTATTTATCTCCCAGGCCTCTGGTAGAGGATCTAAGGTTGAAGACGATCATGACTATCCATAGAAGGGATGAGAGAAAAGTTTTATCATAAAATACAAATGAAACGTTGCAATATTTACAATAGAACAGGCAATATGGTAAATGAATTAAAACTATTTGAAACATATATAAAAATAATAAATCAGAAAAAAAAGCAGAATGAAAATTGCAAATGATCGAAAACAACATTATTCTGGATATGAAAAAAAAAACAATATATCTTGAACCTAAACTAATCTATCTTCTTTCTATGAAAGAAAAAAACTATTAGAACAAGAAAAAAACTGACCAGAACTAACAGCTGTGCGAAAAACTTGGCTTTTTAAGAATGATAAAAAACGCTGAGCATAGAAAGTTGGATTGTGAACAGATATAGAATCCTGGAAATAATCCAATAAAAACGATGCAAAATGAAAAATGAAAAAAGAAAAATTTTCTGCAAAGAATAAAAAATTGAAAAATTGACTTCGGCATGGCATTTTTTCTAATACAAGCGAACTCGACAAAAATCAAAAACATCTACAATGCGATCACAAAATTTTAAAATTTTATTCTTTGCATCATAGTTATTACCCCATCATGTAAGACACTTTTCCACGTGTGTTCTAATTTCTTGAGAAACCTATAGTTTTGCAAGATATCAATGATGCCAAGAAAAAGCAATAATTTATCGCCTTTTTGGTTTCGTGCATGAAACACTCCTTCTCTGCAAAAAAAAATGATTAATAAATTTTACTAACAGCTCATTATGAAGAACAAAAATTTTTTTTAAAAAAAAAGTGGTACATAAAGATGTCGAAATTCACAAGCTGAAATTCATCTTTTTTTTCTTGTTTTTTTTTCCTTTGAATGGATCAACAAATACAATTCATCTTCATAAAAATAATATAATTTGTTTTTCAGCATATATGATTGATAAATATTTCTGATTCAGTATTAATATTTGTTATGAAATAATTAATAACGAACGGATAATGAGTATCAGAATCCCAATATTTGCTCCTTAAACGAATCAATTTTTTCACTTTCTGAAAACCGAAAAAATGGTTTTTCGAAAGGATATGGCAAATTCGAAAATAAAAATTTTACAAATATCATGCAAATTTTGTGAAAAAATTATGCCGCATAAAAGAATACCACTGATTTTAAACAAACTAGATAAAAATATGACCAACAATTCCAATTAATGCAATTAGGTAATTATATCGAAATAATCTTTTTTTTCTCGTTTTTTCCTTTGAATATACAAAAGGCATACGTGTGCTGTCGAAGTAGAAGGTTCAACACCTTCGCCTTCATCTTCCACCATATTACCATCCAAAAGAGCCATATTATGAATACCCACTAGAAGACTATAATCCATTATTTTGAAACTTTCTAATACCTGAAAGAAACTTTTTACAAAACAACTAACAAAAATTTGAATTAAAAAATTCGTATGAAAAAAAAAAGTGGAAAAAACTTACAAGACAATCTCGACTAATTGTTTTCATAAGAGCATCATAAGCAGAAGCTTCTAATATGAGTCCTTTCGGATGTTCAGAAACAAAATCCAAATCTTTTAATGTCGGACTAGGTTTAGCTCTCTCATGCTTCGATGCTAATCGCTTATATGTTGATCCTTTTACATCATATTTTTCATGCATAGTTATCGATTGAGGCAATAAATTATTCATCACAAGAAGTCGAATATTTTTACCCAAACTCTGAATAAATAAAATAAGCTTTTATAAAACTTATTTCATAAAGAAGTGAAAATGACGAAAAGACCAAACCTGATAACAGAAAAGCCCAAAAAATTTTGGTAGAAGAGTATGAGGATTTTGATTGAAATTCTGAAATCAAAATGAATATTGCAGAAGAAATTTTTGTTAAATTTCAAAAAAAAAATTTCAAAAATTTCAAAAAAAGAATGAGAAAAATTAGTGGGATAATCTTGTAAGTTTTTTCCATTAACATTGATCAATTAATGAAAATTCTAAATCTCATTCCACGGAAAATTTTTTAAAATTATTTTTCTACTCATATTTTTCTTCACTTTCTACTAATCCTTAAGATAAAAAAACTATATATAAAATAAATATACCATATAATAGCCAGGCAATAATTTTTGCAAAAATTCAGCTTCTTTATGTTGGACTGTTTTAATAATGAATTGATCATCAGATGATACATAGAAAATTGAACCCGATGCACCTGCATTTGCTAATTCTTTTAACGGCTCAGTACATATTGAACGCTGAAAATATTAACATTTGTCATATTAATAAAATATGACTTGAAACTTTCTAATACCTGCAAGAAGCTTTTTACAAAATAACTAAAAAAAATTTGAATCTGTTAAAATATATGAATGCTAAAATATAATACCAAAAAAAAAATTTTTAAATTCTAGCAAGATTTTTCTAAAATTTTTACCAAGAAATCTGCTGCTTTAATAGAAAAAAGATCTCTAAAAGTACGAAATGCGACTGGTGCATATGTTTGAAATTTAAAATCACCATAACCATGTGATGGAGTCATCTGTGATCCTCCTCTATAATAAATTTTTAACATTAAAAAACCGAAATGGACGAAAATTTACAGCTACAAACTTCATTAAAATTTTCATCTGATTAATGGCAGATAGTTTACCATTATGCACGATAAAAAAGAAAAATGGAACTAACGGTGGAAATGAAACAGTCTCAATTACATCAAAATCTTGTAGCAACAAATCTCGTTTAGGTTTCGATGCTAATGACCCAATAGAATTCGCAATTCCCAACTGAATAGCTCCCATCAATGCATTTGTAGGCACTCGTTTATAACTCACCTTCAATAAAATAATTTTTAACAATATAAAATCTGAAAAAAAAAAATGACTGTCGAAATGATTTGAAGATATTTACAAAAAATAGCAAATAATCATTCTGATTTCCCTATCAGTTTCATTTATAAATAAATTTATAAAATTAAGACAACAAATAGATGGATGGATACCAATGTTGATGCGATTGGTAGAAATACTGGAAAGCAAAAAGAAATTTTGAAGAAAAAAGTAAACAAATACTTCGCCTTGTCGATCAATCCTCCTATGACCGAGTTTCTGCTTTTCAAATTCTTCCTGAGCCTTCCATCCATCCCCAGCTGAAATAAAATGGTATTTATTTCAAAAATTTTCAAATAATTCTTATCTGATCAGTTCTGATAAGCAATTTCGATAAGCTATAGTAAGCAGCTTTACCTGGAGATAACATTGTAGTAGGTTCTGTAACCATTACTTTCGACGGTGATTTAAAAGTTACCCCTGGCCCAGCCATTTGAACCTAAAGTTATTTATTTACTTTATTCATACAAATATATGAATATAACAATATAAATATTATATTTTTATAAATATTATTTTTAAGTTTATATGACAAAATAATTTTCTTCTTTTCCAACAAATCTGCATCCAACAATAAACAATTTATTCAATTCAATTATCAAATAAACCTCAACATTTTTTCATATTTTTATAAATTATTATTATTATTAAATTATACTGTAAAATTGATCTCCGGCAGTTTAAAACAGATAAGTCAATTTTCAGCTCTGATGCTACATTTTATTGATATTTTTTTAAAATTCCCTTTCCGACAATTTGGTGCATCATTTTTTATAAAACAATTTTAAGTTATTTTCTTTTCGTCGAAAGGTCATACAAATTATTTTTATGCTTTAAAATATCATTTATATTAGTTTTTAAACTCGAAAAACAATTTAAAAAGTAAAAAATAATTTAAAATATAAAAAATGATTATCATTTTTTCATAAATAAATAAATAGATAAAAAAATAGTAATATAAAAAACATTTTTAATAATAAATACAAATAAAATTTTTCTACAATTAAATTAATTGAAATTAAATTTAAATTAACTCATTTATTTTAAAAAATTATATTATATTTATAAATATATTTTTGTGCTTAAATCTTCTTATCTTTTCATCATTTTTTTATTATCTTTATTATCTTTAAGTCTTAAAAATATAATACAATTATATTAAATATAATATTTAAATATTAAATAAAATATAGTAAATAACAAATAAATATAATAATAAATATAATAGAATATAAAACAAAATATAATGAAATAAATATAATGTAATTAAATATTTTTCATATCAAAAAATATTTTAATAGTTCTAAGTTAGAAATTCTAAAAACTATTTAAAAATCTTTCCATTCCTTAATGAATTTTTTTCTATATTTCTTTTTATAAAAAAAAAGGAAAAAAAAAACCTTTATTGCTTCGTCGTATCGTTTCGTGTTGTCGTTCGTTGATGATTCTTAATACGGGAAAAATTCAACCGTTTTACACCGATTTACCTTTCGGAGTGAAAATATTCGCTTTTCGAAGACTTATAGTTATCTATTTTGAAAAAAAAACAGTATGATAAAAAACTATTGCATCGAATTTCAAATAAGATTATAAATTCTATATATAAATATATATGATGGGATTTTAAAATGGCTCAGTGGGTTGTTACTCAATTAGGAGCGCCAATGCTGAGGTTCGATTCTCCGCAGGAGCAAACCTATACAAAAATCCGGGATGCTGGCGACTCACCTGTATCGCCAAGGGACTCCCTGGCTTGTTGTCCAATGCGACAAGCCAGTGGAGCGAGTCTAACCAGTAATGGTGATGACTCCTTAAAAAAAAAAAGTATATATAACGGTGGATATAGTGATATAGTGATAACGATACGAAAAATCGAATAATGATAAATGATAAAGACAACTATGACAAATGTTTTATCTATTTATTTTTCTCTAATAATTAATAGCTTTGATATCGCCTAATCATCAATTTTATTTTTCATTTTTTTCATCTTTTTCATAAAGGCGCTGAGTTTAGATCACGTGGATAGGGGACGCAAACGATTTCAAATTATGCAGCAATATTTAGATAAAGGCATAACCGTAGAGGAGTCTGTGCTAGTCGTTTTGACCTACCTATATGACAAGGTCGAACATAACAAGATGACAACAGATAAAAAAACAGAGATAAATAGAAAGGTCAAAGGGGAAATCGATATCTTAAAAAAACATTTTGAATAAGAAATCTTACAGGATGGCTTAATGGTACCATCCTATTTCGCGTAATCATCATGTGCTTCAACCTTATCACCTAATATCAATGGAAAATGGAAATCTGCGAAGTAAGACCAAATATGGTAGGCAATGGAAATAGCCAAGCCAGAAACAATGAGTGTCGTTTAGAAGAAATACTCAGAATTACTACTTTGCAGTTCGCCGTAAAAAAAGGTCCACCCACTTAGTGCTCAGGAAAAGAGTACAAATTCATTGTCGCACTGACGACGAAAAATAAATAAATAAACATAGAGTGATATGAATCATAATGATTTTCGAGAAATATATTAGACTTTCATCGAATGTACTTTTTTTTTGTGCGTTTATCATTTATTGATAAATAAATAATTAACTTTGGAATTATTTGTAGCGGAAATCTCTCATAAATTTGATCCTCTTGATCTCTTAACAAATGATAAGGTCGGAAGCTTATCATGATAAGATAATAAATATTGGCGAAAAAAAGAATTGTAAAAAATAAAGTTGCAAAAAAACGAAGCAAAATTTCAATTGAGCCATATTCTTGTTGGCAATGCGCCAATTATTGACATTTCAGATAAAAATTGGAGAATGAATATTTTCAATAATTTTAAAATAATATAATTACTTCTTCTTCTTTTCATTGCTATTGGAAAATAAATCGATTTCGCGCATTATCGATTATTTTGATAAAAACCGGGAAAATTTTTGGAAGATTTTTGCGACAAAGTTAAAAAAATCTTTGGTAATACTTTTAAAAGATCAAAAGCCTTTGGTATTACTTCTATGATAAGAAATCAAAAGCTTTTGGTAAACATTTTTGTGACAAAACAAGTGAAAAGACCTTGGTGATATTTTTGTGACAAAATAAGTGAAAAACCTTTGGTGACATTTTTTTGACAAAACGAGTGAAAAGCCTTTGGTAACATTTTTTGTGACAAAATAAATAAAAAGCCTTTTGTGATATTTTTGTGACAAAGCAAGTTAAAAGTCTTTGGTGGCATTTTTTGTGACAAAACAAGTGAAAAACCTTTGGTGGCATTTTTTGTGACTAAATAAGTGAAAAGCATTTTGTGGCATTTTTGTGACGAAATGCCAAAAGCATTCTCACCAAATTTTTTTTAATTAGTTGATAAAATTTCAATCGTTTTTCTCGTCATATTTCTCATCCTTTCTTTTGCATTGTTTTTTCCTCGAAATTGATTAGAAAAAAAAATATTTAGTTGTAAAGATTTTTAAGTAAATTAAGTGGAATTTTATTGCATCGATTTTTACGTGATAGAAAAGGTGGTCGAAATTGGTGGTGGACATAAAGCGATTTGGAAGCTAGCAGGCTGGTACCAACCTTCGATTTTTCTCTCCCCTATTTTTTTCTCCGTTTTAATTTAGCGAATGAAAAATGAAGACATTTCTCGTGGAAGACATCAATCAATCAACTGAATCAACTGAATTTCTTATTTAGTGAATCAATGCTATGAATCATGCATTGCATGCATGCTTTTTTTTCAATCCTTTTTTTCAAGCATTTCCCACTGTTTTGATATTTTCGACTGATTATTAGTAATGTGGCAAGGTTTTGTTAAGTAAACGGTTTGCAATGGTACAGTGGTACTAGAAACAAATAAACAGTTTGAAGTGGTACTAGCAATTTGATTTTCTAGTGGAAAATTCTTCTTCTTGCTTAAGCCTGGGTATTAGTTCCGTCTAGGATGAGATATCTTATTTTTGTTTTTAAGTAAAAAAACCTAAATCTCTCCTATTTATCCCCGTTAGGAGAGGTGCAAGCGTAAGCCTTCAGCCAGTTGGATTTTGTCATAGCATTTCCTCTAAAAGCCAGCTGTCCTCTAAATTTCTTATGCTAAAATGCAGCTAGCCTGGAAGCTTATTTTAAAACGCAGCTATTTTTAATGATAAATTTTCTATCATAGATTTATGCGGTCCATTTACTTACCATCTTTTCATATGGTAATATTTTTGCGAATATTTCTTTGATTTTAATCGTATAAATCGAATGATTTAAAATAAATTTTAGAAGAGTATTCGAAAAAAATTCTATGGAAGCTAAAATAAAAGCAGAACTGAGAGGTAGAGACCCGTCAAAGGTCAAACGTCTTCGTTTGGTTAGTTGTCATTCGCAGTCGATCGTCGGTATAACCACTGAATTCACTTCGCTTCGTTTTCTCTCGATAACATATTCTGGATTAATATCGATTACTGTAATCCTTTTTATTATTAATATTTTTAATATATTATTAATATTTTTATTGATATTTTGACCTATTATTCAACGTTATGTGAGTGTTCAATTCATATTTGCCCGTTCATAGTCATTTTAAATTTTTGTAAGATGCGCAATAGGAAGAGATCAGTGGCGAATGATACACGCTTGACAGAAACACAAATCGGTTCAATTTATTTCTTGCATATATTAGGTTTATGGTGAATAAAAATTTCTTTTAACAAGAAAAAAATCATTTAAATTTAGCTATTTACTAGCTTAAACTGTTTAGTAACTCATCTGAGTGCTATAAACGAAAAGTGGAATTATTAATTTTTTTTTTTGAAGGGTTTACCGAGACTACCATGGCTATGTCGCTTGGATTTATCGCATAATTCACTAGGTGATGCTTCACTGAATAATTTACCAGAACTCTGTCCAAATTTACGCTACATTTCTCTCTGTGACAATGATATTAGAAGTATGCGAGCGCTCATACCGTTATCGAAACTGAAAAAGCTAGAAACGATTGAGCTCATGGATAATGAGATTATAAAAAATGAAAATTTTCGGACGAAAGTTTTTGAGGTTTTGAAAGAACTTTTTTTTAATTATATGCTTTTAGGCTTAGCCGTTTTCATATATTTTCATATATATAAATTCAATTTTCGGACGAAAGTTTTTGAGGTTTTGAAAGAACTTTTTTTTAATTATATGCTTTTAGGCTTAGCCGTTTTCATATATTTTCATATATATAAATTCAAATCGATTTCGAATTCATTTTGAATTTCACAATGGGCTAGGAGATTATATGACGAGGTATTATCTTAATTAGTCATAGTATAACCAGCCAAATTACTGGTATGTGTTGTTAAAAAGGCTAACTTGGCTAACTTTGATGATTTTTTATACATAATATTTTTAGCTTATGGATAGGTTGCTTGTTCTGGATGGGCGCGATTCCCAAAATAGAGAAATATTTTTGTTTGAAGATTATAATAAAAGTACGACTGAAGAAGAGGTATCGGAAACAGATGAAGAAAAAGATGACGAATATTCAATTGGCCTTGACTACCTCGAGGATGAATCTATTTTAGAGGTTAATTTTTTTCGAACTTTGGAATTTTCCAAGGTTTTTTGCATATCAAATGATGATTTGATGACATTTTTTTCAGCACATTTTGAGTAATTTTTTTTAAAAATTTACTTGTAATATATATGACTATGCATGATATAATATAAATATCGAATATAATAAAATATTGTTTTTTGAGGATGAAGATGAATCGGAGGATTACAAAGATAATAGCAGTGTTCCAGAGGTAAAAGATAAGGATTTACGACGTTGTACAAAACGCAAACATGAAGATGAAGAAAGAGAAGATGTTTGAAATAATTTTTTTTACTTTTTTTTGTAATGTTCATTTAAATAATAATTCCTATTCTTTTGTACATTTTTATTCAAAAATAATTTTTATCTTCAAAAATTTTTTATCTTCAATAATTTTCTTATTTATTGATGATGAGATAACTTTCTGGAGAAATGGTTTTAAACGAATATTAGCAAAAAAAAAGCAACCAATCATAAGGAGAAGGAGAAATTAATTGAAAAACATATTTTTGTTGAGAAATTAGAGATTCGATTTTCGTTTAATGATATATACTCGTTTTTATACTTTTTATATTTTTATATTACTAATGGATTCATATATTCATTTATTTGTTGTTCGTTGTTGGTTCAGTAATGTTAATTTTAGCCTGACTGGCATCAGTTTACAATAAAATTATGTATTTACTGGTGTGGACAAAAGAGCCGTATGAGTAGTTCAAGGAAGATGATAGGGCAGAGTAGGACAATTGTCGGAAAATTAGTGGATATCGCCTGGATTTATACCTCTTCTGATTAATATATTTATAATAATATTGTTCATGTTTGATCGTGATCATCCACACTGATTAGGGCATGACTATCGCATAAACTGATGCATATTTAGGAGTCTTGATTGATAAGCTTGTTGCGCTCACTATCTTTAGCTTAGACGACAGAAAAAATAGAGGCTATTTTAGATAGGGTATCGGCTTGACAGGCATGGAAGTGCTTCTCCCTTCCATTCGTTGGAGCAAGGTAGCGAGTGAAGGTGCGTTTTACTATTAAAACTAAAACTCAAGTAGTTCGGAGGATTCATTTCTACCTCAGCTCTACTTTATTCCAGTTTCAATATGTTTCAAAAAAAAGATAATTTGATAAATTTGAATAGGTAAAATGATAAAATGATAGGTAAAAGTGGTAGACGATGTTTAGATTTTGGTGATAAAAAATTTGTTTTTGCATGATGCACAAAGTAGTTAAAGTGCTCAACCTTCGATACCTGGCTTATACCTGCTTTTCATAATCACTTTGGTACCTGGCTAGTTCTAATAATAAAATCGAAAATCTCAGTTTTCAGTTTTCGGCAAGAAAATCGCATGAAAGTGAAGCTCAGTTTTCGGCAAGAAAATCGCATGAAAGTGAAGTTGTTGAGTGATAATTAGTCTTGATAAGCCATAAAGAAGAGAAAATAAACGCATAAGTTCATGTTCATTCAAATTGTTCGGTCTGATACCACCGCTGATAATAGAAGCCATTGCTTTTTCCTCCGTCTAGGTCCATATATCACTAGTCCTTCTATGCGTTTCGTGATCACTGTATCATTCCAGGTTTTGACTGGTTCTCCTTGTTTTTGATGCCGTTGATAATATCAGAATTGATTAACCAATCACTAATTAATTTATCAATTAGAGGAAATTTTTTTAAATCTAAAACAACGGAGAAAAAATGTGGTCATCGTAGGAATCTTAGTCAATTCAAACCGTCCGATGTCCCTTAAAAGCACCATATTTGGTTGGTACCACCTTTTTAAACCTATTATATTCCACTTTAATCTTTTCAAATCCATTTATGGCTTTTTAATAGCTTCAGTACTTATATAATTTTAATTATATAATTATATATATATTTTAATTGTATAATTATATTATATAATTTTGATGCCTTAATGCTGGTCTGGTTTTGCTGTGGTCATAACCATCAGACCTGGTTTTGCTGTGGTCCTAACCATCTAAGGTAAACATGGTGATTTGAGACTAAGGATATTTAACGAGTGCAAAAGAAGAATACTTATGGAGAACAAAGGAAGTTTAACGAATAAATAACCAGTATCAATCAGATTTTCGAAAGATAGGTTTACCTTGGGTACCTACTGGGAGTGGAACCCTAAGGAATTTAGTTCATTGGCCAGTCGACCTTCTTCTTATCGTTTATCTCGTTGACGCTTGGCACTTTAATCAATTTGATTTCATTTCTTTAAAATTCAGTCTTTAATTAACGAGAATAATCAATTATCAACTTTTCAAAAATTCGACTCTGGAGCAATCCGTATTTTTTTCTTCTCCTTATCTCTGCCATTATCATTATCACTATTTATCATTTCGTCATTTTTCTTTAAAGTTTTTATTTATAAGATATAAGTTTTTATTTTTTTTCTTCAAAATTTCAAAAGTCAAAGGTAAAATAGTTGAGTTAATAATGTTGATAATAAATTGTTTTATTTTTCATCTTCTTCATTATTTTTTTTTCATTCGCAGTAATTTCTCTTTTTGCCATTTTCATTGGCTCAACTATTTCACCTTTGACCTTTGAAATTTTGAAGAAAAAAAATCTAATGAACAAAAGCTTATTATTTTTTTTATTGCCAATTATTTATCATTATTTTTTACGTCTATTGATTACCGCGCTTATCATTTGTGATTAGTTTTACTCCATTAGTTGAAATTTTCATTAGAGAGATATTTAATATATATACAGGTTTACAGGTTTTTTCAATTACTGCCGACGATGGCATCAGACCGGGCCGCTTGGAAGCGTCTTACTCTTGTAGCTGTTGAAGCCAGCCTGACCAGTAATGGTGAGAGCTGTTAGAAGAAGAAGAGCAAACGAGAAATATAGGGGTCCTTGGTGCTTGTGAGGTTTCTTTAATAATAGGTTTACTGCAGTCTGCAGAAAGTATGCTTCGAACTTTGATAGACGAGGAAATCCGAGGAACAATTCGGCTATCGTGCACACCATTATTATTTTTCGACTATTTATTATTATTATTGTTAAAATTATTTTCGCATTTTATTATTATTAATTAATTTTTATTATTAATTTTATAATTATTAATAATTATTATTAATTTTTAATTCCTTTCCTTTAATCCTTTAGTTTTTAATTTCAAATTCCTTTTTTTTTGAAATTTGTAATATTCTTATTTTTTTATCGATTTTTTAATGCTCGATTGTTTGACAACGCGACGCTTCGTTAAATTTATCGACCGCTCCATCCTCTATTTTTTTTATGACAAGCGTATTTTTTAAATTACGCATCGCTGGTTATTTGCGGTCGCGGCCCTTTTGCAAAAAATACGGCCAGAACGTTTTTGTTCGCTTATTTTATTTTTTGCTAGTTGTTTTTTTAATTAGAGAATTTCTACAGAAAAAAATTACAGCTAATCGAGTATTGGAATTCGGTTGTTTTTTCTACCTCAAATAAACTACCTCAATCTCAAACTAAACTACTGCAACCATTGTTTTTCTTCTCGAATAACTTTTCGAATAAATTCGCAATGAACGCATTGAAAGCGCTGGTCAATTGCGCGCGAGCATCAACCGTTTTCACGACACGAGTAAATATCATTGATATAATTTTGATAAAAATAAACAGTTCCACATGTGAAGAGAAAAAAGAGAGATTTTATCATGTGTTGTGATTGGATCTTTTACCATTCTCTTTCAAATCGAGTCATTTACCTGGTAGAAGAAAAGGTTCTGTGAGTTAATTGCTCTTAGCACTGCCGTCTTCTGGCCAGCTGTGATGCTTGTTCCTGGAACCTAATAGAGCAGCCACTTTATTTCCTTATTATCTCTGGAACTGCCGAGAAGCGCTGATTCCATTTGAAGAGTCCTATTAGGATATATGTCCTATTAGGAAGAGAGCAAGCTGAGTCTCTGGCGAAAAGATGTAACTGTGCGATTAAAGTCCGTGTAGTGCTGCTAGGAGATGCCAGTTATCGGTATCTTCTCGTTAAGACTCGTAAAGGTCGTGGTGAAGCAGAAATCAACCCAGAACGTGTGAGTTCTAAAATAGAGATGTTCTATTCTGTCTACATCGAAAAGTAACCGGGCACGAGAAATTTCCAGTGGAGTCATTTGCGACAAGGTTGAAAATCCTATTAATGCTAAGGCCATCAATAAATGCATGGATGGAGAGAGTTCTTTGGATCTGAATTTGGGTCTTCAACAGGATTGCGTATCCACCATCGCAGATATGACTGAAACGTGTTTAGAGCCATATGATTGCGAACCACCACCAACGGAGCGCGAGGTAATCACTATAATCCACAAATCTAATAAAACCCTCGAAAAGATGACCTGCATCTGTCTAAGTCTTCAGATTTCACTTTCTGGACTCTTTGGTCTTTTTGATTCTGGCGGTCATTTTTCGAATGCACCCCAATGTTTTTCACAAAAGGCCTGCAGAGATTATGTCCAGTGGTGTGAGAGAATCAACTGTCATGCAACTGGAGTGCACAGGAAGTACGGACTTAGGCGATGGGAAAGGAAGTAGCCTCAGATTGGCACTCGAGAGGTTTGAAAACATTTTACGCCCCCCCCCCCCCCCCCCCCCCCCCCCTCCATGTGGACTATTAGAAGAAGAATTTAGTTATTCAGATTATCTGCCATAATTTAAATGCTAAAATGAATTTTTAATTATTTTCTTTAATAATGAAAATAATAAAAAACGTTAAGGGATTGGCTGGAATGCTTGGACGATTAAATCATGTCGCTATCGCTACTCCAGACATCGAGAAGTCTTCGAAATTTTACAAGGATCTTGGTGCTAAAGTTAGCGATAAAGTGGTAAGTATTAACATACAATACACGGATGCAAAGATATAAACTATATCATGATAGACAATATTTATATTTAATAAATATTTATTTTTAATATTTACAATTTTGAATATTGTAAACATGTCTAAGTACCATCACAGAGCGTCGCCTTCGCTGGTTAAGGCACGTTATTCATCGCCAACCACAAGAATTCACATATATTCCATTACTTGCTAGACCTTATGATAGATGGTATCAAAAGCGATGTGGACCAATCAAGCCTGGCACAACCAAGAAAAATTTTGAACATGTAAAAAAATCAGCAATATATGGACTTACATGATGAAAAAAGGAATAGTTTCTATTACTATCGATGATGGCATCAAATCGCGCAGCTTAGAAACGTTTTATCCTTGTGGCCAGTGGAGCCAGCTTAATCACTAATAATGAGAACTATTAAAAAAAGAAGAATATTAATATTATAATAGAATTTAGGCACAACCAGAACATGGCGTTTATACGGTGTTTGTCGAATTTCCAAATACTAAACTGGAATTATTATATCCGCTCGGAGAAAAAAGTCCTATTAAAGGATTTTTAGAAAAGAATAAAACTGGTGGAATTCATCATATTTGTATTGAAGTCAAAGAAATTAATAAGGTTTAAAGCCTCTTTTTATCATTTTTTTTTTAAAAATATTTGAAATATATGTGAGGTAATGGAAAGCGTAAATCATAGTAAATCACACTACTATTTTACTACTTTATTTCACTACTTTAAAACTCCGAAGAGTTTGCTCGATTAACTGGAAATCATGGATTTTTTGGCTAAAGTAACGGTATTATCCAAGTTAAATTGTTTCATTCTTGTAGTTAATTGGCTCATAATTCAAACTATTTGTAAATATGGTTTTATAGACAGTAGAAGAAGTGAAAAAAATGGGAATCAGAACATTAGCCAAGGAGACTTCGATTGGCGCTCATGGTAAACCAGTAATGTTTCTTCATCCAAAAGATTGTGGTGGAGTTCTCGTTGAATTAGAACAAGAGTAACAATTTTTTATTAAAAATTCTAATCGATTCGTATTTTTTCTTACGGATATTTTTTATAGTAATTCTCAAAATTAGCCGAGTGCTCTTATGAAATGTGTGATAATTTTTTCTTTTTTTTAAATTTTATGTAATTAAATATTGAATAAAAATTAGGTGAATTAATAAAAATATGTGATAATTGAAAGTTTATTATATTTTTAAATATTGCTTTATTAAATTATAAATAAATAAATAATTATAAAAATATATAAAATAACAACAAAAATATACAACAATTTTCCCTAACTCAAGTCAATTAAAAATATAGTCAAAAATATAATTTTAATTCGGTTTCATATTTTCTCATACATTTCATTTGAATTTTTTTTTGAATTTTTCTCATACATTTCATTTGAATTTAATTGAATTTTTTTTTCTACTTTTTCTTTTTTTTTACAATAGTATAATTAATTAATCATTAAAATAATAATTTAGTGGAATAATTATTGAAATAAAGCAAATCGAAATCAAAACTTTCCTCACAAATGATGACTAACTTAAACTTTTGGGTTAAAAATTTAATAGAAATTCTCATGAACGTCGATAAATAGGTTAAAATTTATTAATTACAATTTCTTTTAATTATTTTCTTAATTTAAATTAGTTTAAGCTATTTGCTACTTCAAATTATATTTGATAACGTAACTTATTGTGAAGTTATATCTAAAGTGAAGCGCCAGCAAGCAGTAATCAAAAACATCAACAAAGAGATGAAGAGGAAAATGAAAAAAATCTTAAGATCCAAGAAGTTTACGAGCCTCTTGTAGTCGCCTTCGTTGTAATAATACTCGTTCTTCTTGTGATTGAATATCCTTTTCTTTTATTTCATATGGCTGAAATTTATTGGGTATTGAAAACATAATTTGATTCATGCTTGATTCTCATTCGAATAATCAACCAAGCCAGAAATAATTGATGTGATCGGAGCAGAAACAAATAAAATTTTAAAGGATTCCTAAAAATTCCCAAGTGGCAAATTTATGATAATGAAAATGCCCTAATAATAAAGACCTTGATGAAGGGCTGTTCAGCGTTAGTGTTAATCCAAGGATTTGAGTCTAATTCCTTCCTCGAAGCCTCTTGTCCAACTATTGTCGAAGTTGTAAATGAGTTTAAAACTGAAAAAAGTGATGCCGATGCAGAATCTTCGGCAATAACCGATAAAGCTGGTTCAATTTTATTTGCCAATTCTAATCCACTTGAAATGTACTCAGTTTTTTCACCACTGAATCGATCGAATGTATCCAATGGTACCATCGCGCGAATTCCTTCTAATCTTTTCGACCAAAACAACTACAAAATCTATATAATCTATAATGGCGGCAAAATATGTCGGAATATGGGGACGGCTGTGCCCGGAAAGTAAAATGGTTTTAAGAAAGCTGCCTCAAGGAAGCGGGTGCCCTTTTGAAATATTTTGATATCCCTCAAAAGCTACCTCCAGCTCTATTAAACATCTTGCAATACATCCTGCAATTTTTAAACAACACTTTAAAACGCCTCAACCCCCTCAGACCAAAGTGCAGCCCCTCAACATTACTTAGTCTCTTTAAAAAGCCTTATTAAACCTTAGCCGCAGCTTCAAATTTTGAAATAGTAAGGGGTAAAGTGGGAGTGTTAAGTAAGATGAACTGGTAGAAATTGGAGGTTAATGCAAAGCAAAAAGAAGAAAGTATATATTAAGCAAAGACTGAAAAGAAATCGAAGAGTTTTTATGGAAATATAGTAATATCTAAACTTAGATGGTACCTAGATTCCTCTTGGACCACTAGATTCCATGTTTGGAACATGGATCTTTTTAGATATAGCATTACTGTAAAAAAATCTAATAGTAATAGTGGTACCTGCAATGGTTTCTCTTTCTTTCCATTTCCACCACTACGACGTGCTTGTGCTTCTTCACCTTTACATATTTTTGAGTCACGTTTTGAGGTATGTACAAGAGTGACAGGTTGTTTAAATATGGAAACAGTTTTTCGCCATGGCGCTGACATAGAACCATCAAAACCAGTCTTATTAATCGAACTATTTTGATCTTTACCTCGACCCTTTGTACCTCTTTTACTCACCGATAAATTACCAGCTTCCGATCCTTTTGTACCTTTCGTTCGCCCCATTCTAAAAATACAAAAAAATGATGAATTAGGAAGGCTCGTATAACTAACTATGAACTACTCGTATGAAAAAATACTATAAAAAAGTTTAGAAATTTTAAGAAATTTATATAAATATAGGAACAAATCGATGTAGAATTCTAAATTTTCTTATTGTAAACTCACTAACTGAAATTGAAACCTAAAACTTATTATTTAAAATTAAACTTTAATTAAATAGAAGAAAGAAAAGAAAAAGAGAGGAGAGGAGGAAAAGGAAGAAAAGGAATAATAAAGGAGGAGAATATTCTCCCTGTGGAAACGAGACGAGGACCACACTGAATCAGACTCCTCTGCCTTACTCACCATCCTAACTACGTTTACAAGTATAGAACTAAAATTAAGATTAGAAACCTATACAGCAAAATAACCATAAGCAGACTGATAATATACTAGGAAACCACCACTATTTAGCAGTCACTATTCATCGACCGATAATTAGTAATAGTAGCCGTCAAGGGGTCCAAAATTATTTCATAGTTCTCTTGGAATGATTAAGCGGGTTATATACGTTAGGTGCTTGAATTATTAAGAATTGGTGATTAAATTGTCCTTCATAACGTCAGTGATAACCGACGATGACCAACGGTGATTCTTAAGAGGACATAAGAGCCAATAAAAATTTTTTTAATGAAAAAAGTGTTTAAAATTTTTAAAATTTTAAAACCTGAAAATGCAATTTTCACTGCAATTCCATGAGTTTTTCGTTGTGGTATCGATGACTTAGTGATAAGATGGTTATCAGTGAGAATCGGGAATGGTTCGAATTCGGCCGACATATGCGAATAGAGGAGGAAAAAGAATGAAGAATGCCTTATTGAGTTGGTACACAAATTCGGGTTGCCAGCACTTCGGTTGCATGTGCAACAGGAATAAACCTATTTTTCACAAATTAATAGCGACTCATTTGTATTTCTGTTGTCAAGTGGATTCCCTCTGAGAAAATTTGTCTGCAACCGACAAGCTAATTGAGCGAACCTAATCAGTAATGATAATAGTAGTATTAATGGTAAAACTAAAAATTGCGGGGTCTCTTAGCGTTCACTTCAATCGTCTATTGGGGAGTTAGTAGAGTTCAGTCAAACCTAAATCCTATTATTTTTTAATTTTTATTTAATTTTTATTTTTTAAAGATTTTTATTTTTTCGTTTATCTATTTTTTCGTTTATCTATTTTTATTGTTGTTTTTTTAATTTTAAAGAAATATTTAAATATAAATATTTTAGAGAAATTTTTCGACGTAAAAATATTAGATTTCAAGAAATATTGCGATTAATTATGACTTCGATAAATGTAAATTTTTTTCGAATTTTTTTCCATTTTAAAAAAATTTTAATTATTTGAATATTCAAAAGATACAATAAGAAGAAATAATTTTTTATTGTAATTTAAGCAATTTTAATTCAGTTAAAAATATTAAATTTTAGAACTAATTTTTATTATATTAATTTAATTAATTCTAATTAATTAATTTTAATTAATTCTAAACTTATTGATTTTATTCAATTTTATTTTTTTCAGCCATTATTTTGTACGTATAAAATAGAGAATAATTCTGCAAAATTTTGCAACGAAGAATTTTCATCAATAAATAAACTAAGTGAACATATTGCAAAAGCACATCTGAATAATTTCTCACTATTTTTTTGCAACGGATGTAATTCATCATTTTTTACTTTATTTGAGGCAATTTTACATTTTACAAATTGTAATTATACAAATAAACGAGTAAGTGAATTTATTAAATTTTAAAAAACTTTAGTTTTTGCCTAATTCTTAAATAATTTTTAATTTTAATTCCTAATAATTTGATTTAAATTTTAATTTCAATTTAAAATTTTGATTTAAATTTTAATTTTTTCAACTTTTGTTTTTTATTTATTTTTTATTTACTTTTATTTTTCATTAATTTTTCATTAATTATTTTATTTTTTTGAATTTTTATGAAACATTTATTGATTTATGATAATTTATTTTCTCTTAATAAAAATAAAATAATAATTAAAAAAATAAATAAGATAATAATAATAAAAATAATGATAAAAATAACAATAAAAATAATATAATAATAATAAAAATAATGAAAATAAATAAAATAATTTCTTCTTCATAAATTTTATATTTAATTTATTTTTTAAATTTTTTTAATTTTTTATTATTCGTGTTTAATATATTTGAATTTGATAATTTAATAACTATTTAACTTAATTTAATAACTATTTTAATTTGTTTTGTTAATAATTTTAATAATTTTCATTTTAAAATTAAATAAATTTAAAATTTTATATTTAATATTTTTCTATTCCCTTATTTTAACAGATAAATTTGCAAGAAGACGCATTTGCTTCGTTAAAACCATTGGAGAAAATAGAGAAATTAGTGATGGAATCAGTTACCACTGCTATAGGACGAGTTATTTGCTTTTTTTTATTTTTTAATTTTTTTAGATGAAAAATTATCTATAAAAAATATTTTCGATTTTTTGCTCTGTACGAGAATTTAAAAATTTCATTTCATATTTCGTATATTTCGTATATTTTTATTATTATTATTTTTAGCATTTGAAAAAGGAGTGGAATATATGCGATCGTTATCAGTATGTTCTAGCGAGCCAAAGTACGAATTACAAGGTAAAAAGATCTGTTTCCCACCACGCTTCGTCAGAGGCAATTTATAATTGATTAAGATTGGCAATTTAAAATTTACAATTCACAATTTACAATTTATTTTTTATGAAATAATAGACCAATGACCAGTGAACTGGTGAATTAAATTTTTATAAAATTTTTGAATTATTTTCAATAATTTGTGATTATTTTTTATTTACAGCTGAAAATGAATGCGATATTGAAACAATTGGTTACAGACAAAATATAGATGAAATTCCTGATCAGATTCAGTTACCACCAAGTAATAATATTAAAAAAATTACTTTAATTTTTATTCTTTAATTTCTTCTAATCATTTTTTTTTATAAAAAATAAATAGTGATATAGTAATAGTAATAGTAATAGGTAAATAAATAGGATAAATAGTGATTAGTAAAAGAAAGATATAAATGAAAGGAAATCGAAGTTGATAAAATAAGCTAAAGGTAAAGAAAGTAGACTACAATTTATAATTAATATGATTAATACTTTTAGTAGATTTTAATTTATTTATTTTAATATAACGAGATTATCTGATAGAATTATGAAGAAGTATGTGTGCTATTTAAGCTGAACAGGAAAATCATAATAACACAGTAGATGTGAACCTATTTCAACGATAAAATTATTTAAGTTAAAAACTTATTTCAGTAAATTTCTCGAAAGATCTCGAAAATGATAAGTCTGTATTCGTGCATATTCGACAGTATGGTATGTTTAATTGATTTCTCGATTCTCCAATAGAGATGGAATAATGGAATAGAGGATAAGTAATCGTAGAATAGTAGTGTTAAGGTTCGAATTTCGCCAGAAATAAACTTGTCGTTTAAAATATCCAGATACCTATACTGATCCTCAAATGACCAATAATTATTTGTAAAATTCAAAATTCTTCATTTGTTAGACTTTACGTATGATTGCAACAAAAAAGAAATAAAGCGCCATATTTCAGCGCTTCAGGTTAAAGTGATATGGTTTGCAGATTATTCAGTTCCAATGAGTAGCAGTAATTTTCCTGATAAATTGAGTCCAAGCGATGCAAAGTCTGGTGTTTTAAAGCGCAAACTGGAATCAACAAAGTCAGTGACAAGTCAGTAATAAATTTTAAATAGGATTATTTGATTGCGCGAATTAGATTTAAATCGTTTGTATAGACATTTTTTATTTTTTATTCAAAAAAACTGATTATAAACCTCTTTATAATCTTTTACTGATCTTTTACTCTTATCTCTTTAATGACCTTCCTTAAGTAAGCTTCCTTATGTAATCTTAATCTGTTGACACCGTTGTAGTACTTTGGTTGCTAAATTTCTCAGAACCTTTTATAATCATTTCCACTTAAGGTTCTTTCAATTTTTTAGCGCTACACTAAATCGAACTTCCTTATTCTATGTAAAATTCCCTACCCCTAATATAACCTCGTTTTATTCCCTTGTTACGAAACAGTAATAACTCCTGGTGGAAAACTGGTCAAGTGGAAAATTTTGACCTGCTTTGTTGAAATCTCCGATAAACTGTCGTATTTTGTGAAGGATTTCCGTAAATTCCTGTTATATTTCCTCTTTAAACCTTGAAGTCTTGCGACACTGTTTTTCTATAATATATTAATAACATTTTAAACTTCTTTATACAACACTTTAATTTTTCCACACCGTAACTTATTAATTTTATCTGTGTCGGCGACTCAATGATATAACCAAAATAATTGCCACTGAAAATCACGATTTAAGTTTGAATCCGACCGATTCATTATGTTTTGTCGGGTGGCAGTATTCCCTTAACAGAAATAGTAAAGGGAGCAGAATATTTGTGTGAGCCGTTGTTCAATTGTTCATTTCGGAACGAGCGTCGATGTCGATCTACTTTCACCAGTAGTCTTGGAAAAAAACCTGACTTTCAAAAATCCAGCTGATGCTGGTGACTCACCTGCACTTCTATCGCTGAGAGCATTTTCCTCGATAAAAATTTGTCTAGCCTGATAAAACAACGGAGCGAGTCAAAGCAGCAATGGTTCTTAAAAAGGAAAATCTGTTATGCTCTTCTTCCATTTTTAGGCAACTTTTCTTTTTTTCTCTTGATTTTTAAAATAGGCTTAACTTTGTATAGTAAACTTTTTTCTTTAATTTAATTTGGTTTTTCAGCTCAAGAGGAAAGGGAAGCTGTTGAATTTCTCCAAAACCATGGAATTTTACCGACGACAATGACTTGTCGTAATGGACATGTAGCAAAACTACACTTTAATAAACACATATATTGGAGATGTTCCAAAAGAACTTGCCAAAGAAAAATGAGAATACGAAGTGGAAATTGGTTAGAGGGTTCGCGTATACCTATCTCGACGATCTTACGATTTATGCGATGCTGGTGTGAGGATTTAACCTCCATTGAATGGTGTCAACGCGAACTGAAACTTTCCAAAGATACAACTGTTGACTGGAATAATCGTATGCGGGAAGTTTGCATTTTCGCCGTGCAACGAAATAAGAAGAAAATTGGAGGCGAGGGGCTTATAGTTGAAATAGATGAAAGTTTGTTTACTAAAAGGAAGAATAGCACTAGCAGGATGTTGTCACAACAGTGGATTTTTGGAGGGATATGTAGAGAAACAGGCGACTTATTCATGGAGGAAGTTCCAGATCGTAGTGCAAAGACCCTTTTGACAGTTATTACGGAGAACGTCAAAGAAGGAACGACAATCTATTCTGATTGTTGGCGTTCATATACAACTGAAGAATTGAATGAAACTGGATTTGAGGACTTGAAGATTAATCAAAAATATAATTTTGTAGATCCTAAAATGGACATGCGTACGGAGCACATTGAAAGATTATGGGGATCTGCGAGATGGAGAAATAAAAAACACCGAGGAACAGCTAGACACCAACTTAGCACATATTTAGCAGAGTTCTTATGGCGGCAACGTGTGCGAGATCAGGATATTTTTCTTGCATTCTTGAGGGAAGTGAAACAATTTTGGCCACCAGTAAATGAATTTTAATTATTCATTCATCAATCTTCTGATAGCATTTATTATTTTTGGATGTCTTGGTTCATGACTAAAATGAGGCTCCTTCGTCAGACAGTTATTCGGAAGCGGAAATAATACAAATGGATACCATCCGTATTTCATTTTTAATGATAGGTTCATCCCTGTTAAAAAATTAGAACCTAGTCTTGGTCAAGGCAAAGTACCACCGCTACCACCACTCCGTTCTGTTTACTTACATTTTGTATATCTTTTTTATTATCCTTTTTTTTTCAAATATAAAATTGCTGTTGGAAAATTTTAGATTTTAGTAAATAATAGAATGCGTAATACGTTTTATCGTGTTTTTTTTTCATTTTCTTAATTTGTTTATTTTATTTATTTTACATTCCACTGGAATGAAATATTTTCCTCAAAACAAAATATATATATTTATAAAATAAAAATAGATAAAAAAATAAATAAAAATAAATATATATATAAAAATAAAAAAGCGAATATTTGTGATTCATAAATTGTAAGATTCTTTCTCTAGAAAAATAGTTTAATAAAATTTCACTTTACATTTTAAAAAAAAACTATTAAAAATTAAAAGCAATATCGCTAGCACTATTCAAATAACATTTCTTTATTTTTTTATTCTAATATATTTTTCAATTTTCTCTCTCATTTTCCTCTACAAATTCTTAAAAAGAAGTATGTCGAATTAGAGAACTGTATGGACAGCCGAATGGTAGATAGATAGGTAAGTAGGTATATTGCTTGGAGTTAGGTTGAGCAACCTCGCCTCTTCATGAATATAAACCTGTAATTAAAAGCGAGGTCTGAACTTCTATTCTAAAGTAATTCCTTGATAAGGGAGGGGTAGAGTGGGTTCGTCTTAATAGTCACGCCCATTAGCGAAAAATCTTATTCTAATAGCGTAACGTTCACTAGGTTGGTTGGTTCCCACTGGGTCGGCCAGCTAGGCTATTCAATCCTCTCGGCCAATATCTGCTAAAAATCCGCTATTTTCCTCTATCCTTTAGGCTTTATTCATCGCTATTTTCTCTCACCCTCTAACTCGTTTATCGCCTATGTTAGGGATTAATCCGCAACCTGAACTATAAAAGTCTGTGGAACCACAATTTGGTCCCGTTAAGGTATCGATAATTTTATTTATATATCTCAGCTAAATTTCAATCGGAAACGCGCCTGCATTTCGATGTACGATTCCGCTTTTTCTTTTTTTCAATATTTTAACCATTTGAAAAGATTTTATATCAAAATTTAATATTTTGAATATAAAAATTTTATATCAAAATTTTGTGAATATCAAAATAAATTTATTTCTGACAAAAATAACAATTTTTCATAGATAATTTCTCTTTTCTAAAAAAAAAGGAAAAAATTACCAGACTTCAATAAGCTGGAATGGTTTAAAAAAAAAAAAGAAAAAATCTAACTTAAGAATTTATTTTTAAAACTATTAGAGAATAAGTAAAAAAAATGTCTAAAAAAAAGAAGCCAAAACAATATGAAATGATAAATGATAACATACCTCACTTTAATGAAAATCCCATTTTTTTTTTCTTGAATTCATTCATTTTCAATTCACTTGACGCAATAAAAATTTTCCTACTTCACTAAAAAGCGATTTAAAATTTAACAATAATTTGACCTAATAAAAAAATTAAACCCTTTCCCACACCATCCACTCCCCCACTCTCCGTTGAGGGAATTCACTTTTTTCTAAATTTCGAAAAATTAAATAATGAATGAAATGAAATATGCTTGTTTTTTTCATTAAAGAAGTAAAAAAAAATATTTTGAGAAAATATCTCAAAGCACATTTTAAAAGCTATGAAAGAAATCTAAAAAAAAAAAACAGTGCATATTTTGAAATATAAAAATATCATTAAAAAAAATATTATTCTTCACAAAGAGAGATTCATTTTAAACCTATCCCTATATAAATTCATCTGAACATTAAATCTCTTCCTATAAACTGCTATTCTATTTACTTAAAACTTCTTGCTTCCTTTTTATCTTATTATTTATGAAATTATCAAATTTAACATATAAAGAATTAAGAAAAATTTCAAATAAATGCAAATATAACCAATAACTAATTTGCAAATGTTTACAAAAAATAAATCACTAAATATCAATTAATATACGGTTAAAAATGAAACGAAATTTTAAAAAATTATTGAAAACACTGCGAAAGATTTTAAAAAAAATCTCCATTCCTACGGTACTTAAATGATGTTTGTCTTACAATGGAACGAAGGAAGAAATCGTAATTTTCCTACTTGATGATTTTTCCAATGACAGCGAAATTTTCATGAAAATTTTCCGATATTACTTTTTAATATAATGCTCACTCATCGAATATGCCATTATCAATACTAATAATTCCTAGACAATCCATATTTGCGGTTTTTTTACCAAAATAAAATTCTGAGGTGTTGTCATTTTGATATAAAAACAAATGCAAAATATCGACACCATGTAACGTCAATGAATGCGAAAAATATCTATAATTTTATCATTTAGGATGAAGATTTCCGTATCTTATTTAATTGGAGGTCGATAATTTTTCGAGAGGTCAGATATACGTTGACCACTTTCACCAACATGCTGCTGTTGTTGTTGCTGAGCATTGTGAGCATTATGACTATTATGCGCATTATGTCCTCTCACTGTTGAATGTGTTCGCTCGTGTTTGGTCAAATGGTCTGAACGCATGAATTTTTTGCCACATTGACCGCACGAAAAACGCTTTTCGCCTATGAAAAAAATTTGGCTAACAAATTGATTATTTGAATTTATTTGAAAATTGAAAAGTTATAGGAATTTGTTTAAAAATAAAATAAAAGCTACCAAATGCATCGAAAGAAAAAATCATACGAAGAAAAATATTGTTACAACTGTGTATTTAATAACTATTAATCGTATACTTTTTATCGTAAAATAATGTTTTTAAAAAATTGCTTAAAGACAAAAACAAAAGGTATAATTTAGTTTTAACGCAAAATTATAACTTTACCTGTATGCGTTCGTCGATGTCTTTGCAGTTCATCCGATCTCGTAAAGCGTTTTTGACAATGCGGCCAGTCGCAAGCAAACGGTTTTTGTCCAGCGTGTCCGCGTAAATGGGCTCGCAAATGCGAAGTCTTACCATATGTTTTATCGCAAATATGGCAAACATGAAGACGTTGCTTTTCACCAGTTCGCCTGAAAAATAAATATAAATATAAATACTTGATGAAGAACTCTGCGCAAACTGAAAGAAACTCTCGACTACGAAATATGTGGAAAAATATACAGATAAGGACATACAAACAAATTTTATCAAAAAACAATCTTTTCACAAGTTTCAAATCTAAACATCTGTAATTTAAACACATACACTTTGTTATTCGAATTATTGACACAATTTGGGCAACTACAAGCCGTTCTCTTCGGCGTTTTTTGTTTAAATGACAGCTGCATAGATGTATTTATTGTAGATGCACTTGGTGTCACATCATATTCTGGCTGTCTATTTACAACTGATCCTTGGGATAATCCAGTAATTGGCGCCTCACCTGATTCATTCGTTATTATCCATTTTTGAGGATCATTTGGATCTTGTTGAAAATGGAGACTTCCTAGAAATTTTAATTTTTTTCTGTTGAAAAGACATCAATCGATTCACTCTTGCAATTTATTTGCAACGTAAACACTCCGAAATATCGAAAAAAACAAACCGACGGTGATTCGCTGATGTGCGGCAGTTAAACTGCAACTGCCCATTTCCTGTTTTGGTTGTTGCTGCTGCGGTGGTTGTTGCTGTTGTGACTGTTGTTGTTGTGGTGCAATCGGTTGCATTTCCACCGTATGTAGCTGTTGCATCGTTGGTGCTGGTTGTAAATTTGCAAGCATTGGCTTCGAATCAGGTGCTGTTTGCATTTGTACCGGTATAAATGCGATCTTCAATTGATCATTACTGATAAATTTCAAATGCATTTGTACGGTACAAATGCGATTTTTAATTGATCATTGCTAAAATCCTACAAACAGTTTTCCATTTCCAAATGTATTTTTCATACAACTTCTCAAAAATCAAAGTTGCCCATCTGTTATAAAAAAGCTAAGAGGCGGAAAAGAAAAGATATAAAAAGAAAAACTGGTACTTGACTGTGCTGTGGGTGTCCGCTACCATTTGATTGCAATATGTATAGTTGATTGGGTTGTTGTCCGGGCGCTGCAGTTGTATGAATTGGTATCGCTTGTGCTTGAGGTTGTTGTATAACGATAATCTGTCCAGGTCCGGGCCCATTTACAGGTACCAGCTGCACCGGTTGAGCCGGTTGATTGCCTTGTTGTGTTGAAAGTGGTATGAAAACCTAAAAAATAACAGTCATCAATAATTTCTTTTATTCCATTCAAAGATCGAAAATGTCACTAAAAGGTCATGAAGAAAGAAAAAAAAACGCATGACAAATTAAATTAAACAAAACGAACGCGAATTGCAAATTATTCGACATTTTACACTCATCCACACCTAATTCACCAATTAAATTACTCAAAAGAGAAAAATCCTAAGGATCCTATAAATTTAAATTCATGAGAATAAGGAATCGAAAAACTTGACGACGAACTATAATTCTGATTCTTCCACTAATGGAACCAAACTTCTATTCGACCAATAAAAAAAGTTATTTATATTTATATTTACATCAAATTCTGACTTTGCAAAAAAACAAAAAATAAAAAAATTTTTCCGAATTTATAACAAATTTCCTGCTATTTCCGAAAGAAAAGAAACCTTGAAATTCCAATTTATTTTTTTCCATTAAAAATCTCGCGTTTCTCAAAAATATAAAAAAGGAAAAATGCAACAAAAAAAAAGAAAAAATTCATCATTTTAACTAAGAATTTCTAGAATAAATTCAAGTAAAAAAGAAAAATTCACCAAATTCTCCTAAAATTTCTAAAATCTACGACGAACAAAAAAAAAAACTCACCAAATTCACCGATAAATAGGCGGGGCTTGAATTTTGAGCGAAAAATTTAATACCAAAATAAAAATTTAATACCAACATAAACAGCGCGGAATCATTATTATTATTATTATTATTATTATTATTATTATTATTATTATTATTATTATTATTATTATTATCACCATAATCATCATTTTATCATTACATTTTAAGAAAAATATTTAAATATTATATTTAAATAAAATTAGGCATAAAAATGGAAATAATGCGAAAAATTTATTCTCTCCTAAATAAACGTAACCTGCTGCGTGGTTGCCGATACTGCAGCCGCTGCTGCCGCCGCTGCTGCTGCTGCTGCTGCCGCTGCTGATGCTGCCGAAGCATGTTGCTGCTGCTGCTGTTGTTGTTGTTGTTGCTGCTGTTGCTGCTGCTGCTGTTGGTGCTGCTGCTGTTGTTGTTGTGGCTGTTGGTGCAACGCGCTTGTATTTGGTTTAGGTAGTATGGGAGTGTCATGCTGCTGTTGTTGTTGTTTCGTCGTCGTCGTCGTCGTCGTTGCGGTCGTTCCACTCGAATTAGGCGTGGTATCAGACATTTAAAGGGGTGTGGCAATACTTCACCAAAGGCGGAGCTCACAATGATTCTCATCTACTTATTTTTGGCCCCGCCCATCAACAACATCAACATCTTCAATTAGCCAATCGGATTTAAAGGCCATTAGGTGACACGCCTACCAATCAATATCAGCTACAAATGATTTACTGGCACCTAGAATAACTGGTTTGCGGTTCTGGCAGTACCATTTGGTGCTGCTTATTAGCTTCAGGCCTCGAGCCAGTTCTTGGTGGAGATTCGGATTTAGAGTAGAGGTACTGTTTCCATCTCCTCTAGTATTCGTTGTCGCTAATTTTTTTATTCCACATTGTTTGGTGAAAGTGGAATGACCTCTCATCATTTTCTTTAATTATAACCACGTTATTATTAGCGTCCAAGTTCCAAAGATAATACCGTAAACTTCAATTTTTTTTTCGCTATGATGGTACTTGTACTTGTTTATTTTAAGAGCCTTCCCCAGTATTTCCTCCCCATCTGATCAAATTATCTCCTTATCTCCTTTATTACCCTCTAATCACTGTCACTGACGACTAAGTAACGATTAATACCGCCTGCCTCCACGACTTGCGTCCATCCTATGGATTTTGCAGCCGACCATATTTCTTAACTACTCGGTTATACGTGTCCATAACTGGACTCTTTTTTTTTCGTTATTCAGTATGGTTATTTAAATATTGACCTAAATACCAGTGGAAAACATAGTTCTTTCTATACGAAAATAAATGCGACAATAAATCTGACATTTGAAGTGAATGTTTATAATTGATTAGACAAAAATATTTTAATTGCATGCCCCACGAAATTATGATTAATTATAGAAAAATTTTCTTTCTATGGTCCTTTCCCTTGTCATATCGTTCGATTTAACTATTTCTAATCTCTTAAATAGTGTGGGAAGGGAGGAAAGGCGAGGAGAAGGAGAGGGAGAAGAGGAGGGAGAGGGAGAATCAATCATAAAAACATATTGATATATCGATGTATGTACAACAATATTGCGTTGAATTTATTAATCAACAATAATATTAACCATAAATTTTCGTAAAGAACGGAAGTTAAACTAATAACCTAAAAAAAAAAAAAAAAAAAAATCAAAAAACCAAGAAACCAAAAAAAAAGGACAAAGGAAAAACAACTATTTCTTCTTGGACGTAAGACCAGCTCCAGCATTAAATTTAAATAAGATAACATCACCATCTTCGACGATATGATTTCGGCCTTGTTGACGATATTTTCCGGCCGCTTTCACCGCATTCTCATTTCCTAATTCCATAATATCATCCGCTTTATATATTTCAGCCATAATAAAACCTTTCTCGAAATCGCTATGAATTTTTCCAGCCGCTTGTGGTGCTTTTGTACCTTTCTGAAACGAAAGTTTCAAAAGAAAATTATAACTTGAAGAATTCTGAAAAGTTTTAAAACAAAAATCACGCTTATTTCCAATCGAATTAAACTATTAATTATAAAATAATCCTTAAATATGAATGCAAAAAAAAAAATAAGTAAATATTCTTTTTTTTTTCTTCCCGAAAATAATTCACTTCTTTATTTCCTTGAAATAAATAACTCTAATTCTCTCTAATTTTAGTTTCTCTAATTAACTCTAATTTTTCGACGATAATTATAGGGCAAATAATTCGCTATGTTTAGTAAAAAAAATAAAAATAGAAGATTGATTGACCTGAATTGTCCACGCTTTTACTTCATCTTTACCACACGTAAAAAAATATTCAAGTTGAAGAGCTTTATAGCCTGTTTTTACAATACGATCCAAAGCGCTGAAAAGATAATCAAAATCGAAATACTCAAATTTTTAAATTAAAAAAAAAAAATGTTACACTCAAAAATTGCATAATATTAGCAACACAGCATGGATTCAGCCTAATGGCAAATTATGAAAAGAAATTAAAAGAATTGATTGAGAAATAAACGAAATAGCCAATAGTTATCGCAATTACTATCGCTTATCGCTTAATGCTTATCCTTTAGATTATTCTTTTTATAATAATTTGTAGGCAATTTCAGTCAAACATTGTTGATTGGAAAAAAAAAAAAAATTCGCCAGTCTCAAAAAATTACTAAAATTACTAATCTGTTAAATTTAACAAATAAACGATATTTCCCAACTAATAAATAAATCTCTTGTCGTAAAATAGATCGTAAAATATTTTTAAATTCTTTGTTAAACAAAACAAAGCATCCCGACGGCTTATCTTTTTTTTTTCGATGGAACAATTCAAATATTGAGGCTAATCAGGTTAATCAAAGATTGTAAAAAAAAAAAAAAACCTTGTCGAATTGATTTCTTTCAAATATTTCTCTTTTTCTTCTGCGGACATATCCATTAATTTTAGTTCTAATATACCACTAAATGGTATGCACGCTGCATGTGGATCATTTTCATCCAACCATGCTTTAATTTTTGCAAGCCATTTATTTTTCTATAAAAATAGAATATAAAGTGGTACTGTACTGGCACTAATATAAAGAATATTTGGAATGTTTAGAGATAAAACGAAGAAAATTTATTTTACACGAATTTTCATTCACCTTTCGAACATAATCTTTTTCAGATAAATTCACCAAGTATACGATTGGTTTAGCGGTTAGCAAAAGATGTTTATTAAGCGCATCAATTTCTTTTTCATTCCATATTTCCAGTCTAACTGGCTTTTTATCTTCTTCTAATAATTTTTTCACCTAAAAAAATTTTCTAAATGAATAGCGAAAATAATGTTAGTACTTTTAATCTTTTTTAGATAAAAAGTTTACATAAAGTACGCAAATACTATTTTCCATTTTATAATTTTATATTTGACAATTTAATTAATATCGAATTAAATAACAAGAAATAAAAAAACATGAATTTTACTAGAGTCCATTTAATGCAAAAAGGAACTTAAAAATATACACCTTGAGTAACGTTTCATATTCAGGTTTTTTACTTTTATCACCACCTCTGATAGCTTGCTTTTCTAATTTATCAATCGCACCTTCAAGATATTGGAGATCTTTTTTAATGAGCTCTGTTCCAATGATTTCCAAATCTCTTACTGGATTAACGTCGCCTTCAACATGAGTAACATCATCATCATCAAAAGCTCTGAAAAATTTTAATTTTAATCGCATCTATTATAAGAAAATAAATGTATTTCATACCAAAGTTAACTTTATTTCTAATGATAATAAGTAATTACTTCGCAAAATTAACATTAACCAAATGTCTTTTATATCACATAACAAATGAAAAAAAACTTACCGACATAAATGAAAAAGAGCATCACATGCGCTAACATGTGAAAGGAAAGCGTTGCCAAGACCTTGGCCTTCCGAAGCACCTTTTACTAAACCAGCAATATCTGTTACATTTAAAAAAGCAGGTACACGACTAGCAGGCTTAAAATGTTCAACTAACCAATCGAATCGTTTATCTGATACTGGAACACGACCTGAATGAGTCAAATAATATAAGACAGATATTGGATGACAGATATTCAATAGAGCGAATATGGCATATGCTTCAATCTATAGCATGGTTTTTTCAGCAACATCTTTCCAAACTTATATGTAAATAAATAAAATATATGTATACAATAAATTATATATATAAATAACGAATATATATAAATAAATAAAATAAACAAAATATTTCATATTATTTCATACTTCATATTCAATATTGATAAAACGATCTAAATGATATATATATTTTATCACCCTTATCATACAATTATCATCCTCATCCTTATCACCCTATTTATTATCATCCTTATTGTCCTTATCATCCTAAAATTTAAATCCACCTTTATAAAATCATATCTATTTTATTTTTCTACGTAGTTCACAACTAATTCAAATAAGGAATAGACGACTTTCATTTTCACTGAACCATTGACATCTAAAAGTTACAAGGATTCAAAAAGTAAAAGTATTTTTAGAAGAAATTCAAAATTCTAAGAAAAATTTGTTTGGCACAATGGTGAAGTCAATATCAAATAATAAAATGACTCGTATCTTTGTGCATAAAATTATATTCGAGAAAAACATATTGTAAAAACTCTCATAAATGATAGCCAATTAAGAAGTTTTTACATTCTCGAGAAACGTTTTATTTTATTGGAATGCACAAATAATTGAAAAAAAAAAAATTCTAAAAATATTTATATAATATAAATAAAAATAAAATTTAAGTAAAAATACAAATAAAAACATTCTAAAAGTATAATTTTCAAAAACTGGTAATTAGCCTATTATCAACGAGTATATTTTAAAAATTTATAAGTAATTCATTTTTTTCTCACATCAATAAACAAATATATAGCTATTTATCACAATTTACAACTATAAAATGAGGAGGTTACATGGCTTTACAACTACGAGATGAGGAGGTTAAATTTTAAATTTGCAATCTTAGTACCACTTCTCATTGTCATTGTTTTTATTTTTACTCATATACTTATACTATACATATATTTTTTGAAAGAAGGAATTTCTCTTTTTTTGCAAGAAAAAACATAATGAATATTACCACGAGAACCACGAGTGATATAGATCATTGTTGAAACGGTTAGCTTGGTGAATTCTCATATCTATTACACAGTACTAAAATTTAGTTATGAAAATAGGAACCAACTTTCATTTGGATCAATCGTGCAAAAAGGAAAATTCTCTGCTTGCGCTTGACTTTTTGTTAATACATTAAAGAATGTACTTTTGCCAACATTTGGTAATCCTAATATACCCATCTAAAAATAGCAAAATATTGATAAATAACCATTTAAAAAAATAAGTGAACTTTTAATTTTTCAATGAAAAAATAAATCGAATCCAAGTTATTCAAATTTCTGTATGAATAAAACGATTAAGTTTGAATTTATATTGGTCAATAACCCAAAATGAATCTAATGTAACAATCACTCAAACAAACAACCAAATAATAAAAAAACCGTACGAGAGGAACCAAAAAAAACTGAAAACGAGCCGACCTCAAAAATAGTCTTTCACTTTCGCTTTTCGAGAACGAATGGTTCAATTTTTTAGTGTGATAAAAGCCAAAAATTCAACTAGATAATGATAGTAACACAAATATTATCACTTTGATTTAAGAACCACGAGATATTGCTTCTCTTAACCCAATATTCATTATTCTTCTAACATCTCGCACCACTATTGACTTGACTGAGGTCCACTGGTCGTCACTAAGATATTTACCCAATTAATTATAACTGATATTATTATTATTTAAGATTTATTAGATTTGTAAAATATCTGATTCATTTTACTCAGATTGAACAAATTTCATTTTCAGAATTCATTTTCATTCACCTTTGATTTTTAAAAACGAATCAAAAACAAAGACCTTAAGATTCGTTCCAATTCGCCCCATCAATGGAGGAGGATGTTCCTCTATTTCTTTCTTCTTTGGTGCCATTTATTTCAGCGAAATGGTAACATAACAATAAACAAATCTGAAAAAAAAATTAATTATAAATATTTATAATTTCAATTCATTTATTTTCTTACTGAAATAAAAAAAAAGGGAATTCCCGTATAAAAAATAAAAAAGCGTAACAAATAAGGAAATTGGTACTTGGGAAGAAAGTTGATGTGGCATGGCTTTCAGTTTCTTAGATAATAATAAGTAAAGAGATATGCCGCTATCGCTTATCATTTTCAGTTAAGCTAGTTCTGCTATCATATGATAGGTTCACTCTTATCAGGGACTGAAGTTTTTCAGAATAAACCTAAACCAATCTAAATCATCGTCCACTCGTCTATACCGTCCTCTCTACAAGGATAAACGGGCAGTGGTCGACAGATATGAGTAAATTTGTTATCAAAAATTTTTGATAACTGAGGTGATATCTCCACACCATGCAAACTGATAATTGCCATTTGCTTTACAAAAAAAAATTCGATAAATTAGCTAAATAAATTAAAAATAAAAATAAATTGGACGGAATAGCCCAGATGGTTGTTATACAAATTTCTAAGCGCTAGTACTGGGGTTCTACTCTTGGTAGAAACAAATCCGGTTTTTGCGTAATAGCTGCATAATTCTAAGGATTCACTTGCACTTCTTCCAGCAGGTAACTGTAAAATTTGTCGGATCCAACAAACCAGCGGAACCAGTCAAACTAGAAATGGTGACAACTGCCCCTACAAAAAGTCACCAGACCGGAAGATCTTTCCCTTTTAGGTTCCAAAAACAAAAACCCACAGATTTTTATAAAGCTAAATAAACATCCAATGAACAACGAAAAAAAATAGAATAAATTCACTAAAAAAATAAAAAAAAATTTTCAACATTTATCAAACTTAAAATGGCGGGGCTGCAGATTAGTAATCGATTTTATCTAATGCAACTATAAATTTATTTAAAAGATTGTACCACTGGTGAAATTGTCACCACTGCATCAAACGTTGGTATTAGAGCTCACATTCAACAAAGCTTGGCTTAGCGTAGTGGTACCATGGCATTCTGCGACATTTTATTTACCAAATCCAAATGCACCATTGCACCAAAATCACACTAATTGAACCAAATTCCACCAAGCTAAATAGATTTGAAAGTTGCTATAAAACTGTCATTAAGTCAGTTTATGAATTTTGTTATCACAGATCAAGCGATACTCATTCGGTCATTGACCCTTGACAGTAGCCAATCTGTTATAGAAATTAAAATCCGACTGATTTGTCTATGCTGCGAAAAATGAGGAAAATGCAATATAATAAGAAAATCCAAAGGCTAGAAAAGACTGAAACAATAAGTCGAAGTACCTCTTTTAAAGGCTAAACAAACAGGTCGTTTTTCCAGATCCACTGTTTTCTTAAGATCTCTTCGTTCTCTGGTGCACTACGTCTCTGACAACTCTATTACTGACTAGATTGGCTGCGCTGGCTACAAGGATAATATGCTGCTTTGGTACTTGCCTATTCTTTATATATAATCCTTGTAAACACCGTTCCTGCTACTTGTTATCGTGATCTCATCTTTTGAAGGGAATAGCTGAATATATAAATTCCGGTTTTAAAATGTACTCTAGAAGATGACCTTTAGTGACCTCTCCATTAGAATGACCCCAAATGACCTTTCCATTTTTCCATACTAAAAGACTGTGAATTCGGAAAACTCATTTCCGTTTTATATATCAAGCACTGATAAAATCCCGAATCCCGCTATTTTAATAAATTCATCGTTGGTTCTTGGATGAAGGACAGTTTTAAATGTAACGGATCCATTCTCATCTTTCTTGTTTCATCCTGTTTTATGTTCATTTTTTCCTCTAATTTTTTTTCATCGTTAATTTTTATATTCGACATGAATAAGCCTTTCATGAATAATATCAAAAATCCGAATAACTGCTGGGAATCCACTTGCAACTCTTTCATCGACTACAGTTAGGAAAAATTGAACGTATAGATAGAACGATATATGGACTTGAATCATGGAAAAAGGAGCGACTTCTCGTACTGTCATCGAACAACTTGATAATGTTTTAATAATCATAGTAATGGTGAGCGCTGTTAGAAGAGAGTAAATTCAGGTGAATATGGATGAAGATGGTAGGAAAAGCATTTATATAACCAACATAACCAACTTTGCACCACATTTAGAACTTAGAAACCAATAATGGTGTAAGTGCTGGAATTTTATCCCATTTTGCTTAATCGTAATATAACAAATATCAACGATCAGTTTTGGACCTCTAAAATATTCTGATTCTGATTTTAAAAAAAAAAGACTAGTTTCAACTTTTTTAGCTCAAAATAATTTTCAAAAATATATAAAAAATATACTTTAAATTTCCTCCATATTTTTGCTGATAAATATAATTCTATTTTTAATTTCAATTTAATTAATTTTTAATTTAATTTTTAATATATTTTTCGAAGTTTTCACTATTTTCATATTTTTCCCTTAGCTGAAAAATCTTTTTATCGTGATATTATTATATGTAAATTCATTTATCGAAGCATGTTCATCACTATTATTATCACTATTATTATCACTATTATCACTATTATCCGCTATTATCACTTAGTCTATTCGAATATACACTGATAATTTTAACAATACAGGGCTTGGTAGTAAAATTAAAATATATTCAAATTTGCATCGAATCTTTATCACTTTTATATAATTATTTTATAATAAAATAAAAAATTAAGAAAAGTTGGAAAGAAAATTTTTTTATAAAGAAAATTAAGTGAAATGAATAATAATAACCTGAAAGAAATGATATATCCCTTACAGTAGTCAGTGGAATTAATTTATATTTGACGAGCATCTAATGGTACTCCTTTGACGTTTCGTAAAAAATAAGCTGATTAACAACCTATTATGAGTTATAAAACAAGAATTCAAATGGTATATACTATGAAATATTTAGACATCAAAAAATAAAAACGATTTTTTTCGATTCAATTCTTCAATTTGAAACTGAATAACACATCAGGCAGGTGGCCATTGAATGCTATTCTGAAGCAGGAAAACGGCCTGTTCTCTTCTTACGCTCTTCGTCAGTCTGAAATTATCTATCGAAATATGAAAGAAATTAGAATTTCATGAAGAAACTGAACTATCACAATTAAAACCATCTTCTTCTTCTAACAACTCTCACCATTACTGGTTCTGTTACCTACAAGGCTAAGACGTTTTCATCTATTCGCTACCTCTGACAGTAGTATAAAGTTTTTTTTTTCTATCGTTCCAAGTTCATATATCGCCGAAGACAACGGAAGAACACCATACTCATCACAAAATACAATTTTCTATTCCATTTATTTCAACAATTCGATTTTATATTTATAATTTAATAAGTAAATAAAATGACGCGCACATACCCAATCAGCAAAATAATTCACCGCCATCGAGAATGATTCTTCGCCCTTCTCAAAACTTTCATTATGTTTTTTCACCATTTCCACAGTATTCCTGAATAACTGGTAACGCATAGCCTCCTCTTCAGGACTGTCATATACTCTTCCTGCAAATTTTCGATAGTTACGAAATCAAACATCAATAAATTTTCACAAAACAAAAAATACCAAAGCGATTGAAAAGCGAGTCCTTTATTCCTTTATCGCTTTTTTCCTGGAAAATACAACTGAAACGAAAGTAAGGAAGAGTAAAAGGTACCCCTCTATTTAGAGAAGCGTGAAATTTTAAGCCAACTGGCCAACCTACTGGACAAAATAATGCCATTTCTTTCATTGCAAAGAAAGATAATTTTCTTACTCCTCTCAACACGAGAATTATTTACACGAAAAGACAACTTGCCGTATTTAGCCTTGAATTCAGCCCACTCTTTGTCACTGTCGCACATAATCGAATCGATCCTGAAACGAAATCCAAGCTTCTTCTTTCAAATTTCCATGCATTATCATAAGAATTATCATCACCTAACTGCTTTTACTAAATTCTTCACTTCTTCGAAGGTGCTAAGCCGCAAAATTCGCAAAACTTTTTTCTTTATTTAATATTCGAACTAATAAATTAATTTATCAATTTTATTTCCATTTTTCAATTTTAAATTTCGACATTTACATCAATAAAATCAACTAAATATCAAATAAAATCATCAAATGATAAGAAAAAAATTTGCCCCAATCTCACAACATTTATATCAATCTAATGAGAAATGAATCATGATGAAAGCGGAAAACCATAAAAACATTGAAATGACAACCAAGAACGATAGAAATTTTAATGATACAAAAATAATAAAAACAATAAGAGATGGAAAATCAATACTTTCTCGATTTCTTTCAGAACTTTTACTTCAGCATTGAATACAAACGAAGTTCGACATAATTACCACATTCACTTCGTCAAAATATGAAATAAACTGTTAAAAAAAAAAGAGGCTGAACAAAAGCGAACTGTAAGAATATCGAGAATATAACTTTTAGAATCATTTTAATAAGGACCAGGTTGTCGCGGTGGTGGCATATTTATCGCGGGCGGCACTGCTCCATAACCAGGTTGCATCACTGACATCGCTGGACCACCAACACCTCTTACCGCACCTTGCAGGTCTACAAAAATCCTAGGTCTTATACGACAATATATAGTACTACGAGAATTATTATGATTTCTCGTTAAATTTGAATAATAAATAAAGGAAAGAAAATGTTGAAATCTATAAATAAAGTGATATCAGAATTCTCTATTCAATGCATTAACTTTCAGAATAATTGCCTGCGACACTGTAAAGGTACCATCAGCACCACTTTTAAAAACAAATTCAGAGTCATCTACAATATTATTATGTGCAAATTCAATTCCCTTTTATATTTTATTTTCATTCTCTTTTATATTTTATTTTCATTCTTATGATTCTAATGCTAATTTTTTATAAACTTTGCACTATCCACAATCCGTTATTACTATTTTTATAATACAAGCACATGGCCACTGCTCCATTTGATATATTTTTTTAAAAAGAAAAATGAATTCTTATCCACAGACAATATTGTTTCCAGCAAAATTCCGAAAAAATTTATATCTCTAATAAATATTCATTCGAATTAGTTGAGCAAATTTTATGCTAATAAAAAAAAATGAAAATAAACTTTGCGGTGGTGCCATAACACCTTGCGGCAACATAGGCATTCCACGACCAGCTGGTTTTGCTGTTCCAGGACCAGGAATACCGCCACCTTTCGGCAATTTAACTGAATCATCATCCTTTTGTGGTGGTCCATCGACGGTTAACGATATAATATTTTCACCTCGTAACAAAACTAAACCCAAAGTTCGAATATCATCCGCAACTTGTTTTTTGCCTGATTTTGGTTTAACTTTTCGATGTTCTTCACATTCACATAATAATATATTCATATGCTTATCGAAGGCTTTGAAATATCCAATAAATGTACGACCGTCAAGTAAAGTCACCTTCATTCGATAATTCAAATGCGCCATCATTTTATTATTTTTACTGATCGTCTAGAGAAAGAAATTTTTCAATAAAAAATAGAATAAAAAAATTTATTTATAGCTAATTGACGTAATTAGGCAAATAAAATAAATAATTAATGTCTAAACACGTAATTAATCAAAATTTAATTAAAATTTAAAAAATTAAAATAATTAAAATAATATTTAAAATAATATTTTTTTTTGTAACGGAAATATAAAATGAAGAATTGAAAAACGAACCATTTTGCGAGATCAATTTGTTTCGTATTTCCCAACAAATAAAAAATAACTGAAAATAAATTAATTAAAGAATTTAATGAAAATCTAATAATAAAGTTTTAGGCGGGATTGGCTCATTGCCTTCGGCGCATTTAAACTAACAAAATAACAATAAAATAAGAGTTTAATACATAAAAATTAAAATAATAAAAACATAAATAGTTTTTACAATTATCATAAAAAAAGAATAAATCTTTTTATTACAAAAAAAAACAACAAAAGTTTTGTGGAAAAAAAAAACATTCATGTGCCATAACTAACAAGCAAAATGATTAGAGAAGATTTTTCGAAAGTTTAAAAAATCAGTAGGAACCAGAAAAAGGGCCAACCAGTTTTTTCTTTTTCCAAAATTTTAATAAACGATCACTGGTACAAATATTGTAAAACTTAATACTTTTTTGAAATAATACAACGAATTACGAAAATACTTTCCTTACTTCGGGCATTCAACCAGTTTTTCAGGGACATCGCATTTTTGCTTTTTTTAAGAGTCCTCACCAATACCAGCTAGATTTACTACCACAGCTATTCGTACTAGACAGATATACTACTAGGGAGTTGCCTGGCGACAGAAGTATACGTGAGCCACCAACATCGCCCTGATATCTGTGCAGAGTTACCTCTGCACCGAGTAGAACCTCACCAGCGGTAATGTTTTGACTGAGCTGTTTTATGCCAATTCCCATCTACTCAAAACCAATCTACAACCCATAACCCATGTTTTCACCTATTCTCAGCACATTTCAGCGAAGCTGCAAAATAGCTACCACATAACTACTTATCAGCGCCAGCTTGAAGTTTGAATTTCCTCCTATTTTTCTTATTGCAGCGGAAAATTAATTATCGTATTTTTTTTTACTGAATCGAAAATTCGTTATAAAGAAAAAATTTCGCATGTATGTGGCGGAAGAAACTGCACCAAAAGCCTCTAAAAGCTCCCTCGGTCCGATGAAATTCCAGCATCTTTCAGACTCCATCGACGAAGCCGAAAATTTAGCATCTTTTTGCATATTAAAAAATTAAAATGAATAAATAACCATCCAAACGGACAATACAATTCGTACATAGGTTGTAAAAAATTTATTAACAGTATAATTCTAAATAATTTTATAAAAAACGATTTTAAATCATTTTGCAGTCGAATTTATTTGAAAAAATTTTTTAATTTTTTCTTAATATTTTGCAAAAAAAATAATATTTTGCAAAAAAAAAAATTTTTGCAAAATTTAACATATAACGTCATTTTGCCTGTAAATTTGACTAAAAGGATTTAAATATGCCTTCAAGAAATGAAAATTTGAAAAATATTAGAAAATTTAAATGATTATTGGTAAAGAAATAAAAATATTGTAGCGAAAGCATAGAGTAATAACTTTTGCTTATTAACCTTGACGAACTTATTAATGAACCTTTAAGCAATAATTTTGGATATATAAATGAGCAGATATTCCAATCATTGCTACTATGTTCAATTTTATGATTTTATTTTTTTAATTTTTATTTTCATTTTTAATTTTAAAAATTATTTGTGTTCCTATGCGATTTAAATAAACCAACTTCTTTTTGGTACCATACGTGGGAATAGGAAAGAAAAGGTATGCATTTCTTGTGGGAATTGGAATGTATGATGCAAAAACACCACTCCCTTTGAAATTTACCATTTTCATTGGGATCACTGCATCATGCCGAATAATTGGCAGCACGGCCTCATCCACTCAGAGAAGCCTAAGTGGATGACCAAAATGCAGTTAAATCTTTCCCCTTTCGACTTTAGAATTTTTGAATGTTTAATAGCCCACGATGAACCAAATATGGAGGATTATTCCGCGACGAACTAATACCTATTAGGTTAAAGTGTTGCAAACTCTCCACACAACCAAACATGCACCGAACTATCCCAAATGTTTTCCAATTATAAGGTTCTAATTTACCAATACATGTTGGAATGGGGAAGGCACGATGCAAAAACATGCTATCCCTTTGAAATTTTTTATTTTCATGGGGATCATTGCATCGTGCTAAATCATTAACCGCTTAAGTGGGTCATTTACTTAGAGTAAATTAAGTAAATGACAATACAGCGGTTACATTTTTCCATTTTATTTAGCTTTATTGCTTGAGATCGTAGCACATGATGAACCAAATTTGGTGAACGATTTCGCACCGAACTCACACTTGTTGTGTCAAAGTTCTGCAAATCCCTCATTGAACTAAACATGCACCGAACTATCCCAAATGTTTTCCAATTATAAGGTTCTAATTTACCAATACATGTTGGAATGGGGAAGGCACGATGCAAAAACAGCATCTCCCTTTGAAATTTTTTATTTTCATGGGGATCATTGCATCGTGCTAAATCATTAACCGCTTAAGTGGGACATTTACTTAGAGTAAATTAAGTAAATGACAATATAGCGGTTACATTTTTCCATTTTATTTAGCTTTATTGCTTGAGATCGTAGCGCATGATGAACCAAATTTGGTGAACGATTTCGCACCGAACTCACACTTGTTGTGTCAAAGTTCTGCAAATCCCTCATTGAACTAAACATGCACCGAACTATCCCAAATGTTTTCCAATTATAAGGTTCTAATTTACCAATACATGTTGGAATGGGGAAGGCACGATGCAAAAACAGCATCTCCCTTTGAAATTTTTTATTTTCATGGGGATCATTGCATCGTGCTAAATCATTAACCGCTTAAGTGGGACATTTACTTAGAGTAAATTAAGTAAATGACAATATAGCGGTTACATTTTTCCCTTTTGCTTTATTGCTTGAGCTCGTAGCGCATGATGAACCAAATTTGGTGAACGATTTCGCACCGAACTCACACTTGTTGTGTCAAAGTTCTGCAAATCCCTCATTGAACTAAACATGCACCGAACTCTCCCAAATGTTTTCCAATTATAAGGTATAACTTTGATAATCAAATATCAAGTCAATTTTTTTGTACGTAAACTCAAATCTTATTCATAGTCTCGAGAAGTTCTTTCTTGTATTAATAAAATTAACAATAAACCATTATGCAAAATTATTTTATTTAGATAATTATTTAATTTAATTGATTTTTTAATTGATTTAAATTATTAATTTACCAAATAATATTATTTTAAGTAGTATTATAATTATTTTACTAAATATTTTACTAAATATAAGAGAAATTCACTGAGATAATTTGTTCGTTCCTCAGAACTTTTCCTTGTTTATTGAGGATTCTATTTTTTTTAGGCAAATTTATATTTTTTTTTATTTATTGTGCGATTTTTTATTTTTAAACGTCAAACATGCAAAGTGTTAAGTCCATTTTCCCTCTGGTTTGGTGCTAATATATTTTACAAAAAGGGAAAACTTCATAAAATTGTTCTCAAATAAAAGCAATCACTTTAGACATGTTGAAATGTGATGGGAAATCCGGGAAGCAAATATTACCCTGTTTCCTAATCCGCATTTACGTTTTCGAATTTTCTTAAAACAGAAAAAGCCTCTAAAACAAGATAAAAATGAAGGTTTTCAGCATTTTTCAATATATATTAAAGTACAACTTGCAATTCTTGATTTATTACCAATATTGCCAAATAAATTTTGCAGTCCATGCTAACCTTAATTAACCAGTCCATGTAGTATATAAATGTAATCAATGTAACCTATGTAATCAGCTTAAGAACGATCTGTATCTGATAATAATAATGATAACAATCTACAGTGATAATGATATCATTTGTTTGAAGAAAAAGAAAGGTTCAAAGGAAGCGAATTGTTCGCAAAATGAAATTAAATTCTTTAATTGGGAAACATTTTATTTTCTTTGATTAGTTATTAGAATAGATTTTGTTCATTTTGTCTTGGTGCATGTTTGGTTTCGCTTGAAATTTGTTGAGTTTGAACTTACAAGTACTGGTTTCATTCGCAATCATTGTGAGTTTGGTGTCTCGAAAGGGACCAAAAAGGTCTAATCAAAAAGCGAAGTGCACAGTTGATATTTAAAGTAATTTATTCTAAGTAAATGGCCCACCGATCCTTTTGCATGATTCAGTATTTTTTATGTAGATAGTAAATTTCAAAGGGCAATTTTTTGCATCATATCGTAATTACCTGGTAATAATCTACGCAAAGCCATATTGTCTAATATCATATCTTATATTATCTCTTTACTGATTAGCATTGTCTTATCACTATATGAGATTAGTGAAATAATCATTACAAACCATCGAGAAATGAAAATTTTATTTCATTTTATTATATTGGCCCGAATTTCCGAATTTTTGCCATATTTTGCAATAATATATTTCATATTCCCTTCGACGTTGATAAATTTATCAAGAAAAGCGAAATCTGATTTGTAATGATGAATTCAACCAGAGATGACGAAACCTCTTAAGAAACAAGAAACAAGAAATGAAATATTCGGATCTACGAGCCGAATTTTGCGATGTTTTCTTTGAATGTGGTTCTCTTTTACCCGATTGGCCTATAGGCGAGCGTTGTTTTTTTTATCGAATTCGTATTTAAAAATTCATTTGTCACCAAACTTTCGTTCATTGTTACCGCCTTCGTTGATGAAGAAATCTCTGTTTTATGGTACCATTGCTTGTATAATTTCATTTTTTGGAAGTTTTTTTCATAAAAATTTGGTTCATTGGGTTAATTGATTTTGCGTTTTTTTTTTTGCTAAAAGCGCTTATAGCTTCACGCTCGATGCGCTTTTTTTATTATTTTTATGGTGGACTAAATAAATTTTGCTAGCGAATCATTTAGCGATAGAAATTCTGAAGTGTCACCAGAATCATTTTTGAACCGCACCATTCACCGCACCGTTAAAACAGTGAAAATATTTTAATGCTTGATTGAAGTGATAATTTTTGTTTGACTATGATTGCTAAAATTTTTAACAAATTCTTTTCTTCTTTATATATATATATATTTTATTATATTACATTTTATTATATAATATATGTTGTTTCTTTTATATATATTTAGTGTGTATTGTTTCAAGTTTGAATGTCTTTATTGGTTACCTGGGATTAGATTTCCCTCGCGGCAGTAAAACCGTTTAGAAATAGAAGTACGAGTTGAAGTCCTATATTAGCCGTTTTTCACCTTAAAAAACAGATTTATTCGTACTGAGCACCAAGAATCGTAATGATAACTCTCTTATCAGTTTTCTTTCATTTACCTATTTATCTGTGATAAAGGCTTATCAGCGCTGGCTTTTTATATGCCATGAAAATTTGCCACATTTCCTAATAATTCTTACAAATGTGTAAAAATTTTTTATGAAGTCAATCGAACCATTGTTTTATTTCTATTGTAATCGTTCAAGAAAGTGATATATACAATTGTTAAACTGCATTTAAATTGCTCTATATTGTAATAAATAGTAGAACAATTTCTGTATAAAGTTAATCCTGAAAATAGTTAATAGTTAATCCCAGTTTATGGAAATTAAAGAAACGAGAGACCAAAAAACAAGATGGAGGAACAAACCTACCTCAAGAATATTTTTATAATTTTTCGCCTTTCGGTGACAGAAATAAAGGAATGGATTTCAGTTTTTTATCTTATTTTAGGAAAAATAATACTTTAGGAAACTGAGCTTTAATTTACATTAAAGGATTTTTGCCATTAGTTTTTTAAGACATGCAATTCTTAGCCCTGGATTTCAAGATATTTTCATCACATTACGAGTCCATCTTTATTTTTTCAAGGTTGTTCTTTTTATAAAGCAAATCATCATGGCGGCGTACGGAATGACCGACGAGAAAAAAGCCATTCTTATACAGGAGATCGCTTTGCGTCCTTTAATATGGAAGGTTATTTTTCGATTGATTAGGTATTTTTTAAACAAATATTTAATTTAATTTAATAAAAATATTTTAAAGCGTTATAATATGTTATAATAAAATGGCTTGCACTGTCATACTCTATAGAATAATATTTATTTCAAAAGTATATGCCAACTCGGAGGAGTTTGTTTATTATAAAAAAATAGCTATCAATAATTATCAATAATTGATTATATTCAATGATAATTGACGAAATTTATGCTACAAATCTCTTTCAGATCAGTCATCCGAATTATGATGATGTTGAAAAGCGTTGGCTTGCTTTCGAAGAAATTGCACGCTTATTGTCTGATGAGCAAGTGATATTTACAAGTCAGCTAATAATTTTTATAGATTTCTTCTTTTTTATTTGTTTGAAGCAATTAATGTTTGAATCTGAGTGATTGAAATGAAATTTTTATAATAATTATGAAAATTGTTAATCCTAAAGATAAGAGAGATTCAAAAAATTTTCAAGGCGATATGGTTAAATTGACTTGGAAGAATTTGATGGATTATTATAATGAATTACAAAAAAGATATAATCGGATAGTCGCAGCTGGAATGGATCCTCCAGAATTTAAATGGCAGTTTTTTCATATGTTGCATTTTGCAAGACAAGATAAAGCATTTGTGAAGAGAAAATATAATTATATGCAGCCATCAAAGGTGGGACTGTAAAAATATGAATATACTAATTAATTCTTTCGAGGCAGTTGTGGTACTAAATGTCCTTGTTTTTTTTAATTCGCTTTGTTTCTTTTACTATTATTAAATTTTTAAATTTAAAGATTCTTCAGGGCATTCGTTGAAGTAGGCGCGAATGCGGCTTCAATGTCTTTTTTTCATTTTTTTCATTTGTTTTATTTTATGAAAAATTCCATCAAATTTTTTCAAAAATTATAATTGTCGCCTATTTGCAGTTTTCATTACCAGGCGATAACATGATTTTAGGTAACGCTTGAGAATGCAAGCGCATCTTTCAATCAGTCGTGTGACTATTCGCCAAATTTTCAACAAAGTTCTCTAATAAATGTTAAAACTGCCAATGGCAGCAAGCATATAGTCATCTTACCTATGAAACAGTCAGAATGGTTTTATTTTCATAAAATTTTCTTCGCTTTCTTTTTAAATCCCATTGATAAAGTTGATCTGTTTGGAGAATTCCGTAGAGTACAAAAAACAGAAAAAAATATATCTTGAAGTTTTTTGTTAATTCAAAAGTAAAGTACGAATTTAAACTGGGGTTAGATTTGTTATCTACAGATTTTTCATTTCGATTCATTTGCATTTGATGAAAAATGAAAGGAAAATGGCTAATTATATTTAAATAAGAGCTGAAAAAATGTAAAGGATTTGTAACTTTGTGACTACTGCCATACCACTTTTTGCGCGTGCATATTAAATAATATGCACATAAAGCAACATAAATGCATAAATGATACATAAAAAATTATTGACGAGTGAAAAAGTTTATTTAAAAAATTATGGTAAGGTTGCATAATGAAATCAGAAATGCGAATAGGAATTATAAGCTTCGAATGATTTAATGGGTGAACGACAATATATGAACAGTTCAATTACAGCACAATTCCACAATTCGAGCGGTTTAGCGGGATAACTGCGCATCACGATGTATCGAATGGATTTACAGGAAAAAGTACAAAACAGACCAATGATGAGCAAATTGTTGGAAATTCGTTTCCAGCTCATTATGCTAAAATAGATCAGAAACCTGTTGCTGCTCTTGATTCAATATCCAGCTTTGGTGAGTCGGTTTTTCCAATCATATATGTATAATTTCTCTTTAATTAAGGGGAGATTATTTCTATGATATACCTATTTTTTCGTTTTTTTCGTTGAATATTGGAAATATTAGCATTATATATGTTTTTGCAGCCAGGTATATTGCTGCTAGGCTCTATCTAGTAAAGGACAAATGTCCTTCGAAATATTTATCACTATGCTATGCGATCGATGGGACAATTAAGAAAGCGATGAGAGAAATAAATATCGTTCTGGACAGTTAAAAATTTATAATAATCTATTTCTTTCTTCTATGCTGTCATATTGTTTCATTTAAATAATCAAATTTTTTTTTCCTACTTAATCAAAAGCTTTTATTATCATATTCGTTAACAGTCGGTGTTATATTGTTTTATAAGGTAATATGGAAAACGCGATAGGTCTTTTTTTTCAACTGCAGTATGCAAGAATTTTTATATATATATCAGTGAATGTTGCTTTTTATAGTTTATTTTTAATCTTGGTGAATGGATTTTACTTCTTCTATTTAATTTTAAGTGAATAGAATGAGTAAACTAATTTTATTTATGAATTTTCATTAATTTAAGCGCGATTGCTGAAAGTAAAATAGGCACGAATATTTGCTGGAATATTGTTTTTTTGAAAATCATATTTAAAATTGTGGTCTTTAAATTCTCAATCGCAGCAACATTCGATTCATAAACGTATTTTTCAGATGTTTAAACATTTAGAAATTATAAAATTTTATTAAAAATCGTTTCACGTGGAAGATATGATCAGTGTGGATTGCTGCTTTCGAATAGTTCTACTCACAATAAGAGTAAATTTATCATTTAAATGTCCTAGCTGTGACTCACCCTTATACTTCCATCTATTTCTAATATCTAGCAGAATTCGTCTGGTCCCGAAAAGTCAACGAGTTGAACTTGTCACCAAAAATGGTGAATGTTGCGAAAAAAAGAAAAAATGATAGAAAAAAAACGGCAAATATTGAATTTTGGAAATTTGGAAATATAATATTTTTAATCTTTGGCGCAATAAATTTAGTTGTGTTTAAAATATTTCTTAATTTTCAATGAATCATTTATTAATTTATTTGCACCTAAATTTAATTGCTATTATTTGTATTTCATGAAAAGTTCAATGACGAAAAATTCGAATAAAGAAAGTGAGACCATCAAAATCCGGTTTGTATTATATTTTTGGTTTGATAAATATTGATATTTATTTCATTAATGAAATATTTGAGATGAACCAAAGATGGAAGAAATTCACAAACAAAGAGATCTGTTTTATGATTGAAATGAACACCTCGGTATATTCCTAAGCCTCCTAAGATTCTTCACATTCCCCTTAATACATCTTTGAATCCATCGCTCATCAAATTCTCCTTTATGATCCCCTCGTATGATCTCTCCTATCCATCACTAAGGCTGAACCTAAGAAGATTGATAAAAAGGATTTCGCGATGATATTTAAGTTGATCTATGATAAAGAGGAGGTACAAGATGAGTTTGTTTTTTCATCTATCTATAAAAGTTCTAATTTAGTGATATCAGTTTTATGGCTAAAATTTCTAGTCAATAAATTTTAATCAGTATAATTTTTAATCAAAATTTAGATTTTAGAATACAAATATTTGGAATTTAATTCTACTCCTGTTGGAAGGAAAAAGAATTCCCTCTTTTAAAAGTCCAATACTAACGAAATACTTCTATCATCAAATGATTCTCTGATAAAATTTGTATACTATATAATTTGAAAATAATTTTATTTTATGAAAAATTTAATATAATTATATATAATAAGATATAATTTTATAATTTTTAATTTTATAATTTTATAATAAATTTATAATTATATAATAAAATATAATTTAAAAAATATAATCTTATAAAAAATTTATTTTTTTTTAATTTTATTTTAAATTTATTAAATTTATTAAAAAGAAATTTTAATTTTATTAACTCGGAGATTATTAAATGAACAAAGGTAATAAAATAAAATAAATTATAATAAATTATTATAGAAATGTGATGAAATTTTTAGATCGTAGCGATATTATTTAGATAAAAAAAGAATTTAGCAAAACATTTCAAGAACGAAAATTAGAATTTCAAAGGAAATCACTGCCTTAGAATGCTACCTTTATGCTACCTTTGTTCTGACCATAAGCAACACTATCAAATAGCGTTCAGTTAGTGGTAAATTTTGACGAGCAGTTCAACGGAAACAAAAATTTATGGAAGTTTAAAAAATAAATCTTCTTTCAGTTAGTGTACCAAATTTTTAAATGCGATCTCTTTGAAACACTTATTTTAAAAATTTTTTTATAAATTTTATAAATATTTTATAAATTTTAAGCGCTTTATCATAAAAGCTAAAATAATTATAAAAATAAAATAAATAATAAAATAATTTTATGTTAAATATTCCAAGCATCAAATGAATTGATTGCGATGAATTTTTTTTTAGGCAATTTCATTTTTTTTCTTTTTTTTAATAATTTTACTCGCAAATATATATTTAATATATTTATTAAAATATATATTATAAATAATATATTTAATATATTTATTAAAATAGATTTGATAAAAATTTGATGGAAAACATATAAGCCGAATGGGTTTATTAATAATTAATAAAACAATTAAACAAGGCGTTAAAAATATGAATAAACAAGTTTATTTTCGTTTATGAAATTATTGAAATGGTCATTGGTGTACATTGAGCAGCAAGGCTTACTGGGTTTTTCTTTGTGTAAATCAAGCAGATATGTGAAGTACCACTAATGGGACTACCAATTGCACCGACACCAATTATGAATATGGTGACTCCGATCGATTGCATTCATATAGTAATGGCTACCAACTTCATTTCATCCGTGGAAAATTATCGTGAATCAGTTGCAAAAATTTATATCAATGAATCTATATGCGATTATTATAGATATTTTAGTCCACACTGCTTATTGTCCGTTATGGTACTAATGAACTAATGAGCATATTTATTGAATTATTAAAAACAGGTTTTAAAATATATTTTTAAACCATGAAATTATATTTAATTACATGTTGAACAAGAAAATTACTGGTCGACTATTTATTAATCTATGATACTCGCAATTTTGGCAGTATAAGAAATATAAGCGAATTTCCCGCATCATTCAGGCCCTTGAAAAATAGATTTACTCCTTATCAGAAATAGTGTAGAAACTCAGCATTTGTAGTCTGGTGTGGAGCAATAACTTATTGAGCCATTCAGCTAATATAACTATGGCTTATATTAATTTCATTTACTTATCGTTTTCATTTAATTTTATAAAATTTTCCTGGATTGGATTGGATATTTTCTCTGAAATATTTCAAAATTTTAAAAAAAATAAAAATAGGAATAGAAATAAAAATAAAAATAGAATTAGCAGCAATGAATTTCTTCAAGAAATAATATTCATTTTTTTCGTGTGTGAAACCATTTTCTTTATTTTATTTCCATTTAAATAATCATATTTTTAAATTATTATCGAATTTTTTTTATCAATAAGTTATGGTAAATGTATGGCGTGAAAGAAAAAATTAATTGAGATATATGGGAAAATTTTTAAGCTTTAAGCTTTAATCAGTGGTACTAGCAACGGATTGTAAGCTCGAATTCGAATTAGCCTCTGATTTTTATGTTCTTTCGCTTATCACAATAAACTTATCTTAGATTTAGACTGTTTTATAAGCACAGTTAACTCCTAGCAAAAGAGACTCACAGAGATTGCCGATTTAGACTCACAGTAAAACTGACGACTGTTTATTAGAGAATGGTTTAAAAAATGATTGATCGTAATAACAAAGCCAATCTGATTTGAATTGTGGTTACTAGAAAGTTCCATAAATCCAAATATCTCCTATGATGCCGGAAGCATAAGTTAGTGAAGTCACAAAAAGTCCATACATTTCAGCTGGCATTATACAGTATTCAATTATGTGCTTGGTTTAATTATTGATATCTCTTGTAGAAACTCAAGAGATCAATCTAGAACATCAGAGATCGTGAATAAGCTGATAAGATAAGCTGATAATGCGGCTCTCTTTGCTGATAGTTTTAAGATTCAAAAGATGGTTAGAAAATGTATCGAAAATTGTGGTAAAAGTTAAATAAACGATTCATATGAATGAGCCAAAAATTTTTTATTAAGCACCAGATGCTGATAAAATATCTATTTTTATCAGTTCATCCCGAGTTGAAGTTGACTATCAAACGTCAAATATCTTGGATCCACTCTTATACGAGTAGCCAAACAAAAGACGAAATTCCACCTAGGATAAACGAAGGAATCGGATCAGATCGAAAAATTGCAATATCTGTTTATCTGTTTATACGATGGACAAGAGTAAAAATTTCTATCTTTAATCGTTTTCGTCCAAGTTACATTGTACATATCCGCCAAGCCGAGAAAACCTGATATTATTGCATGTTAAAGAATTAAAGAAATTGACGCATATCTGACTAGTTAAATCCTGATAAACTGCCAAAACAAGGGGAGCTAGTCAAGGTCTGGGCTAATACGAGATTTTAAAGCCATAGGCAGTCCGGAATAAAATTGCTGCAATATGGCATTGACTCGCAAAACTTGAAGACATCTTATGTTGGTTGCATGTAGTTCCAAGCCAATATATCATTAGCGCAAAATAAAAAAGAGATTAGAAGAAATAAAGAAAAGCCAATAAACTTGAGATCAGTTCATTTCCGAAAATTTCATTCCCAAAAGTATAATTTTTTTAGAAATTTTTCCAAATATCACTGAAACAAACCAGGAAAGTCGTTTTGTCTAATTTTTAGGCCTAAGCCTATTTTTCCAAATATCACTGAAACAAACCAGGAAAGTCGTTTTGTCCAATTTTTAAGCTTAAGCCTATTTTTCCAAATATCACTGAAACAAACCAGGAAAGTCGTTTTGTCCAATTTTTAGGCCTAAGCCTAAGATTTTCTTAAAAAAACGCTTAGCTAGCACTTACTATTTCTCATTCGGTAGCAATTATTTTAAAAATGAGAAAAAGTACAAATGAATATTCATCACCATCTGAATTTTTTTAAAGATTAATTTATTCTTTTGCTAAATTCAGATCAAACATTCGATGCTCGAGGCGATATTCTAAATTCTAAATTCATCATCGGGAATTTTTTTTTTTTTGCAAATTTATTTTATTTTTGTCATATTTTATATTTTATTCACTAAATAAGTCAAAAATATTCAATTTGAAAAAAAAAATTT